CCAGAACCACACACAGACACCCAGCACCACACACAGACACCCAGCACCACACACAGACACCCTGCACCACACACAGACACCCAGCACCACACAGACACCCAGTACCACACACAGACACCCAGCACCACACACAGACACCCAGAACCACACACAGACACCAGCACCACACACAGACACCCAGCACCACACACAGACACCCAGCACCACACACAGACACCCAGAACCACACACAGACACCCAGCACCACACACAGACACCCAGCACCACACACAAACACTGAAAAAAGACAAAGATCCCCCGTATAGGCTTAACGGAATGTAGGGGCAAGTGCTTTTAGCGAGCACGTATAAAGTCCGGCTCGGCACACGAAGGGGTGGGTGGCCAACACTACGCCCGGCCGCCTTTGTCTCCCCAGTGGCGATGTTTACACACCGCACCAGGTACTCATTTGATGCTGCGTCGACCTAGGGAGGGCACAGGAGCGGTTCAGATAATCGTCACCGGTGTTGGCCATGAGTGGGTATGGGACTCGGGTCGCCAGGTTCGTAGCGCAGCGTAGCGCTAACCACTACACTACCGCTACACGCCAGACCGTGACCTGTCCCTGACTCCTTCCGCTACCCCCCTCACCTCGTCACAACAACACCCCCCGCCCCGCCTCCCACACGGACAGGTGCCCCCAGGAATCCTCACCTGCCCCCTCTACAAATAGGGCCCCGTGGGCCCCGGGGTAGCTCTTCCCGTCAGGGTCCACACCGCGCACTTTCCATCAACAAGAGGCGGGCGAGACGAGAACTCGGGGTCTGGGCTGGGGGCTTCAAGGGGACCCGATCCCATGGGACCCGGTGTTTGTCTCGCCAAACAACCCGGCCCCCACGGTGCCACCCTGCTCTCTCTCGCTGAGTGCTGTGGGCGGAGTGGGGTGAGTTGTGTGTGTGTGCGTTGAGGTTGCGAATGTTGTGAGTAGTGGTAGTGCAGCGGTTAAAGCGCTGCGCTACGAACCCGGAGACCCGATTTCCATTCCCGCTCAAGGCCACCACCAGTGATGATTATAATCTGACCCAGTCCTGGGCATCCCCTAGGTTGACTTAGCCTCAAATGAGCACCTGGTGCGATGTGTAAACATCGCCTTAATAAGGCAAAGGCGGCCAGGCGCGGTGCTGGCCACCCACCTCCTCTTGTACCGTGCCGGCCTTCATAGGTGCTCGCGAACAACACTTGCCCCAAAATTATGAAGGCTATAGGGAGATCTTTGTCATTGTGTGCGTGTTATGCCCCGCCCTTCTCTACTCTTGCGCAACGTGGAGCCCTTTAAAGGAACATCTGCGAGATAAGACACATTCAGGCTTGCCTGCCTACTATCCAACCTGCATTGGCTGGCTCATGTAGTCTGCATTGGCCAGCCACCGCACGCTCAATCAACTTCTGTTTGGCCGGGTATCGGAGGCTAAAAGGGCGCGGCACGGGCGAGAGAAGGATGTGGTACTGGGGGACGTGGAGCTGAGTGGACTTGCCGATGACCGGGACCAGCGGTCTCAATACCGACCTCTGTGTTTGCTGCTGCTGCTGCTGTGTATTGATGTCGAGTAGATCTCCAGACAAAAACACCACGTGGAGCCCACGCACGCTGTTACGATACAGTGCTTGCTCCACGGTAGTCGCTCTGTGATGGCTTCCTTACCGAGCAATCTCAAACACCCCCTTGCCTCGGCACCTCGAGACGCGGCGTGCGAGTAGCGGTATCGGCAAAGCATGACGACCACGTCCCTCTGGGATCCCAGAGGAACCTGGTTTCACTGCTGCACCTGATCCTACAAACCAACCTTACCCAGAGGAACCTCGTCCCAATGAGACCCCCAACTGGCAGGACCCCGCGAGTCTCAACGGATCAGGGATGACCCCTTGTTGGAGAGCGCTCACCGGGGGCCAGGTTAGGGGGGTCAGGGGGAACCCCTCGATTCCCGGGACAGCGGGCAAGAGAACTCATGGCTTTGGAACAAAGTTTGCGTTGAGAGCATTTACACTGCGGACTGCCTGCGAGGTTGTCTCGAGGCCCTGCTGCGTTGAATGATGGAGCCGTCCGGTGAGCGATTTGCCCGGCTATAGTTACCGCTGTCCTGCCCTCGTGGCGAGGCACGTAAATCCTCCACCGCAAGGTCAAATTCACAAGCTGCACCCTGGAGGAGGCTGCCGCCGAGATGTGCTGGTCAGCGGCGCGCCGGACTGTCAATCCAGAGGTTGGTGGCGGTTCGATTCCACCCACTGCCTGTCGACCCAGCAGCAGCGTAGACGAGTACAAGCAGGTTGCGTGTGGTGGGCTCAAGTGTGGGTACTCCACCTCTTCTCCAGACGTCTGACTGCTCAAGGAGCTCTGCAGAGCTCCCTCTTCCACCAGCAGTGATTTGAGCAAGCAGTTGTAAGGCAGCACCTTCGCCTATCACCCAGGAGGATAATTTCAAGTTGCACCCATGAGCCACACCACTGCCAAACGTACAGTGATGTTGTGTCTGGCTTTATTTGGGTGCACTCTGTAAAAAAAAGTTATGGCATGGACTCTGACAGCGGCTCCCCGTGACTGACAGATGACAGCAAGTGGTGTCAGCTGTTAAACGATCCCTTACCAGCCACTCACCACCCAACCAGCAACCCGAGCGTTCACCCACCCACCCATACACACACACCCACCCATCCACACACACACACACCCATCCACACAGACACACCCACCCACCCATCCAAACACACACTCCCACACACCCACCCATCCACACTCCCACACACACACCCACCCATCCACACTCCCACACACACACCCACCCATCCACACTCCCACACACACCCACCCACCCATCCACACTCTCACACACACCCACCCACCCATCCACACTCTCACACACACCCACCCATGCACACACACCCAACCACCCATCCACGCACACCCACCCATTTACACACACCCATACACACACATCCACCCATACACACAGACACACACATCCACCCATACACACACATCCACCCATACACATACACACCCATCCACACACACTCCCACCCATCCACACACACTCCCACCCATCCACACACACTCCCACCCATCCACACTCTCACACACACCCACCCATGCACACACACCCAACCACCCATCCACGCACACCCACCCATTTACACACACCCATACACACACATCCACCCATACACACAGACACACACATCCACCCATACACACACATCCACCCATACACATACACACCCATCCACACACACTCCCACCCATCCACACACACTCCCACCCATCCACACACACACTCCCACCCATCCACACACACACTCCCACCCATCCACACTCCCACACACACACCCACCCATCCACACACACACACTCACCCATCCACACACACACACCCACCCATACACACAGACACACACATCCACCCATAGACACACACCCATCCACACACACACACACCCATCCACACACACACACACCCATCCACACACACACACCCCCACCCATCCACACACACACACACTCCCACCCATCCACACACCCCCACCCATCCACACACACACACACTCCCACCCATCCACACACACACACACTCCAACCCATCCACACACACACACACTCCCACCCATCCACACACACACACACACCCACCCATCCAGACACACACTCCCACCCATCCACACACACACACATACCCACCCATCCACACACACACACTCACCCACACACACCCACCCATCCACACACACACCCACCCACCCACTCAGCCGGCCAGCAAGCCACATATATACCTACCCACCCGCTCAGCAGCTCATTCACCCATCTAATTATCCAGCCGGCAACTCTTCCACATCCCCACTCAAAAAGTCATCCACACAACCACCTACCCAGCTACCCACTCATCTAGCAAGAAAGCCAGCCAGCCACTCAGCTACTCATTCACCCAGCCACCTATTTAACAAGCCACCCACTCAGCCTGCCAGCCTGTCAGACACCAACCGACTTAGCCACCCACACATCCACCTCTTGTTAACCCATCCGACCACACAACACCCCCTCCAGCCACTCACCCACCCACTCACCTACCTACCCATTCACTCTACCAGTTACCCAGACGCCCAATCAACCATACAGCCGCCTACCCAACTTCTCACCCAGAAACCTACCCATTAATTCACTCATCAATCCAGTTATTCAGCCAACCACTAATCCACCCAACTATCCAGCCAGCCACAGTCCAAGAATACTTCACAACACACCCATCCAATGACCAAGCAACTCACATCGCGACCAATCCAACAATTCACAGATATTCAGCCACCTGTCCACCTGGTTATCCTTTTAGTTACCAAAGCAGCCACTCTCCCACCCAGCGCATCATCCCCAGAGCACCTACTCACTCAATCACGTGAGCAAGCTGCTCACACAGCCACCAATCCACACACTCAACCACGCAGCCGCCCAATCAACCACACGACCACTCAACCACAACCAAACACACCCAGTCATCCGACCGCGCACTCGTCCACACTGCCACTTCAGCAATTAGACACCCAGCCAACCACCTAACTACCCAGTCACTCTGCCATCCAGCCAACCACCCAACTACCCAGTCTCTCTGCCATCCAGTCAACCGACTCAGCCTCTCACCCAGCCTCCTTTGTAAGCAACCCACCGCCCGCCGTGCAGCCACCCTCGCTCCTCTCCTTCCCACCCGGCCTGACACCCCTCACCACCCTCGACACCCTCACACCCCTCACACCTTGTCCGGCAGGCAGGCGCCGTGATTCATGAGTCTTCCTATTTTACTCTTCTTGGAATCTGGGTAAGGGGGCGGTGGTGGTCGGGCCTGCGCGTGATTAAGGGGTACTTGGGGGTCAGGAAGAGATGGGGGAGGGGACCCCCTTGCTGGATCGGGGTGGCAGGGGTTCAAGTCGCCGAAGCTCGCCCCCCCCACCGTCCCCGTAAGAACACAGGCGGCACGACTCCCAAGTGTACAAACGCACTCGGTTTGTTATTTTCTGTCATTAACGAACATAAATTACAAGCAGCAGCAACGAAATCAAGGACCTTAACGAGTGAAATTATACATCTGTGCGCATGTTGTTGGCATGTGTCGGCGTTCATCGGTGCTCGCCAACAACAATTGCCTCCAAGGGTCTGTATTGTCTTTGTCTTTCACATAGCGAGCTCACCACCTTTGAGTTCGTGTGTGCGTGTGAACGACCAAGGGCTGTGCGAGTGTGCGGCGGGTTTGTGTGTTCGCGTGCGAGCGAGCGGGAGTGTGTGTGTGTACGAGTGTCAATCGTGGGAGTGTATGAGCGTGTGTGTGCGCGGGTGTGTTGTTATGTGCGTGTGTTGTTGTTGTTCATTGCGTGTGTGCGGATGTTTTGTTGTTCGTTGCGTGTGTGCGGATGTTTTGTTGTTTGCTGCGCGTGTGAGGGTGTGTTGTTTTTTGTTGCGTGTGTGGGGCTGTGTTGTTGTTCATTGCATGTGTGCGGATGTTTTGTTGTTCGTTGTGTGGGTGTGTTGTTGTTCCTTGCGTGTGCGGATGTTTTGTTGTTCATTGCGTGTGTGAGGGTGTTGTTGTTGTTTGTCGTGTGTGTGTGCGGATGTGTTGTTGTTGTTCATTGTGTGTGTGCAGGTGTGTTGTTGTTGTTCGCTGCGTGTCTGCGGGTGTTGTTGTTGTTCACTGCGTGTCTGCGGGTGTTGTTATTGTTCGCTGCGTGTGTGCGTGCACTGCGCCCGTTTCCAGCAACAGGCAGCAAAGCTTCCGCCATTTTGCACAGCCTGACAAGTGCACCAGGCCCGGCGCAATCTCTGTAGTGACATCACCGCCACTTAGTGGCGAATGGCGGCAGCGGCCGAGTTGCTGCTGCTGCTGCTGCAGATGGCGCCAACGCAGGCGACACCGGGAGGAGGAAATCGGTGAACAAACACAGCTCCAACCTCCTTCAAATATGTCCTAGCACTCGGGGGCGGGGATGTGCGAGGGGGTGGGGGAACTCTGTCTAGGCGGACCCCCAGATGTGAAAAGGGGGTAGGGGGAGTGGGGTCACACTGCAGTCCGAGACGCAAGGTCCTGAAGGTCCGGCCTTCGCCCAAGGGGAAGGTCGCACGTCCAAGTCCAACGGCTTCCATCCGTCTCGCCTGCGATCCACCTTCATCCTCCTCCTTGTGACAGCGTAACGTATTACGGAGGTCAAGTTGAGGTCGTGTCGCACAACCAGGGAATAAGCAGTGGCCTACAATCCACCTCCTCCATCTCCCTCCTCTTCCTCTTCTTCCACTCCCCCCCCGTCTCCTCGCTCATTCCATCCCATGGAGTGACGCGATCGGGGCGACTGCCGAGGTCGATCGAGAGTTCTCGTCGCGCCCTCTCGTGGCCAAGCGAGCCGGTCAGTCGTCCTTCCCCGTGTCGGCCCTCGGCGTCACCACCACCTGCACCACAAAGTCCTTGGCAATGCGGGCGTCCACGAGGCGCGTGCGGTCGGCGAGCAGGCGCCCCGAGTAGAACCAGCGCTGGCTCGACGGCTCGGGCCCCTCCAGCGCCTGCAGCCGGCGCTTGGCTTGCAGCACCGTGTCGGTGGTGCGCGCCACCAGCCGCACGTCGCGCCCCATCATCGACACGCGCAGGCGCAGGGGAAGCTCCTGGCCGGGGGGCGGCGGCGGCGGCGCCGACTGGGCGTCCGAGGTCTGGAATCGGCAAAAACCGCGCGCGGAGATCCGGTATTAGGGGGTGGAATTTACCATCGTCCCCACACGAATGCACGCGCACTTATGGCGAGTTTCACGTTCCTAAACGTTCCCGCCACGTTCAAGGTCACGAGGTCACCGTGGGCAAAGCCGCCGATGCCACCGCCGCACCTCGCTACCAGTGCCTCCCACCGTCCTCCGCCAGATCACCGGCGACACCAAACGACCTCCAAGATCTGTCCTGACGGTAAACCCAGCACGCACGTGGCTGCCTGTAATCCAGCAGTGCGGAGGCAGCAGCGAGGGTTGGTGGATCGCTGACGTGTTGCCAAACTGCCTTCATGGGCATCGAGAAGGTACCGTGAACTGGAGCGCCAGGAGAAGGCGGCACAGCAAAGTGTGGGGTAATAGGATCCGTCCCGTCTGAATGGGAGAGCGTGTCGTCCCCAACATGTGGCCGTTCTCCAGGTGCTCCCATCTCCTTCCACACGGTAAACAACTCATTCGTTGGATAGATCAATAACTCGACATTTATCCCACCATCTAGTGTGATACACACACACCTGTGTGATACAGTGAGGAAAAAACCAGAGATGACTGCGAAGTATTTGATGCATGATAGAGGTTTTTTTGGGTTAGATCGCGTAAATATGTGTGTCATTAAAACCCTCCACCACCCAACACAGCCAACTAGTAAGGGTTGTCACGTAAACAGAACGTGGCCAATTCGTCACTAGTACAGCACACCGGTGTGTTGGAGAGCCAAGCCACAACATTTACAACCTGAGTACGACGTATCACCAGTAATTACAACTAGCTTCATCAGACGACAGCCAGATTTGTGGAGAAGTCCACCTGTTTCGTTCCATATATGGAAGCGTAGTTGTGTTGACCACGTTTTTGTGATATTGTGCAAAGTATGGGGGGGGGGGGGGATTACTGAGTTCACGAACATTACACGCATGTGCATTATGCGAGCCCTTTGATCTTGTATTTTCTGCAGATCCCGTGACGTGTAATTCCCGTGATCACAGCGCCCCCTAGTGGACCCGGCCATGATGGAACCTCAGCTTGGCAAACCAGGGACAGGGATAGCATCAGGATTAGGGTTTCAATCAAGGTCAGGGTTTAGAGTTAATTGACTGTAATGACCTTCACATTGAACCCGCATGTATCATCATCGTGATATCTCGACAAACACATCTGTGAGGTTTCTCGAATTGTGGAACGTCTCTGGGAGTACTGTGCGCAATTATTCTGTCTCACTCTTGCACACGCATCCCCGTCTCGTTCCTGACGCGCGTACGGTGACCGTGTGATGCGACCGCACTTGGGGTCGCCGCGTTGGGTGGGGGGGGGGGTTGCTGGCGCCACCGACGCCGTCGTGCGCTACCTGCGAGTCTCCGTCCGAGTTGCCCCCGCCGCCCCCTTCCACCAGGTTCACGGGGGGCGCCAGGCAATAGACGGGCAGGCGGTAGCGGTTGCCCAGCTCATCGTAGCACTCCGTCAACGACCCTGCACAGACAACACAAACCCCGCCCGCTGTGTAGCTCACGCAAACCGTCGGGCCGAGCGCTGCTGGCGAACGCCTATGAAGGCCGGCGTGGTGCACGACGGGGTGGGTGTGGTGAGCGCCATGCCCAGACGCCTTTGTCTCTCCAATGCTGGTGTATACACACCAAATCAGTTTCTTATTCAGGGCAAGTCGAGGAACGGCCTGGGACCGGTTCAGAGATCACTCGCCACTGATGTTAGTCCTGGCTGGTAATTTTGCAAGCATACCTACTATAATCACCTAGGAATGTCTGTCCTTAACTCTCGTGACGTCACTCCACATCGACCAGCCCCCCCTCATTAATAATCATGAGCAGGTGACATCACTCCACATAGAACAACCCAATAATAATTACAAGGTGACGTCCTCCAAATAGACACCCCCCCGCATTCATAATAATTAGCGGGTGACGTCACTTCACATGGGGGGGGGGGCGAGGCGCCTCCTCCCCCCTCCTCGGCGTCAACTCACAACCCTCACTACAAAGGCAGAACCCTCACGTCACGCCATCTCCGTAACGCTGTTGAGACATCAAAGTAAAAAGGACGTCATGATGAACAAGGGATGATAACCTTTAAATGAAACAGGTCTGTGTCCCCGCGCCCTTACAAATTGCACACCAATTGATGCAATGAATACAATGTCGCAATCTGCTTTTCATATGCAAGTTTCAGATTTACTGCAATACTTGGGCAGGCAAAGGGCTAGTAGAAAAGAGAGGGCATAACTGCGGTCGAGGAGACCTGGAGCTTTGTATGGGAAAAGGCCAGGCAGTTTCCACACTGTGACGCATCCGATGAAAAGATAATGCCGACAGATTTATTTGGTCAGACCGCTGCTGCCAAACTCGAGCTGGTCAAGAGTACACTGCCAAAGTATGGGGGGGTTCTTTGCACTCTCTCCATAGCTGCCCCTTTACTCATAGAGCGCTGAGGGAGTGGAATGTGAGATGACACATTTCCCAGGCAGGTGCATGTTTTGGTGGGGCTGCTTTGTTGCACGCTCCAGCTTCAGCAGCAGTCACTCCGACTGCTTCTCAAACTGAGAGATAACTACCAGGTCATCAGTACGCTCAATATGTGTTGGTCAGGGGGGGGAAGCGACCCCTTGACCGCATCCGGGGCATCAATCAGCCTCCCATTGTATCTCCACCCAATGGCACGGCCATGGAAAGCTTCTTGCACTACGCGGTTGAGTAAATAATTTTCCACGAGAACAAAACATCGTTCTTAGCAGATTGACTATTGCAATTTTATATTTTGAGATGTGACAGCGATCGTGAAGCAAACTAAATGCTCGAGTTATTCGAGGCAAGTTTCCAGTTACAATATACCTTGCAACAATGTTGCCCACTTTTCTCCGTTTCACCGGGACTCGTGGTACCAACGGCGGAACAGAGAATCGACTTCGTCGCCACGCGCACGCCGCGACGTCTAATCGAATCGCCAGGAGGTCGGCGAGAATCGTTCAAACGAGCACCGCTCGTTTGCGCGCCCGTGAATGCGTACCGTGCGGCAGCGAGATGCTGGCGCCGTCCACGATGGCTTGCGCCAGCTGGTGGTCCCCACCCTCGAAGGCGGAGGCTGCGGCACGCAGCGCGTCCCAGATCTCCTTGCGGCCCTCGAAGGCCGGCGCCGTGTCCCAGAACTCGTCGCGCTTGCTACGCAGCTGCCCCGCCGTCATGGGGAACTCGCTCTTCCATTTGGGGCGCTCCTTGCGCAGTGGCTGGTTCCGGCCCAGCGCCACTGCGGGTGGGGACAACGGCGGGGGGCCGACATCGCGTGCCGACGCTCGTCATCGCGCACCGTCCGCTCCTCGCGTCCCATGTCGATGAACTCGCAAACGTCGAGAGGTTCCGAAGTCTCGCGGCGTTGTTGGAGATAGTGTCCCACGTTTTTGCTCTACGTGCTTGGGAGCTTCTTCAAGAATTGAACCGAATTCGAGAAGCTCCCAGCACACGGAGCGAAGCATCGGACATCGCACCGCATTGTACACGAACACACGTAGACAAGTCATAACGTGTGACTGATCATCACAGTCATACATCACCATCGTCATCATCGCCATCACACATTCACCAATACCCGTTATTAGCCACTGAGGGTGACGTGACCACAGCGTCTGTGCCAGGCCAGGTGCACTTTGAGGCCACGTGAAGTATCGAAAACTCGCTGACAGGAGGTCTCGGGGCAGACCCAGGTGCTATGTGCTGACTGACTGAGATGACTGGCAGATGCACAAGCTGTACCCCCTACCGTGCCAACTTACTGCATTTTAGCCACCCAGAGCTCTGCTCATTTTTGTAAGCGTCGCTCCTCTGCTCCCTGTTGTTATTGGAGGGCCACTACCTCCAACCAGTAGCGTCCTTCACGAGCCTCCTCAATGGAGGCTGATCTTGACACCGCTGGTACCAGTCTTTGGAAAGTCCACTCAGCTCCACATTCTCCCGTACCGCGTCAGTCCATCTCCTCTCCAGACCGTGCCGTACCAGTTTAGCCTCCTCTATCCGGCCAAACAGAAGCTGCTTGGACATGCGGTGGTTGGGCATGTGGGCTTCATGACCCAGCAGCCATCATACACACACCATCACCGGCCAGCACCCTCCCACCCCTGCCCCCATCTCCCTGCCCTAAGCAGGATTTTCTCTCTGCCTCAAAGCCGGATGAATTAATCGGCGGATAATTATTGAGACACGGGGCCCGGGAAGGGGTCAAACCACCCTTCTAGGCCTCCGGACAACACTCATTTCCACACCTCCCGTGGTGGATCTCCTCCGGGTTCTCTTGTTTAGATGAATTATTACGCTTGTTTACAAGAATACTTTTCAGAAGGATGCTACCAAGTTATCGCTGTAGACAGCGGGTGTTGCTATGTGTGAGTGTGTGATCCCAATTTAGTAATCTGGATGTAATTTTCAATCATTGGGATGTAGTTTTGGCCAATGCCAGTTACATTGTTGTGGGTGTTTTAGTTATGGTCGGAAATCGGAGAACCCATACACCCACTCGCTCACATTCACACACGCGCGCGTTCACTCGCTCACACACCATGCAGAACAGCAGGCGACGCATACAAACGCTATAAACGGTCTCGCTCACATTATCTCACTCCCACACACACTCACTCATCATCTCACTATCTCACTCCCACACACACTCACTCATGCTCTCACCCACTCGCACACTCCGCAGAACAGGGAGAGACATACAAACTCCAGAGAGGGGCGCCCGGGTCGGTAATCGAACCCAGGCCCTTCTAGCTGTGAGACGCGAGTGCCACCACTGCGCTACCACCACTCGCCTCGTGTTCATTGCCAAACATCTCCAATGGAGTAGCAGCGCCCTCCTTAAAGTCGTCTTGAGACTCGGCGAGGCATTCCGAGAGAAAAAAAACGAATTACGTTATCGATGTTGTGCAGAGCCGGTAAGTGGAAATTCCACATTTGTGTGGCGAGGACGAGTAATACCCAGAGAAATCCAATGAGCAGCAATCACTGGGTAATGGGTAGTGTAATAAGAGACAGGGGACAGTGTGACCGGGCATGGTTATGGGCAGTGTGAGGGGCAGTGTAAAGGGGGTGACCCCCCCCCTGACCCCGCCTTGAACTGGGCTCCCTCCTGCCATTAACCCTGACCGAGGGGCTGGGGGACAGAGCCCCCCCCACCCCCTACCCCGGTTGGCTGCCACCGCCGCCGGACCCCCACAAGCAGAGCACCCCCCCAAAAAAGCCCAACAGCAGTGTCCACGACCCCCCCATTCGGAGTGGCTGTGGAGACAATGGGGGGAGACAAGCCCATGAGGTCACCACGCGCACAATGCTGCCCGCGACGAGCACCTCCCCGCCGCCAGCCATCGCTTCCTTCCTGCAGAGACATCCCGCAGCTGCTGCTGCTGGCCCAGCGGGAACTCGACACCTTCGATGGCCGCTCTCTGTCTCATCTCACTCGGGGGGGGGGGGGGCTACACCGCGGAAGGGGGTACGGGGGTATTGATGCCCCCCCATTAATGCCCTCTCTTAACGGGAGTCCCCCCTAGTCCATCACACAGGGGTCCCAGGACCCCTCCTCACTCACCTCCCGCGCCGTCCGAGTTCTCGTTGAGGCTGCCCGAGGACCCGTGCCGGCTGCCCACGCAGCCTCCCATGGGACAGTGTGGCCGTGCCCCTCTCGCACGAGCCGTGCCCCCCGCGTTCCTTTTCTCTCAGCCCCAACGCTCAGCCGGGTCCAGGTCCCGTGGCCCCCCTACTCCTGGACCTTGCCCCTATCCCCCAGCCTTGCCTCCTGTCCCCGCCGTCTCTCGCCGTCTCTCAGAGCCTTGCCCGGCAACTAAGAGCCTTGCCCCCTCTCCCTGGCTCTGCCTGTACAGCACCACAGCATTGCCCCCTATAGCTCGTCGTGCCTATAAAACCCAGCGGCCTTGCCCCTCTCTCCCTGCCTCTCAAACCCCGCAGCCTTGCCCCTCTCTCCCTGGCCCCCTCTCCCTGGCTCTCGAACCCAGCGGCCTTGCCTCTCTCTCACTGCCTCTGTCTACCGACCCCAGCTGCCTTGCCCCTCTCACTGCCTCTGCCTCTCAAACCCAGCGGCCTTGCCCCTCTCACTGCCTCTGTCTACCGACCCCAGCGGCCTTGCCCCTCTCACTGCCTCTGCCTCTCAAACCCAGCGGCCTTGCCCCTCTCTCACTGCCTCTCAAACCCAGCGGCCTTGCCCCTCTCTCACTGCCTCTCAAACCAAGCGGCCTTGCCCCTCTCACTGCCTCTGCCTCTCAAACCAAGCGGCCTTGCCCCTCTCTCACTGCCTACCGAGCCCAGCGGCCTTGCCCCCCTTCTGTTTTGTACTCGGGCGCCGCGAGCCCCCGGGGGGGGCGGGGTCACGAGGGGGGGGGTGTGACGTCACGGGCACGTGCACGGGGGTCGTGACGACACTTCCGCCTCGGGACGTCACGCGCGAGGCCGCGCAGACTCCGCCCCCATCGCAACCCTCGTGCGGCTTCTTAGGGTTCAACTACGAAAGATTCGCATTCATAGGCTTGTGAGTGAAAGGGGCATTGCCCGAAACGTCGCCTGTTATGTTGATCCTGCGAGTGACTAACACGTGAATCCTTTCCAGTTGGTAACTATTCACTATTGAATGTAATTCTCATCAGGACCCATGGTGTAAACAAGGGCGGTCTTCATCTAATTCATCGCTGTCAACCCATGCGGTTTACTCCGTATTCTTCTTCAGGGAATTTGAGTTTTCAGCTCCATGCGGCGTACAGCCGTTTCAATGCAGGCAACAACAAAAGTGTCACGTTTTGTGTTTCTCCCTTGTGATGGGCCTTTGTAGGATGAACGTTGAGATTTATCGGGGCACGGGGTGACCAGTAAGGTCCGAATTGGTGTGTAATACGGCAAGACACTGATACAATGGGTTCACAGGTAAGCTAAATCAGTGTGCTGTAAAGAGAGGCCAAATTACCCGAGACGGCGCCTGTTCTGTCGAGTTGGTGCTGTTGGCTGTGCACGCCCGCCAACGCAGCGTCACCAAATCCATTTGCTTCTGGGCGACACGTTGTGAACCCTCTACCACCCGATACGATTGTCAGGTTTGCAAAGCTGATGTAGTGAGCGCATTCTAAGAACGCGTTTCAGGTGGATTGGACATCTTTTAAAAAGGGCTTAATAGCTCATTGAATTCCTCTAGTTTAAATATTCAGATTATTTTAAAAACTGAACCTAGAATGTCATAAAATAACAGACAAGTCGCTTCCTTCACTCGTATGTCCACATAAAATAGAACTTTTTTAAATCCTTTATATTAAGTTCGCATGCTTGCTTGCTTGCGTGCTTGCTTGCTTACAACCGTGCAAATCTTTCGGTCGTTTTTTAAAAATCCTTTATATTAAGTTCGCATGCTTGCTTGCTTGCTTGCGTGCTTGCTTACGACCGTGCAAATCTTTCGGTCGTTTTATAAGCCACTTCCCGTGATTCAATCGAGCTGACATTTTCCACACATACTCGTTGTGCCAGACAATTAATGTTCGTGAAAAAAAATTCCCAAAATTTTACATTTTTTAGGCAAAAAAAAATGTATTTTACATATATTCAAATATAACTAATTCATCGCTTTGGCTGAACATCACAGTATAAGAGCCCAGAGCGTAACCCCGGAGTAGCGCAGTTGGTAGCGCCCTCGCTTCCCATGCCAAAGGTCGCGGGATCGATCCCCGCGTCCTCCACAGGCGAATATATTTTTAAATCCTTTATATTAAGTTCGCTGCCACGCATATAAAGGATTTATTGTGAAAAACTTTGTTTTTACGGGTTACACTTATTAACACATCCCATCAGCCACGGCCTTCTGGGGAGAGTGCATCATTTCAGAAGCATTGGTTCAACGCAGTGGACCGGTTGCAACCTTTGGTGCCTCATCAGCAGTCGGCTTCACTTCAATGCTGAACTGCGAGATTGTACAGGCAAGGGCCCTGTTGTGTTTGATGGTGGTCTTGGTCGACACGAAACTTTACACGAGACAAAATAACAATTTACTTATTTAGAATAACCTATTCCAGTAACAACATTCTCCACAGCAGCAATGATTTAATATTAACGGTGCCAATGATCGCAACGGTTCACGTGCGTGGTTTTACTTTCCGCCAACAAATTACTGCGACTCTTAAGGGGAAGAGGTTTGCAGAACTTTAAGTGTCTCCGAGAAGTGGCGGAAGAGTAAACGAGGTTGCTGCTACTGCCGTCGCTATGAAGGTGCAGCAGCATTGGGATGGTGGTGGTGGCCACGTTCCGGACGGTCAGGGGGCTGCCACGGAAAAAGGACGCCCGGGCAGGGCAAGACGTGCAACGTACACGTGCATAGCCATCGTGTCAAGCCACTGCTGGATGAGGGCCTTCTGACGGGGTGTGATAAGATACATGAACTTTAGAATCAGATTTTAACCAATTGATCTGCACGCTCTTTTGCAAGATATACGTGGTATGCAAAACGACGGTTGTCGTGGTGGTGGTAAAACCGTCATCATTATGACCATCACTCCTGGCATCAATACTCGCGTGAAACGTGGCTCCCCACACTGAACCCCTCTCCCTTTTCCACAACCAGGGTCTCCCAATATTTGCCATTCACACGTAACAAACAAATCCTTTCCTTCGTAATACTGCCATAAGAAGAACAAGTATATAATGTTAGACGTTTCAAGCAATTGTCCTTCACAGCACGAAACTATGCAAGAGAGATATGGATTCACATGTAAGACAGGCCAACAATCGAATCATGTTTATTTAACAGATACAAAAAAATCAATGATTGTAAACGTGTTGGTATTCACTAAGGTGTGAGCCAGTGTGCTCTTGTGGGTGTGCTGGTGTGTGCCTGTGCTGTGTAGCAGCCAAGTACAGCTCGCCTGGGACAAATGCCATCTTGACGTCACCGCCACTTTGTGGCGAATGGTGGCTGTTGCTCCTGCGCTGCTGGTAGGGCTGTGGGTGTACTTAGCCTGGCACAGGTACTCTTGGGACATCACCATCATTGAGTGGCCAATGGCGGCTGTTATTGATGTTGGTTGGTGTGGGCGTACTGCTTGTGTGTGCTAGCGCTGGTGTGTGTGCTTGCATAGCTGGTGTGGCTGCACTGGGGTGCCTGTGATGCTGGTGTTCTGCCAGTGCCGATGTGGTTATGTCTGCAGGTACTCGGGCTGCACCCGTGCCACCTTGCGGTACTCCTTCGCGTGCGTCTTGGGGCACTGCATCTCGCACCAGCTGATCGGCACCATTTGCGCTCCTAGAAGAGGTTGGGTCAGGTCACCCGGGTCAGAGTTGCAGACGTTAAATTGGGTGGTATGTTATGTCCATCTTTACAGCGAGTGTGTGCGAGTGTCATATGGGAGTGGCAGTGCCGTGGTTTGCACGCCGCACGAAGAACCAGGCAAACAAGTTTGAATCCCAATTATGGCCGACATCAGTGATGAAAGTCTGACATGGTCCTGAGCCTCAGAGGTCGATTCAGCCTTAAATAGCACTTGGCATGGTGTATAAATATCACCACTGAGGAAACAAAGGCGGCCGGGCGTTTTGCTAGCCTCACGACCCCCTCGTGAGCCCTGTTGGCCTTCATAAGTGTTCGCTAACGGCACTTTTGCCAAGAACCCGTTGAGGCTATAAGGGGGACCTTAGTCTCTGTATAGTACAGCGTGGTTTGTATGCCGTATGCGTGTGCCATGACCTCACCTGCCTCGCTGTGCCCCACTACCACCCCCAGCTCGTTCTCGGCAGTGCTCAGCAAGTAGGATTGCGAGTCGCCCAGTGAGATCTGGAGTCAGTGCCGCCGAGTCAGGGAACGAACAACGTCGTGAACATCACCACCGAGAACCTGGGTTCGAGTCCGGGTTACAACTGCCTCTGATTAAACCGGGATCTCAAGTGCAGTGAGTTGATGGTCTGAGCCCAGTCACCAATGACTGCACAAAAAACATCACATGAAAGTTGGCTAAATTTCAGCTCGGAGCATTAAAAAAACATGTTTGAAATTACGGAATTACTCCCTGTAAGGTGGGAAAGGTGGGAAAGGCCTGTTATATTTATGGCTCAGAAGGCACTTGAAGGCATCTCAGAGGTGGTTGTGCTATCAGCTTCTGGATATCACTTTTTTTTACCAAAACATAAGAGTCCTTGCAAGCAGATAATAAAAAAAAACATCATTAAGTCTCATCTAGAACTACAGCGACGTAAATCTGATGCGCTGACAAAACGCATGGCGCTTCAAGGATACCACCCGTGCTAGGACGATGTCTCCGGGCCGAAAGGATTTGTAGATTTCCACCTGCATCGACAAGATCAAAGTTAGGTGAGGTTGGCAGATTACGTGGAGAATATTGTTCTTTACTCGCTCAAGCGAGGTGACCAGGTGACCCTGTGACCCCATGTGCCACCGCGATGGAGCTCGGCGACGGCCGCCTGTACCTTGTCTTTTTCCGTCGCTCGAACGTCTTCTTTCCTTGAAACAAAAAAAACATCGAGGGATGTCGGTCATTGCAGTGGGTGGCTCCGTGTGACCGACTCAAGCATGCTTTTCAGTGGGTGCCAGGGCCGCTGAGGAGACACTCACCGGATGGTCCCCCGGAAGATGCCCTTAAGAGGGGTAGACCCCACAAAGAGGATCTGGCACCGGGCAAATCGAGGGTTAATGCTGCTGATCTGGACACGGGGGAATAGGAGGAGGGTACAGGGGTTAAGGTAAGCATGGTTAGGGTTATAACACTCCACCATGGCCACCTCTGCCACCACATCCGTACCACTATTATCATCACCACCACCGCCATGCCGAGTCGGAGCTGACCTTTCCCGTAACGACGACGCCGATCTCGGGAACGAGCTGCGTGTTCGTGTCGCGCACCACCTCCATCACCGGCAGCTGTGGAGACATCACCACCTCAGTCAACATCGTCGGGACCCCGGCCTCCCGGCCTGCTCCCCCCTTCGTGCGCTCTCCGCTGAGGGCAGGCGAGGGGTGCATGGCAGGCTGCGGCCAGCATGTGGCGTCCATCACAACCGCACCCCGAGTTTTATCATAAGGATGCCGGACCTCCATGTGAGGCTGAGTCGTCGGCATAGGGAATGATACGAGGCGCACTTTCCGCCAAAAGATGAGCGAGTTAAGCAAGTGCCGGGAATTGGCAAGGGTTCTCTCACTATTCACGTGTGGTCTTCTCTCTCCCCACTAACTCACTCTCACTACCTACTCACTCCTGTCTAGCTCTTGGCTGAAACAGTCCCGCATTGAACGAAGGATTTGGTGTCAACGGATTTTGTAGTAGGGAGCTAGAGGCTTGTTTTGGGTCCTATTGGGCTGTTGGAGTAGAGGATAAAGGTTATTTGTGTAAATGAAAAACATGTCAATCCACTTCTGAATTAAGGCCTCCCCACACCAAGTCATGGGAGTTGTTTGACCCTCATTTGCCACCCTGGTCAGTGTGGGTTGGTAAAAAACAAGACCAGTTTATATATATATATCTCTCTCTCTTTTCCTTTCCCCCCCATCCTGGTCCCCACTTTGCAGGTCACAGTCAGTGCACATCTCTACCACCTTTCCGAGTATCGGTTTGTGTAATTGTATATGCTCCGGTGCTTTTAATTGTTGCACTCTTGCTGAAAACACAAATAAAATAGAGAAGTCACTCGGCACTGGTCTTAGCCGAAACTGCCACTTACCAAGCCACTGTCATCGGCTCGTCGCCGCCCATACCCAGCCAAGGACGCGAAAAGGTACCCGTGGCGGGAGTAGGTGCCACTGCCCTCCCTGCACTCCTCCGCGCTGCACAGGCGCTCACCTGGATGGGATACGCGGCACAAGTGATGTGTGACTTAACGCGTTTCACTCAAACTGCTCTGAGCTTTATGCAGTAAAGTTGTTTTCTCATTAAATGTTAACACTGGCATTGAACAGCCCGAGACCAACGCAGTTGTGTAGACGCGAGAGAAGCGCTTTAATGGTATTCTGCGCGAATTTGGCGGGAGTATACTTACAGTGTATATATATAATCGTTTAAGTCTACAATAATGCATATTTATACTACTTTATTGTATAATCAAAACAATTACAAGTTTAATTCACGACCCTTCTTCAATCCACTGATGAAGGCCTCTCCCTGCTCTCCGTGTCGGTCACGGGGGTTTGTGTTCCCCTCACCACCACGCTGCCGATTGGTGGTGCAGGGTGGTCCCAGAACCGGTTCAGCTGCTACACTCGCCACTGACGCTCGGCTAGGAACCCAATTTCGCCGGGTTTCAGATGCAGTCTGCTTACCACTACGCCACCCGTACAATATTACGTGTATTAAATCGCGTTGAGTAATTGTCATCGTGTCGGGGGTGGTGGCGCACTGCGCTGTTAACCCGGCCGTCCGAGATTCGATGCCTGGGCCAAGGCGAACACCACTGGCGATTGATATCTGAACCGTTACCTGGGCCTCCCTTTGACCAAATCCGCACCGAGTAACATAGCGGAACACGGTCAAACAACGCCCACGACCGACACGGCGTACAGGGGCATTCATACAGCGGTGGAGCGAGCAAATCGCTCTCAAAAGCAATTCACGCGGTACAACACACCTGGTATGCACGCCCTGGGGGCCGCCATGTTGAAACGGCCACCTCGAACAAACGAGCGATCTAATTGGTCAGCGTCCCGTCCAAAGACCGCGCGGCTGATTGGTCGGACTTGAGAATGACGTCACCGGCGCGGAATCCTATTTAGGGGAGAGGGCGCTGCACGAGGAAGGGAACGGGGAGAAGATGGCGCGGTGCGGTTGAGTGCGTGGCGGGGCGGATCTGGCTCCACCATCCGCGTCCATCCTCGTCGCCCGGGCCGCTTCGCCTCCCCATCCCGCACGTAGGCGCTCGCCCAGCAACCGCGGGAGTGGTCAGAGGCCACATTTGTGATAAAATGCCTTTTGTTTTTAAAATAAATTAGAGTGAGGACGATGCCGCGCGGAGCCAAGATGCAGCCACGAGGAGCCAAGGGTGAGTTTTGTGGCGCTAGAATTGAGTCGCTTGTTAGCCAGGGTTGAGTGGAACCACCGGAAGCCTGGGTTGGCCCACGTGGAGACCCGGGATGGCCTTAGCCCACGTGGAGACCCGGGTTGGCCCACGTGGAGACCCGGGTTGGCCTTAGCCCACGTGGAGACCCGGGTTGGCCTTGGCCCACGTGGAGACCCGGGTTGGCCCACGTGGAGACCCGGGTTAATTTACGTGGATACCTGATTGGGTCCCAATATAAAACGACGTTTCGGGCAATGCCCATAAATTGGGCAATAAAACGTAGTTTTTGGTCTCATCCGAGTCGAGTGTAAACTCGCCATCCGACGGCTAATTCAAGTCAAGCGAACCAACGTGAGAATATTAATTTTCAGCTCACCGGTGTGTTGGAAAGTAAGATTACTCTTTCAATATTAGGTGGTGCTGCTGAAGCAGTAATTAACTTTGCAACATTTTTCGATTTAAAGCTTTGGTGATTGCAGGGATTCATACTGGTAGGAACCTCCTGGTTACACCAGCCCACAGGGGATTATTGTGTCCGTCGTGCAGGGAGGGGTGGGGAGGGGCTGGGTGGGGAGGGGCTGGTTACCCCGTGGTGCCCTTATAAAACTCAACGTTTAACCTACTCACGCCGGCTTATGCCCGCCCTCAGTCGGGCATATTTGCGGAATACACCACGCCGCCGTTGACCCTGGCTAATGACCGAGCAACCCAACGTTCCTACCAGCTCCCTCCGCAGGAATGTGTTATTCTTGGTGTTTTCGGTAAAGTCACGTAGAAGGGAAAAATAAAATTATCACGACGTTTGGATTGCAACACGAGCAATCATCAGGTGTGAAAATCACAGCAAGAAAATTTGAAAAAAAACGCCACTTTTTTTATTTATTGCTGTGGCTTTTTCACACCTGATGACGATTGCTTGTGTTGCAATCGACACGTGATAATTTTATTGCTTTTATTATTTCCCTTCTACGTTACTTTACCGAAAGCACCAAGAATATAACTTGGGCCACGTTCACGCGCCATTTAAGTGTCGGGTGGTTGAGCGCTGCCGACACTTTTTTCCACGCTCTGACCCCCCCCCCCCTGAAAAAAACGATCAAGTATAAATCATAATCTTCAGTCGCGAAAGTCAACGAGCATCGCGATCAATGGGCAGATAGCCCCGTAGGCGTCCACTGCACATTTCACCAATTTTCATTTAGTCCTGTGCGAATACGCCCGTCTTTCTGGCACCAATCTTTGTCGTCAAGCCATTCATTCTCTGTTAGCTCTTGATCCTTCCCGGTTCCACCAAGTTTAGTCTACGCGCGTTACACTGCATACTGTTTATCATTTTGTCACGTTTCACATCGCAGGTAAAGAGGAGGAGGGTGCAGCCAACGCGACCGCCGCCGTGGACACGAGCACCTACAGCGTGGAGGAGCGCCTCGTGGCCAGCGTGTGGGTGCACGAGCGCCGCCACACGGGCGACACCCTCGCGGGCCTGCGCGACCGCTTCGTGGCGCGCTTCGGTCGCGAGGCGGCGCCCACCAAGGCGTCACTGCTCAAGTGGGAGCGCAAGACGTTCGCCACGGGCTCTGTGCGCGACCTGCCCCGCTGCGGCCGCGCCTCGACGCGCCGCGCCACGTGCGCCGCCGTGGCCGAGTCGGTGCGCCGCTACCCCGCCAAGTCCACGCGGCAGCGCTCGGCCGAGCTCGGGGTGCCGCGGTCCACCATGAAGGACCACATCAAGAAGGACCTGCGGTGGCAGCAGGGGGGGGAGGTGCGGCAGCAGGAGGACCAGCAGAGGCAGCTGCCGGTCTCGGACAGCGGGTCGCCTCAGAGCCGGCTCGATCCGAACACGGCGGCTCCGGGAGTGGCGGCCGACGGTGGCGGTGATGGTGCTGGTGATGGTGCCGGTGCCGGTGATGCCGAGGGACTCGGCGTCTAGATGTGTGATCGGCCATCGTTGAGAGACAAACTCCAGACATCTGATATCTCATCCATCCAGCCGTGAGCGAGCGGAGGAGAGGGGTGGACAAGGATGGGCGGGCCGAGAGCTGAAACCGGCAGGAGTCGGGGAAGAGGTAAGCGTGCCGTCGGGTTTGGGTGGAGCCCATTTAGAGCCACGGATGAGCTCCAATTGTCCGTGATGGGGCCAGTGGACAACCAGCCGGGTCGATTTAACACGTAGGGCTTTCGCGACCAATATCATCCAGGGTCATTGTTAAATCCGTACAGAGGTAGGGGTCAGTAGAGGGCCATTGAGCACCGTGACTGAACCAGTCATGTCACCATTATTGGACGGTCAGTGGAGCACCGAGCGGGCAGCTCTGCGCAATTGCCGAGTCCTTTATTCAGTCGACAGACGCGCACAGTTGTGTAACCAAAATGGTCTGCGAGAATCTCCATCAACTATTTTTGTTTAGCAGGTAAAGCCCGCTGAGTTTGTTAATCTCAAAGAAGTTGGCTTATCTTGTGGACATCTTTAGCAGCCAAATACTCTTAAACGCGTGATGTTGATTCTAAATGTGGAGGGGAAAACCCATGCCACCACGGGGAGAGCGTGCAAACAAGTCTGCAGCGCCATGCAAGCTCCCAAAATGCTGGCGTCAGGATCGAAATCGAAACCACGATCACCTGTATACCAGGCGCCCAATATATATATACACACACACACAATACTGTATACAATATACACGGCACGTGTGCTGCGTGTGTAACCCAGTGGTTAGTCAGCCGCCCGGGCTCCCGTGCCCGGCTCGGCGTTACGTCGCTGGGAGAGCAACGGCCCCCCAAGGCTCCCCCGCTGCCTCTCGTCGTCTTGACGCGGGGGCAGTGGGGGGCAGGGGGGCGGGGCCTGCTCGAGAGTGGGCGGGGCTCGCGCCGTCGGCCCCGCCCTAGTCAGCGCGCCTACAAAACCACGTGCCCGCCACGTGATGACATCCTGTGTGGACTTAACAGACTCATCTTGGTTTTTTTTGGTAAAGTCACGTAGAAGGGAAATAATAAAACCTAATAAAATAAAATTCGCACGAATTTAGCATATTTATGGCAAATTAATGTTCCATGCAAATTCCTTTGTCAAGGTGCTCTCCTCTAACCCAGCTTAAATATAAGCTGCCAAGCTTGGTGATGTTCATTCGGACGCTGTCTTTCCGACAGCCCTGTTCTTCACCTGAGGACGGCTGCTTGTGTTGTGGCTGAAACGTCGTGAGAATTTTATTATTTCCCTTCTACGTGCTTTTACCGAAAGAACCAAGAAGATGAATCTCTGCAGTCACGAAAGCTTTAAATCAAAACTTAACAGACTGTTGGGGCAAGTGCTGTTGGCGAACATCTATTGAGCCACCTTTGTCGCCCCAGTGGGGATATTTACGCTGCACCAGGTACTAATTTGAGGCCGAGTCGACCTAGGTGGAGGCCCAGGACCAGTTCAGATAATCGTTGCCGTGAGTGGGAATTGAACTCGGGTTACGGGGTTCGTAGCTTAGGGTGCTAACTGCTACAATTCGCTGTCTTGTTACGTATAACATGCAATTTTCACAGGCCTAACCCGAAAGCTGTGGGCCCTTGAAATGCAATAAACACAAGCAGTCTGGACAAGTGTAAATATTGCTTGTTCGCTAGGTATAGGCTGGACCTTGCAAACGAGATGCTCACCATAAGGGATTTTCCTGGTGGAACGTAATCGCATTAAGTTCTCCAATTGAAAAACATTGATTCTTGAACGTGTACCAAGGGGAACAAGCAGCCATGAGCTTACAGAAAAGATGCTGCACGTGCCTTCTGGGAGTGTAACTTCCAGATTGTTTCAAAGAAACCTAAGGTCTGGTATTGGTATTCATTGTCCTGTCAGGCTTGGCTGAAATCAATGCTGATAAACAATCTCGCTTCACATTAGGTTTCAGTTTAACTTGACCTTTCATGTGTAGAATAAGTAAACTGAAGGCAATGTCCCACAAGTTGTTTCTGCTCTTGTGTTGCAGGTGATGGAGGGGAAGGAAACCCCCACTACCCCTGTGGCTGCTGGGTCCAAAGGATTTATTATTGAAGTTTCTGCATTGATTAGATTCTCTACGATTTATGCAAATGATATGGTAACAATACAAACTTGAATGAGACATTTTACAAGAGCCTGAGATCTGGTTTCAATAAAGCCGATTTTTGTGAAGTTCTGTCTGGCCCTGAGTGTTGTGGAGTGCTGATTAAGTCACAAGAGCAGGAGTGGTGGTGTGATATTTATTACAGTTTAGGGTAGGGGTTGGTGAGCACAAAGGGATTGTTGGGCCATGAAGGTGAAACATGTTTAGTGCACACCTGTCAAACAATCTACACTGAACTTAATTTTAAACTAGCAGCTAAAGTAAACTTAATTCAATCTCAAGCCCGACTGTACTAAACCACTAGCCTCTGCTAAACCACAAAAGGCACTTGCATTGTATAAAGTAACACTTCTTTACAAGAGGTAATGGAAACCACTAACTTGGTGCTACAGGCCTGAATAAAAAAATTAACTTGTACCCAAAATAACCTACCCTTTAAATGTCACATTTCTAGTAAAGTGGTTTCAGGGGAGGAAAATAACTGCAGTATATAAACAGCCATAATACGAATTCAAAATACAAATCACAACCATTTGAGCTACATGCAAACAATTCACCTTTAACATTTCAAACTATGGCCTTAGAAATGACCGCTTCAGGAAATGGCCCTTCAGTGCTTGTCCACCACAAGTCATGAACATTTTTTTAAAATTAACTTTGAAAACTAGTACCACAGCCTATTGCAGCAAATAAATTAAAACGTGAACTCCTGGTCCTTAAAATTCGAGGAAACCACTCCAGTCAGTTACACTTCCTAATCACATGCTGACACCTTAAATAGTTTCAAACGTTCTGGTTTCAATGTTACTACAGCAATAAATCCTAAATAAAACAAATCACAACCATGTCACCCACACTAAAGCAGTTAACCACTCAGAGGATCATAGATATGTTTGGGTTTTAAAATAACACCAATTTATCACAAGTCCTAAATTAAAATATTCATAGGTCACTCATACTACACGATCACACACACTGGCAGAGAACCATTCCTAAGATGGAAGCACATGGGCTCCACACCACGCAGAGGGAGCAGCAGCCCTCCCCCCAGGTATTCTCTTGTAGCCCCCGTTCCACGAATGCATCCGAGACACGTCAGTGAGGCCCTGCTGGTATGGGTGGTTTTCCGCCATCTTATTTGAAGTCGAGCAAGAGACATTCTTAAACTGGTTTCGCAAGACATCTTGAATCTGGCTTGGGGGTCGAGCAGGGTCCGAGTTAATTGTTTTGATCACAACATGAGCATAAATAGCTCGTGATGTCGGCAGCAAAAGATTGGAATCTAGTGGGGAAAACCGACCCAGCACCTGGTGCCGCATTGGGCTGGCTCAGCATGGCCCTGACAAGGCTGTTGTACAGTGGGAAGAGGCATCGAGTCCCTGGGTTGCTTGAGAGTTAGTTCCAATGCCACGCGTGGGGCTCCTGGGTCTCAAAGTTCCTCCAGCTCCCTGGGTGTCCCAGGTTGCCCCGTCGCTCGCAGAATCGCAGAATGCCTCATCGAGCCACCCAATCTTCTCTTGGGAGTTTTCCAGGCCTCTTATGGAATAACCGAGTCGAAGCACTGCAGTCCCTTCGTGTTTCCCCCCCGAATTGCTCGACGAGTGTGGGCCTCAGGTAGTGTGCATGCGCGTGAGCAGCGCCACAGCAGTGCTGCGGGGCCGCGTGTGAGCCCATGAGCGGCTCTTGCTGTGGAAGCGACGCAGCTCATCCTTGAAATCCTGGTGCCGCATGGGGCGGTACGCGCTGGGGTTGCACATGTCCTGCCGCACGCAAACACGGGACCACAGTTAGAGAGTACTTGTCAAGACCGTCAACGGTGCTTCATTGTTTTCATATCACTTTACTCAATTGGGATTAAACAGCAGCGATGTCATATGCCCCCCCAACTGCAAACAATTTTCAGGACCATCCTTAAATTGTTGAGACTCGGCGAGGCTTTCCTTGGTAGAAAAGTAATAATTGTATTAGGGAGCATTTATATGAATTCACTCCAGCCACGTGCTCACCAATAGTCACCTGCTAATCCATTATCGTCATTCCCTACCCTACCAAGCTCTTATAACATTAACTTTACTCAATTCAAAGAACGTGTTACACTTATTGCAGTTTTGATAGTGCTGTTTGCTACTGGCTAATTGATGGTTTGCGCCCTGCGCTCGGAAAGTAAAAAACAAACCAAAAATTATATGCACAAATATCTATCACGAGACATGTTCCATCCACTGCTGGATGAACACCTTATTTGTTACCACGTTCTTGCAACGCCACACTCCAGTTGAGCTGCACGAGTTGCTTTTTTTGTTGGTGACGTTATGGTCGCGTTATTGTGTTTATGGTGGTGTTAGGTGTGATGGTGGTTGAGGTGTTTATGGCAGTTTGGTCTACTGTGGAAAAGCTGGCAACCTTATCTATATGAATGTGGTGGTGATATTATGGCAGAATGAATGTGATGGTGCTCTGGTGGTAGGCAAGTGGTTGAGGGTGGTGAAGGGTGATCGCTGTGGTGGTGGTGGTGGTTGTAGTCCTGTACCGGCGAGTGTGGGAAGAAGTCCTTATAGCCCCCTCGCAGCACGTACATCTCCGGGTAGTGCAGGGTTGGGTACGAGTTCACCTCCCGGTCCATGCGCCGCAGAGTCTGGCACCTGCAGCCACGCGGCGTGACACGCGCACACACACACACACACAGCGTTAGGACCGTACCCGCCGCAGTCACGCCAGCTACGTCGCCTTCGCAGACTGTGGGCGTGTTTAAAAATCAATTTATTGTGGTTAATGCAGACATGATTCCCTGTAAAAGGTTTCAGCTTGGTGTTTTAACATCTTAACACCTGTTTTGTTGCCAGAAAAAAATGGGAAAACATGCATAAATTTCAACTTGTAACACGCTGTGGTAATCATTCGCTCGCTACCAGGGAGAAAACGACTCCGAGACGCAAGGAGGAAGCACAGATGAGCGGGAAGGCAGCAGCCACACGACGCCAGCAACTGCCCAAGCTCTGCAGTCCTCCATATTAAATGGTGTTATCGGCCAATTATTGAGTACACGTGTGGGAGGAAACATGTGCAAGGGGGAGACAACGCCCCATCTTGCACAGGAGGAGTCCTCATTTTAGCTGTAGCGCCTTTTCCTGGCGAGCCAGGGTACGGCTCCACCTTGACACCCAAAGGAAGGGATCACTGTTGTTATAGGCTGGTGTCAGTATGTGGTATCTATGGTAGTGGCAGGCACAGATATAAAACGGTATTGGGGGGTAATATGTAAGTGTGGCATTTATGAGGATGTGGTTCTATTCTTGCAGTGGAAATATGGTTCAGGAGCTCGGTGCCAATGTCAAGGTCTCCTGGTCACGATGAGAGGGCTTCAGGAGAGCTCGCGTAGTTTTGCTGTTCCTCCTCCATTGAAGGATTAGACTACAGCAGTTAACTACGTGGTCCAGCGTCTTCGAGGAGGATCATTAAAGCCAGGAGGTGCGGTGCTGTTTGCGTCTCGAACGAGGCGTCTATTCCGGACGTGGGTGTGCGGCGCAGTTGCCAATGTTGGGTTGGGCGGAGAGGGGCCACTCACTGGCGGGGGCCCCGCTCGGAGGAGAACTCGCAGTAGAACACGAGCACCAGCTGCTCGCTCGCCGATGAATTGGGGGCTGGGGCCCCCCGCAGCAGCTGTTGCACGAGTTGCTCCTCGCGGAAGAGGTTGAGGGCCCCCCGCACGTGGCCCCCCTCAAACTCGTAGGGGTAGCGGCAGTCGAGGACCAGGAAGCGCGGCACGGAGCCGGAGAATTCACCTCGCAGCAGAGCGGTCATCTACACAGGCAGAGATCCCCAGTAAAAACATTAACAGACTGTCGGTGCTGTTAGCGAGCGGAGGCCGGCACGGCACACGAGGGGTTTAGCACAATGCCCAGCCGTCTGTCTCCCCAGTGATGATGTTTACACACTGCAAAGGCCGAGTAGACTTCGGGGAGGCCCAGGTCCGATTAAAATATTCATTACCGGTGTTGGCCGTGAGCGAGAATCAAACTCGGGTCACCGGCTTCATAGTGCGATAACCACTGCCCCACACAAGCACATATACTGTATATACACAAACACAGCTACCCACAAATACACGCATGCACGGACAACATGCACCAGCACACTGGGATACATGTACATGCTATGCACGGATAAACAAGCATGCACACAGACACTACGAGCTGTGGTGTAATAGCGTGGCGATGTCTGGCGTTATGCATGCGTGTGGCGTCGACATTTTATCGTGGCGTTGTGGCAATCCCGTGATCTGACGATATGGTGCAGTGTTAGGAGCAATATTTTGCGGTGTGGCATTGCCAGGGTATGGCGGCGGTGTGGTATGTGTGCCATCACTCACCGTGTCCTGGGTGATGTAGTTAAGGTCCTGGTGCTTCCCGGACACCGTGGGCAGCGAACACGGCTGCGGGGAGGGGTATGGTGGGGGGGGGGGCACGCAGGGAATTAGCCGATGACTTTTAGCGACTCCCTGCCTCAGTCAGCTGGTCCAGCCAGCCAGTCAGGTGGTGCGAGGTGGAGGGGGGACAGGAAGTTAGGTGGGAGTCGGGCGGGGGGGAGGCAGTTTCTCACTCACCCGAGAGAAATCTCCCAGCATCTTCTCCTCGTCCAGACACGCGTCCAGCGCCTGCTGCACAGCCTCATGGTCCCACATTCCTGTGGGCGCCTTCAATGGTGGCGGCGACAGCGATGGCGCCGACGGCGATCGCGGCACCGACGGCACCAAGAGGGGGGCGATTGCACGGCGCCGCTTCTGCGTCAGCGACTCGGCCGTGCTCGCCCGGTGCAAAGGGCGCTTGAGGCACCCCGTGGGCGACCCGTCGCCGGGGGTGAGGGGAGACAGGGGGATGCGTGGCCCCCTCCACAACTGCAGCCCCCCGCTGCCGGAGGGAGGCGGCGGGGTCGGATGAAAGATCCCCGCCGCCGGCGACACCATGGGTGCGGTGAAGAGGCTCGCCATGCTGGGGGGAACCTGAACACGGCAGAGAAAGAGGGGTGCAGAAGGCATGAAATGAGCCGGCGCTGAAGCCGACCTGACTGAGGGGGGGCGGAGGTGGGGGGGGGCAGAGACAGACCACGACGAGCAGTGAGCCAGCAGTGGCGAGGGTGAACGGCGAGTCGCCACAATTAGCCACCAGTCAGAGTGAACAGGCAACACTGGGTATCGGTGAATATTGCAAACCAGCACATGAAGGGGGACCTAATGTATATGCGTTTGTATTTGCACCTATTGCCATTTGCTTCACTGCTGTATCTGCCCCTGCCATACCTGACCCCGTACCTGGCAGTTCTCTTTGTTGACGTCTTGCAGCTTGTGGGCAAGCGGGGTGAGCTGAGTGAGCAGGGCAAGCGGGCTCTCGGTGCCGCTCACCGGCGTGGGAGTTCCATAGTCCATTTTCCTGCGCCTGGGAAGGGGGGACGGTGGGATCCACAGTTGGAGAATCGATGGATTCTTGAATCTATCCGTGCGGAGCCCAGTTCGTTTTCCCCCTTGTATGTGTGGTTTCTCCAGAGTCTCCCACACGAAGCCAAACACCCTCCCCCCCCATCCGCTTCCCCCCCCCCCTCACTGGCCCCCTCATTCACAAAGGAAGCCCGAGTACAGAGAGCACCTGCTGCTGTCGCTTTCAGTTAGAGACCCCTTCACAGAGATCTCTTTCAAGGAGCCCTTTACCCAGCCAGGGCAGGGGGGGGGGGGTCCCAGCAAAGTGTGTGCACGCACATACACACAGCACACCACAGATGCACCCACCATTCACATAAGCCCACCACTTGCGCACACATACCACAGATGCACCACAGCGCTTGTGCCAGGCCGTGTGCTTTTGAGTACACCATTCACACACAGACATGCAGCATGAACACTTACAACGCACGCCACACACTAATCACATGCACCACAGGAAGCACGCCAATTACGTACACGCCCCACTCGTACACCACAACACTGCCCTTACTAAACCCTGATGCTCACCTCCTCCTCACTACCACCTCTTCTTCCATGTCCTCCTCACCCCGGCAGTTGTTCCTGATGGGAGAATAACGAGGGAGATGAAGTCACGTCAAAGTGTGCACATGATTTTAGAGCAGTAGTATAGCGCGAAACGCTCTGTGCTACAAACCCGGTGACCCGAGTTTCATTCCCACTCACAGCCAACACCAATAACATTTATCTGAACCGGTCCCGAGCCTCCCCTAGGTCGACTTCGCCTTAAATTAATAACTAGTGCAATCTGTAAACATTAGCTTGGCGAGACAAAGGCGGCCAGGCGTGGTGTTGGCCACCCACTTTATCATGTGCCTAACAGCACTGTCAAGGCCATATGGGGGGGTCTTTGTACACGTATGTATGCGAGCAAGCTAGCACACTTGCTCACATGTCAGCGTGCACACATATGTAGACGTGTGCACATCTTCCCGCGTGTCTAAAGCATGTATAAGCGTGTGCATACGGGGGTCTGCGAACGCACACGCGCGCGCGCGCACGCGCGCGCACGCGCGCACGCACGCGTGCCATCTGCCTCGTCCACGCCCACCTCATTGTGCCTCCCAGTGACCCCTCGCCCTGCCAAGGAGGTTCTGAATGGGACCTGCATTCCAACAGGGCTCCCTCTAGGAGATGGGGGACCAGCAGCTGGAACTCGCGGGCCCACCACCTCCCCTACATCCCCCACCACCCTCCCCCCACGCTTTAGTAACAGCTCATTAAGAGAGCAGCTGCAGGGACAGATGGGAGGCGGCTTTGTGTGTCCATGGATCTTTGTACGTGTCCATCTGTGTGTCCATCTCCCTCTGTCCAAATGTGTGCGTCTGCCTGCGTGTGCGTCTATGCGTAAATGAATGTCTGTGTTGTCTTTGTCTGCGTGTTTTGGGCATCTGTCATTCTGTTTCTATGCCTGTGCGTCTATATCTCCCTTTGTGCATCTCCCTGTGTTTGTCTCCATCTGTTCATCTCTCCCGGCACGTGTCCCCCCGTGTGTGTATCGAAGCGTCTATCCTTGTCTCTGCATCCAAGTGTGACCGTCAGTATCTGTGTGTAGGAGTCTGATATCAGAGTCTAAACTACCCCTCTGTGGGTGCATCTCTCCATCTGTGTATTTGCTTCGAGGTGCATCTCTACATCTCCACTTGTCTGTGCGAGCATCTGAGCATCTGTGTTTCTTAGCATCTTTGTGCGCCAATTTATTTGTGTCTCTATGCGGCTTTCAGTCTCTTCATCCATCTCTGCATGTCTCTACGTATCCTCGTGTGTCGTCATCTCTCCATGTCCGCCCCTCACCATCTCCTCTCCATGTCTTCTGATGTCTCTGGATCTTCTTGTAAACAAAACTATTTTATTTTACCAGATAAGGCCCACTGAGCTATAAAGCGCTTTTTCAGAAGCAACCTGGCTACAAATGATAGCTCAACAAAGTGGCATAACTAATCTAGAAGCGTGTTTCTAAATGGAGGGAAAAACCGGAGGACTCAAGAGAAAAATCCACAGGACCACGGAGAGAACATGCAAATTCAGGCGTCAGGGTCGGGATTGAACCCACAACCTCCTCCATACCAGGCGAGAGAGTTAACTCGCTACCAATTGCATCTCCCACTCACCGTCCGCGAGTTGCTCGTATCCCCAGGGGACTCTGGAACCCAAGGAAGGAGTCTGTGACGAGAAAACAAAACAGGGGGTTGCAACGCATGCCTGGTGTCCCAAAGGGGAGAGGGTTCAAAAGGGTATCACACAAGTTAAAATGGCACGGGATTGGTTTGTCTTAACTTGCTTCTCATTGATCATTGTGAACCCCCCACCAACCCATGCAGAATCAGAATATGTATTTATACTGGATGAATCCAATGAGCTATACAGCTCTTTTTAACAGATTCCCAGTCCTTTAATCCGATGCACCAAGACCCTGAGCGTTTTGGGGGTTGATTTAGAGGGAAGGATGCATGCGGGTCAGACACAAACCTGAGTCCCAGGAATCCGGGGAGAAGCTGCAGAGCGGTACAATTTCCTGGTCTTCTTGCCTACTTGGGGTCAAATGACTGACACACACAACACACAAGTGTTTAGATATGCAACACACGTGCACACACCCATGTACATTTTCCCTCCTTTGGCTGCCATTTTGTTACTAGGCTTGATCAGCCATTTTCCCATTTCACCTTGGCATGTTCTGCCCTAGATCACTCACATTTCTCAATGGTCAATCATCCTCCACACTTTTTGTAGGGGCGAATGCAAATTTGGAGTCAATAAAAAAACACGAGCAAAATCCAAGATCATGCAAAATTTGGATAAAATTGTTGCAAGTAACAACTGTAAATGGTTCAACCATGAGGTATGGAGTATCTACCGATGGATGAAGGCCTCCTCCACCCCCAAAGCCATCATGGTGAGCGTGATGCAGCAAGCAGCCCAGCAGTCAAAGACGTTCAACATACATACTGCACATACAACTACTGCACCATGAGCTCCACAAGGGGACCTCCTCTTGGGTGCAATCCCAACACACTAGTAACTAATTGATATGTTTTGTTTATCCACATCATGGGACCTGCTTTGCATGTAAGCAAAACATGAGAATGTTTTCCCCTTTTCTGGCAACAAAACAGTTGTTAAGATGTTAAAACACCAAACTGAAACCTTTCACAATGAATCATGTCTGCATTAATCGCAATACTTGTGGTCAGAATGAAAAAACGTACTCTGATAATATATGCATTGTCTTTTAAACCGATTGGTCCACACCGGACACCTTTCTTTGGGGCCTCGTCTCAAATGGCGTTAGACCAGAGGACGCCAAAAGGCCTAACGCCGTTTTGAGACCAGGCTCAAAAGGTTTGGTGTTTCAACATCTTCACACCTGTTTTGTTGCAAGAAAAAAGGGGAAAACCTATTCTCATATTTTGTTTACATGACAAACCTAACTAAGTATTTGTGTATGGTGGTGGCAGGTTTAACGGCACATTTATATTTTACGCGATCTAACCCAAAAAATAAATCCTCTTATTAACAATATTGGTTGCGAAATCCTCTTCCTATGTGTTAAACTGCAATCCCTACGCTGGCTGCGACCAATTTTTAACCCTTGCCCACCGGCCATCCATTTTAGCCACGACTGGGCCTGACCAAGCTCACTTAGCTCTTCCTAACAAACCCTTCTGTTGATGATGCTGCTGCTGCTGCGATGGCAGTGGTGCACGTGCATGATTAACAAACAAGAGAATTCAACACGGTCGTCAATTACAAGTGTATGTTTGTAGCCTAAAAAGGAAATATATAAAATAGGCAATGGTCCTAGTTCAGAGCTAACAGTGACCAGAGAGAAGAGTGGTCGATGGGAGACTGCACTTGGTGATACTATGGGGCCTGATGACCTAGTTTTTAAGTAGGCGTATGAATGCGTGCGTGTTGTGCTGTACTTATTTTGCACCAACAGTGCCAATCGAGAAGTGCGATGAAAGCAACCCCGTTACAAATTAACTTTCAAGACAAACGCGTTAATTTCACAATACATTTTCTAAAATTATTAACAAAGGATATTAGTCTACGACCAGCTACGAATAGGGTATGAAAATGGGCTCATTGCCGATTAAATAGTCTCCCCCCCGAAGGCCACACGCGGTGCGACTGACAAATTGTGTCGAGGGGTTTTTAATTCGCGCCGTGGCGAGGTGGACAATGGAAAGGCGTCCCGCGAGAAATCGACATCACAGAAACTTAAAATCAATGTTCAACACAATAGTCACTGTACTTTGTCGGCTCGGGCAGGTTATGTTGACATTGCCCACGGCACAATTACAAATGAAGTCACAGAAACATTAAAAAGGCACAGAGGGCGCAAATGTGTACGGTTGACAGAATCGTGCACGGTGCGTGGACGGGGTAAAATTATTCCACGACAATTTTTCAGCACATCACCACCATCATCATGATCACAAATACCATCACCATAATACCATGTTCACACTTCCATCACCACGGCATAAATCACCAAATCATCAACAGCAGCAGAAGCACCACCATCAACAACAACAACAACCCCGCGCGGGCCTCGCGCAAGGCCGAGGCCCAGGTAGGCCTCGCTTAACAGACGCGCACGGAGAGCGGTGGGGGGGGGGCATGTGACCCCCATCTGATAAAGTTGATGGAAGAGGGCCCCGGTTAGGGGGGGGCTCGTTTATGGATCAGACAGAGGGGGTCACCACGAACCTGTAATGCAGCGAAATGAAATCCCGCGGCAGGTGGCCGACCACGGAGGTCCGCGCGGGACTCGCGTCTCCCGGGTGCGCACTCGCCAACTCGGCCATGTCGTTGTGCAACCCTTGAGCAGGCGTCGTCCCCTTCTTCCTCTTCTTCCTCCCCCTCGACTTGCTAGCCCCTCCCGACCCTCGTTGTCTACCGAGGCTGCTGGTGGACAAAGGCGGAGCGCGTCGGGAGCGTGCAGAGAGCGACCTGCAGCTGCAGCTGCGCCTTTAAAGAGGAGGAAGCGGGAGGGTGGCGCCCAGCGCGCCGCGTCACCGACGACGTCTCGCGTCGCCGACGCGCTGACGTCATCGCTTTTTAAAATTCCGCGCAAAATCCCCTCGGCCAATCGGAGGCCCGCATCCGCGAGGGGCGGGAACAACGCGGGCCAATGAGCGTGCGCGAAAATACGCGCGGCGTCCCGGACTTGGAGGGCGGTGGACTCAGCGGGCTGAGGGGGGGGGGGACTTGAATAAAAACATTTTTTTTACAAATAAATTTAATTTAAAGTTAGAAACACCGTCACGTGCCGACTCAACGGAACGTTGGTTGCATCTTTTTATTAACGGTTAACGTTGATGACGGAAACAACGACTTTCGGTGCGTGGTTGGTCCCCACGAGCGAGTGGTAGAGTCCGATTTTCCGTTCCCCCCTCCCCCCCCCTCGTCTTGAGGGCCGAGTGGTCGAGTCCGAGCCGGGTTTGGCGGGAACTAAAGACGCGGGCTCCCTCCGGCAGCAGATTCCCACCGACAACAAGAAGCGATGGGCTCCAGCGACTCGCCACCCCCAGAGCGGCGTCGTGCTTGGTGAGCGGATAGAGGGGGGCTGGGCACGAGAAGAGAGGGGTCGGTGAACCAGTGAGAGCAGGGCCACCAATAACCGAACAAAATTCAATTAATCGAGGGGATAGAGGGAAGCAGCATCCTCAGACCCCGCTTGTGTGTGAGCGACGCAGGTTGGTGGACGACGGGACGACTCGTGGTCCCCGAGATGCGCAGCAGGAGGAGGAGGAGGGCCGTGTTACGAAGCGGGACGCTGTGGAGACGCGGGACCCGGACCTCGCCCTCAGGAGCCCAGTCCGCCCCGAGCGGGGCACCCGCGACGACTCCAGGCGCAGCAGCCGCGACCCACACGGGTAAGCGAGAAGGGGGCCCCCATCGTGGTGCGTAGTCGGTATTCTACGCGGCACAGTATTGACGTGGGGAGCGGCGGTGCAGTGGTTAGCGCGCTACGCTACGAACCCTGCTACGCCTGGGCCTTCTCCCCTAGGCCGATGTGTAAAACATCGGCACGGGGGACGCAAATGCGGCTTGGTGTGGCTGGCTGGCTCCCACCCCACCTCCCACTTGTTATAAAGAGGCAGCACAAACACTTATGTGCTGCAGTAGTTAATAGCAGTAATAACAGCGGCGATCTCAAGCGCCCTGCCGCCAGAGCGTCGCGGTGACGTCACCGCGTTTAGGCGAGTGACGTCACGGCCCGCGCGGTAAAGACGCGGACGGTGAAGATTGACAGCCCTGGAAAATAGCAGGCTAAGTAAGATTCTCTCTCTTAGGTTTTTTCGGTAAAGTCACGTAGGTAAAAATAAATACTAGAAATAAAATAATAAATCACGACGTTTCGGAGGCAACACAAGTCTCCGTCATCAGGTGGGACTGTCACAGCTAAATTCACTATATTTAAATTCACTATATTTAGCTGTGACAGTCCCACCTGATGACAGAGACTTGTTGCCTCCGAAACGTCGAAGATTTATTATTTTATTTCTATTATTATTTGTATTATTTATTTTTACCTACGTGACTTTACCGAAAAAAAATAAGAGTATGAATCCTTGCAGTAACGAAAGCTTCAAATCTAGAATTAAGATTCTAACTGGTATCATGATACATAATTATTCTTTTTGGGTCAGATTGCTTAAGTAAAATGTGTGTCGTACACCCTCCGCCACCCGATACAGCCAATACCTGATGTAATCGGTAATGTTGGAGAGCATTCAGCACAGCATTCAACAGTTGGGTACTCAAACAATTTGGTAATTAATAACTGAACACGACAACCAACGTTAACTAACTATGGTGAATTAAATGAGGAAGTTAAATAAAGCTGCCAAGTAGAGTTACAATTTGAGGAAACTGATGAAAATAATTGCTGTGGGAACCCAACTGGGTACGGTTTAATGACACCACTCCCTACTGTTAAAACCACAGACTGTTAGTGAAACATACGTTTTTCGGGATGCCCATGTACTTAAAAACTATTGCAAATACCAAATGTGCAAAATTATCATTAATTATGTTACAATACACGCATTGAATCGATGGTTAATCCGATCATTGTCTTAAAATGCTGCCAAATAAACATCCCAATGGTAGCATTAGACCTCCAAAAGGCGTACAGCTCAAAGACAATGCACTATCAAAGTAATGAGGGCTCGGGGTGAGCATCTACATCATTAGACCTGCTTTGTCAGTACTCTTAGGTTTTTCGGCAAAGTCACGTAGGAAAATAATAATAATAATAAATACAAATAATAATAAATTAAAATACCTAAGTTTAATCACGACGTTTTGGAGGCAACACAAGTCTCCGTCTTCAGGTGGGACCGTCACAGCCACATTTACTGTATCAAGTGCCAGTACCAAAATATAATAATAGGGGTTTTCCCCTTTTTTTCTGAGCTGTACGCCTTTTGGCGTCTTCTGGTCGAGCACCAATTGGGTCGAGGCTCAAAAGAAAGCCGTCCCTTGATGTGGACCAATCAGTTTCAAGGACAATGCATATATTATCATAGTGTTTTTTTTTGCATTTTGACTGCAAGTATTGTGGTTAATGCAGACATGAATCCTTGTAAAAAGGTTTCAGTTTTGTTGCCAGAAAAACGGGAAAATCCTATTATCCCAATGGTATTTATAATTTCTACAAATTATGTTCTCATGGATTTATGATAATTAAACAAACATAACTCTACAATCGACGTGAAAACAAATGGGAAACGCCAAAAAAAAAACAATCAATTATCAATACATATCGCTGGTGGGAATCTTGACAAATAGCCATGTCACAGGAGGGCGAACCATTCCGTGCCACGGGGACCCTGTGGGGATCACAGGGGTCTCACATGGGGGCCTGCGTGCTGTTCTCCGCCAGGCGGAGACCCGAGCACCCATCTCAGAGTCGTGGCTTGCGACTCGAGCGGAGACGATTTCCCGAGGACAATGAGACGGAGACACGGAGATACAAGCCTCTGTCACGGTACAGGGGGGTGGGAGACGAGGTGTGACGCGGTGGGCTGAGTGCCACAACTATACTTGCTACACCTGCTACATCTGTCAGGACTCTCTCTGCCGCTGCCACAACTATATCTGCCACGACTATAACTGCCATATCCATACCAAAACTGTACCTGCTACATCCTACACTTGCCAAAACTATACTTGCCACACTCACACCTGCTATGAGGAGGTGTTACAAGTTGCGTTTGAGTGTGCATGTATGTATGGTGTGTGTGCGTGCAGTGTACACCGTGTGTAGAGTTTGCATGGCCTGGTGGCTCAGCGGTAGAGTGAGCGACTTACAAATTGGAAGGCTGCACGTTCAAATCCTGTTTGGGGGTTGACTCAGCTCATCATCCCTCCATCTGGGGTGAATGATAACTTTGTGGGGAAGTCAACACGGATATAAATAGACCGACCCCTGTCATAGGAATGTGGTGATTTCCACCAGCGGTTCTGCAGGGCTGTATACAGATGAGCATCAATGCCTCAGTGCTCATTCATCTTTTTTTTATTGTGTACATAGTTTGTGCACACACTGTGTATACACAGTATGTGTAATGTACACCATGTGTGTACATTCCCATCAAATCGTTCGTACATTTGATATTGGCGCTATCATTTTTACAGCACAAGGCTGTCATCACGAAGGAAGACGCTGATTTATTTCACACAGCAGTAGTTTCACAGGAGGGGGCGATGTTGCTAAGTGTAATCCCAATTGAGTATCCTGCAGGTAAATTTCGACCGTGATACTGGCACAAAATTGCCTATTCTTTTCAAAAGCCATCGCAGGATCTTTAGCGTCCACTGAAGGAGACTGCGTCGAGTATTTCATGGTTCAATACGCACCACAGTATTAACGGGGGAACTGCTAAACTCTGCAGCAAGCGGGGAACACGCTACTGCTGGGCCATGTCTCTTACCCAATTGTATATCGTACATGCTGTGTTTGTGTGTATGTTGCGTGTGGTGTACCTGGTGTGGTGTGTTTATGGTGTAGTATGGCGGTTAGTGCGCTTTGCTACGAACCCAGCCACCCGAGTTCGATTCCCACTCACGGCCAATACCAGTGATGATGATCTGAACCGGTTCTTGGGCCTCCCGTAGGTCTACTCGAATGAGTACCCGGTATGATTTGTAAAATCACCGCCACTGGAGAGACAAAGGTGAACGGGCTTGGTGCTGGCCACACACCCCCTCGTGTGCCGTTCCGGCCTTCATAGGTGCTCACTAACAGCACTTACTCCAACAGTATTAAGACTATATGGGGAATCTTTGTCTTTTAATGGTGTACATATGATATTTATTGTGCGCCCCGTGTGTAGATGCGCTGGCTCTGCACCGACAGTCTCCTCGCGTAAGCGTTCCTGCTCTGGCTTGACTGACTGGGCCTCCGCTGTGGAGGATGATGACGACAGACGCTCACAGATCCAGGAAGAGATGAAGAGGTGCCCACCTCCATCCCTCCAGCTCGCAAATCACTACCAGCACCAGCAGTTTGCTCGTATCCGCGTGTTTAACTTACTGTTGTGTGTGTCTGCATATGGTGTCCGTGGTGTCATACCTACTATAATCACCCAGGAATGTTTGTCCTTAACGCTCGTGACGTCACTCCACGTCGACCAGCCCCCCTCATTAATAATCATGAACAGGTTACGTGTGTCTCTCTGTGTGTGTCTCTCAGGTGTGTGTCTCTCTGTGTGTGTCTCTCTGTATGCGTCTCTCTGTATATGTGTCTCTCTCCGTGTCTGTGTTTGTCTCTGTGTGTCTCTCTGTGTATGTGTCTCCGTGTCTGTATTTGTCTCTCTGTCTGTGTCTCTCTCAGAGCTTGCATTCACATCTGATGACGGTTGCTTGTGTTGCAATCGAAACATATTTATTTTATTTCTACGTGACTTTACCGAAAGAACCAAAGAGTGAGGGATTATAACCTTTAAATGAAATATGTCTGTGTCACCGCGCCCTTACAAAATGTACACGCGTTAATGCAATGAATGTCACGTCGTTTTCTGCTTTTCGCTTGCAAGTTTCATATTTCTTGCCATACACCCGTCCTTGGATGGGCAAAAGGCTAGTTGGCTATATGTGTGCATGCATGTGTGCTTGTGTTGGTGTTTGTTATGTTTTGTTTGCCTGGGTGTGTGCTTGCGTCTAAATGTGTGCGTCACATCAGTTACGTCTGCATATGTCCTTGTGTAGCGTGTCAATGACGTGTATCTGCGTATATGTCTGTATGTATGTGTGTGTGTATCTGGTGTACCTGTGTCCACACCTGTGGGTGAGATTGCGTCTGCGTGTCCTTTTGGTCATGTCTGCACGCTTATGCATGCACACGCGTCTATATAATTTGCGTGCATGTGTTTGTGTGTATTTGTAGTGCCCCTATCCACGCGCGCATGTATCTGCGCGTGCATGTGTGCGTGCGTGGAGTTGTAGTGAAGTGCTTAGTACAGCATTACGAATCTGGCGACCAAATTTCGAGGCCTGCTTATGGCCAACATCAGTGATGAATTTATGAATTGGTCCTAGGCCTCAGCTATGTCGACCCTTAAATGAGTACGTGGTGCAATGTGTACACATCAGCATTGGGGAGACAAAGGTGGCCAGGCGTGGTGCTGGGCACCCACACCCTGATAAAGTTCCATACCAGTCTTAATAGGTGCTCGTTAACAGCTCTTGCCCGATGGGATCTTTGTCTCTGCGTGTGCAGGGTGAACGCAGAAGGACTGCCCAGCAAGGCCAGTGACATGGAGACGGACGAGGAGGTGCTCGTGCGGCGCCAGAAGCAGATCGACTACGGCAAGAACACGCTGGCGTACGAGAGCTACGTGGAGGGGGTGCCGCGGTGGGTCCCGCACCAGGCCACACCACTGCCGCTGGGCTCCACCGGCACTCGACATGCACTGCCTCCACACCAGCTTGGGCCATTGTTGTCACTTACACTTTATACGGCTCGTGGTCGCACAAGGCCTGCCATTTAAAAACCGATAATGGGTTTAATAATCAAATTCTTGAATAATTAGGTCGCTCAGCTCTAATTGGAATGAGCCCTCCGCATTCTTGTCCTCTTCCCTCCCATCACCGACAGGCACCTGCGTGAGCCGGGCAAACACCCACGCACGCCCAACAAGTTCAAGAAGTACAGCCGACGCTCCTGGGACCAGCAGATCCGGCTGTGGCGCCGGGCACTGCATGCCTGGGACCCCGAGTCCACGGAGGGCGCCGACGACTCCCTGCAGCCCATGTGAGCACCATGGCAGTGGTGGCAGTGGTGGCAGTGGTGGCAGTGGTGGCAGGATCACAATGGCGGTGGTGGTAAAGCGCAACCGCCAGTTTGAGTTGGTGTTTGGCCCCTGTAGACTTCTGTCCCTGCTCAGGCTCGAGACTTTTTTTTCTCTGCCAATGACTCACTGCAACTTTCTGTAGAAATTAAATATGCCCATTGTTTATTAGCACGTGATATAGCAATGAGATGCCATATCAATACACATCGTATTGTTTTGACTCACATTGATCCCCATAGGGTCACACAAGACCTATGGCTGCCTCTTTCTCTCTGCACAGCATCTTGAGATGCAGCCACATGCAGGCACTATATGAATGCACGTTTTATTGTGTTGCAGAGCTGAGCTGGTGCTGCAGGATGGCTTGGACGACCTGTGATACGACGGTGGCGGTGGCAGTGGTGCTTGGTGGTAACTGCCACAACAGTTTCCAGAGTTTGGTCATTTGCTACACGGTGGTGCGGAGATCCAGCGACCCTCACACACGTCAATCTTGGCACACACACGTGGACTCAGTGACGATTAGCATTAGGTAGGTGGCACACACACATACTGGTGTCGTTCCAGTGTGCAGGAGGTGCAACTGCTTTGGTGCCCATAGCCTGGAGTGTCCTAGGCGCTGGGGTACAGTGTGGTGAAATTGGACAGGGGGGGGGGCCCCATTTCATTTGCACAAGGACCATGCCAACTGCGCTATGCCAATGTATTGCATTGAGACCTATAGACTTACATGGAGATCCATAGAATTACATGTAGATGCAAACTAACAGCGATTTCATTGACCTACATGCACTTAAATAGACCCATAGACCAACATGTATTTACATCGGTGATATAGCTATTGAGTGTGCAGGTTGTGCAGCTGCATTGCTGCACGAGTCCACGGGCAGGAGGGGGGGCAGGTCCTGGGCTATGAAGAGGGGGTAATGTGATAGGGACCCAACCCCCCTCCCCCCCCGCACATGCAGCCACTGACCTCTCGTTTGCCCGGTTTCCACGAGCAACAACCCGATTGTGAACTCGAGTTTCCGCCCCAGACAGCGTCACGTGTTGCCATTATCTTTGCGCTACTTGAAATGGCAGAAGATTTTGTTTGCGGCCTGAATTTCCCAGGCGGGTGTTGATTTCATGGGCTGGCCTAGAATTCCCTGCGTCTGATTTCGCTCAGAGATCAGTAAGTTGTCAAACACGTTACAATAAATAATGTAGGGTGACAGGATCAATCAATTGTACATTTAACGATTTAAGTTAATTTGGTTAGCAACCCAATCTTGACCTTTGTTGCGCACATATTTCTGGGACAGGTGATCTTGCAACATAATATAAGTAACTGCAGATTGCGGAATCCCCAATTTAACCAATTCGAGTTACCCTTCAACTCGAGTTCTGGGTGAGAGATGAGGCCAACCCTAGTTGGCGGGCCTACAGAAACCTGATGTTTGCTGGACACAAGCCTCAAAGTCGAAATATTTTCTTGGCCAAATTAGTATTGAAGTGGTGATCGTCTCTCATGTTTATAGCTCTGAAAGATTAGACGAAAATCTGTATTCCTTACCCGGGAAATCCCCGTTAACTTCCCCACAACATGATATAAATTGTATTGGCCCCGGAGACATGATGTGCCGAGTCAATTCCCCAAACTCACAACTTTTATGATTGTGAGATGCTTACTCCACTACTGAGCCACCTGGCCTGACTTAAGGTCACGTGCATACATACACACACACGCGCGCGCGAGAGGCCAAAGTGAAAAGAGTAAGTGGACTCGGTCACTCGGAGTTCCCTGTCCTCTGCCAGTTCTGTTCGCGTGGCCCCCGTGACCTCTGTGCCGACGTGGGTGGGCCTCCTGCCATGTTCACTGGATATCCCTGCCATGGACATTCCCCTCCCCACCACTTGCCTCGCGCCTCAGGCGGCAGGCATCGACACTGTCCCTCGCCGTTTCACGTTCGGATGTTTTTAATGTTGCGTGAGTGTCGTGGAGGTGTGTGCATGTGACGGCTGCCTGGCGTCACTGCCAAATTGTTTGGAATAAAAGTTTCAAAAGTCTTGCACGTCCACTCGTTCTCTGATTCCTGTGCTCGCGCCCCTCTCGGTCTGCGATCGAGGGAATTTCATAAATACAGGACTTTAAAATAGACAAAGTGTTATCGAATTGTTTTTGTTATAGAAAAGGGGGGTAGGGTGTACGATAACTCATAAGATGGTCCAATATGAACGACATTTCACTACGGGTCTATTGCTATTAGGGACGTACCCTGCAGAAAAGTGGCCACATTGATCAAAGTATTGCCCAACACTTGAAGATGAAAATACAGTAACTGCTAAAATAATTCCCTCGACCAAGGCCGCCATGGTGTAACATCATCTTGCAATGTCATGCGCTCGGCTGCTGGATAACGCAATTAGCCTGAGACGTCATTGGGAGTCGTGGCCTGTGCCAAAATTAGTTTCAAGCTTCAACAATAAAATAAGTAATATTTTTAAAAACACGCTTTAATGAAATGTACCGTACTAGTAATGGCAGAACTCCACGACTCCAGGAAGTGGCCCCGAAGCTTGCCATAACGTAAGCGGCCGTGGTGATTTACAGTCAACGTCAGTGGAGCGTGGACAATTTGACCCAACGCGAAACATAACAAAAAAGAATGTTAAAAAATATATATTGTTTATTTTTTAATAAAAGAATATAGTATTGTCATCAGTATGACAAGTATACCAAGTTTGCAGTCGATACCACATTGGGAAGTGGGTAAAAATCGAGTTACAAGATTTGAGGAAACAACAACAGTGAGTTAATGAAACGTGTAATCATAAAATAACACTTTAATATCGTAATTATGGTCACACCTACATGTACGTTGTAACGCTTCAATCTGACACGCCTGGCCGTGACGTGTGGAGTGACACGAGCTGTTTGAGAGTTTTCATTCATGAAAAGTTTGCCGACACGCGAGTCTCAATGCAGTTTTAGAAGAGCTTGTACGACATTGGGATGTTTGTCCAAGTCCACGAAATTGGGTACAACGCCACAGTTTACGATCATCATGTCGTGCGCGGGTCGGTAAAGTGTGGGTACTACCACCTCTTACAACACGTCTCGCTAACGTGGAAGAGTAGACCAAATACCCTCGAGAGTCTACAGGGCTTCTCTGCGTGGAGTGCATCCATTGCAATCCATGGCGAAAGTTTCGCTTAAAACGCTGACTGAGTGGCTGGCCGTCGGAACCGGTAACCGATTCGTAAAACGGTTACCGTTTGAGTAACCCTCATTGGAAGCCCGGACCACCCCCCACGCTGCTCTGTTTACAAACTCAGTGCGCGGTGACGTCACGACGCACGCGCGGGGGGTGGGTCGGTGGGGGGAGCGCGCGGTGACGTCACGGCGCGTGCGCGGTGACGTCACGGGGAGACGGGTCGCCATGTCGGGCAGGCGTTGAGGGCGGCGCGGGGAGAGAGGAGAGTGGAGTGCGAGAGGCGAGCGAGGAGTGGGAGAGAGGAGAGCGGGAGGGAGGGAGGAGAGGGGAGAGAGCGGGGAGAGGCGAGATCGTCTCCCGGCGAGGAGGAAGGAGGAGCAGGAGGAGGAGGAGGAGAGAAGGGTGAGTTCTCCCGGGTCTCGGGCCCGTTGGGTGCCAGGCGGCGCGGGGTGCCGGCCTGTAAACACGAGGGGCCAGTGGGAGGGATGCGGCCTCCAGTCCCCGTGTCCCCGTATCCCTGTCTTCTCTCTGCTTGTCTCTCTGCTTGTCTCTCTGCTCGTCTCTCTGTCTTCTTGTCTCCCTGAGTCCCGGTCTCATCCGCTGTACCGTTCTGTGGCTGTCTGCCTGCGCCGTCTCCCTTACTGCTTGTCTGTCAACTCTTGTTTACTTGGGCTGCTCGCTCGCCTCTCACCGTCAGCTCCATGTGTCTCTACCTTCCTCGCTCCATGTCTCCCTGGGCCCATGCCTCTCTGTCTCCCAGGGTCCATGCCACTCCGTCTCCCTGGGCCCATGCCACTCCGTCTCCCAGGGTCCATGTCACTCTGTCTCCCAGGGTCCAAGTCACTCCGTCTCCCAGGGTCCATGCCACTCCGTCTCCCAGGGTCCATGCCTCTCCGTCTCCCTGGGTCCATGTCACTCCGTCTCCCAGGGTCCATGTCACTCCGTCTCCCTGGGCCCATGCCACTCCGTCTCCCAGGGTCCATGCCACTCCGTCTCCCTGGGCCCATGCCACTCCGTCTCCCAGGGTCCATGTCACTCTGTCTCCCAGGGTCCAAGTCACTCCGTCTCCCAGGGTCCATGCCACTCCGTCTCCCAGGGTCCATGCCTCTCCGTCTCCCTGGGTCCATGTCACTCCGTCTCCCAGGGTCCATGTCACTCCGTCTCCCTGGGCCCATGCCTCTCCGTCTCCCAGGGTCCATGCCACTCCGTCTCCCTGGGCCCATGCCACTCCGTCTCCCAGGGTCCATGTCACTCCGTCTCCCAGGGTCCATGCCTCTCCGTCTCCCAGGGTCCATGTCACTCCGTCTCCCAGGGTCCAAGTCACTCCGTCTCCCAGGGTCCATGCCACTCCGTCTCCCAGGGTCCATGCCTCTCCGTCTCCCTGGGTCCATGCCACTCCGTCTCCCAGGGTCCATGTCACTCAGTCTCCCTGGGTCCATGTCACTCCGTCTCCCAGGGTCCATGTCACTCCGTCTCCCTGGGCCCATGCCTCTCCGTCTCCCAGGGTCCATGCCACTCCGTCTCCCTGGGCCCATGCCACTCCGTCTCCCAGGGTCCATGTCACTCCGTCTCCCAGGGTCCATGCCTCTCCGTCTCCCAGGGTCCAAGTCACTCCGTCTCCCAGGGTCCATGTCACTCCGTCTCCCAGGGTCCATGCCACTCCGTCTCCCTGGGTCCATGTCACTCCGTCTCCCAGGGTCCATGCCTCTCCGTCTCCCAGGGTCCATGTCACTCCGTCTCCCAGGGTCCAAGTCACTCCGTCTCCCAGGGTCCATGCCACTCCGTCTCCCAGGGTCCATGCCTCTCCGTCTCCCTGGGTCCATGTCACTCCGTCTCCCAGGGTCCATGTCACTCCGTCTCCCAGGGTCCAAGTCACTCCGTCTCCCAGGGTCCATGCCACTCCGTCTCCCTGGGTCCATGTCACTCCGTCTCCCTGGGTCCATGCCACTCCGTCTCCCTGGGTCCATGTCACTCCGTCTCCCTGGGTCCATGCCACTCCGTCTCCCAGGGTCCATGTCACTCAGTCTCCCAGGGTCCATGTCACTCCGTCTCCCTGGGTCCATGCCACTCCGTCTCCCTGGGCCCATGCCACTCCGTCTCCCAGGGTCCATGTCACTCCGTCTCCCAGGGTCCATGCCACTCCGTCTCCCAGGGTCCATGCCACTCCGTCTCCCTGGGTCCATGTCACTCCGTCTCCCTGGGTCCATGCCACTCCGTCTCCCTGGGTCCATGTCACTCCGTCTCCCAGGGTCCAAGTCACTCCGTCTCCCTGGGTCCATGCCACTCCGTCTCCCTGGGTCCAAGTCACTCCGTCTCCCAGGGTCCATGTCACTCCGTCTCCCAGGGTCCATGCCACTCCGTCTCCCAGGGTCCATGCCACTCTGTCTCCCTGGGTCCATGCCACTCCGTCTCCCAGGTTCCATGCCACTCCGTCTCCCAGGGTCCATGCCAATCCGTCTCCCTGGGTCCATGCCACTCCGTCTCCCAGGGTCCATGCCACTCCGTCTCCCTGGGTCCATGTCACTCCGTCTCCCAGGGTCCATGTCACTCCGTCTCCCTGGGTCCAAGTCACTCCGTCTCCCTGGGTCCAAGTCACTCCGTCTCCCAGGGTCCATGTCACTCCGTCTCCCAGGGTCCATGCCACTCCGTCTCCCTGGGTCCATGTCACTCCGTCTCCCTGGGTCCATGTCACTCCGTCTCCCTGGGTCCATGCCTCTCCGTCTCCCTGGGTCCATGTCACTCCGTCTCCCAGGGTCCAAGTCACTCCGTCTCCCAAGGTCCATACCACTCCGTCTCCCTGGGTCCATGTCACTCTGTCTCCCAGGGTCCATGCCTCTCCGCCTCCCTGGGTCCATGTCACTCCGTCTCCCAGGGTCCATGCCACTCCGTCTCCCTGGGTCCATGCCACTCCGTCTCCCTGGGTCCATGCCACTCCGTCTCCCAGGGTCCAAGTCACTCCGTCTCCCTGGGTCCAAGTCACTCCGTCTCCCAGGGTCCATGCCACTCCGTCTCCCTGGGTCCAAGTCACTCCGTCTCCCAGGGTCCATGTCACTCCGTCTCCCAGGGTTCAAGTCACTCCGTCTCCCTGGGTCCATGTCACTCCATCTCCCTGGGTCCATGTCACTCCATCTCCCAGGGTCCATGTCACTCCGTCTCCCAGGGTCCATGCCACTCCGTCTCCCTGGGTCCAAGTCACTCCGTCTCCCAGGGTCCATGCCACTCCGTCTCCCTGGGTCCAAGTCACTCCGTCTCCCAGGGTCCATGTCACTCCGTCTCCCAGGGTTCAAGTCACTCCGTCTCCCTGGGTCCATGTCACTCCATCTCCCTGGGTCCATGTCACTCCGTCTCCCAGGGTCCATGTCACTCCGTCTCCCAGGGTCCATGCCACTCCGTCTCCCTGGGTCCATGCCACTCCATCTCCCTGGGTCCATGTCACTCCTTCTCCCAGGGTCCAAGTCACTCCGTCTTCCAGGGTCCAAGTCACTCCGTCTCCCAGGGTCCATGGCACTCCGTCTCCCTGGGTCCATGTCACTCCGTCTCCCAGGGTCCATGTCACTCCGTCTCCCTGGGTCCATGCCACTCCGTCTCCCAGGGTCCATGTCACTCCGTCTCCCTGGGTCCATGCCACTCCGTCTCCCTGGGTCCATGCCACTCCGTCTCCCTGGGTCCATGTCACTCCGTCTCCCTGGGTCCATGTCACTCCGTCTCCCTGGGTCCAAGTCACTCCGTCTCCCTGGGTCCATGCCACTCCGTCTCCCAGGGTCCATGTCACTCCGTCTCCCTCGGTCCATGTCACTCCGTCTCCCAGGGTCCATGTCGCTCCGTCTCCCTGGGTCCATGTCACTCCGTCTCCCTGGGTCCATGCCACTCCGTCTCCCAGGGTCCATGCCACTCCGTCTCCCAGGGTCCATGCCACTCCGTCTCCCAGGGTCCATGCCACTCCGTCTCCCAGGGTCCATGCCACTCCGTCTCCCTGGGTCCAAGTCACTCCGTCTCCCTGGGTTCAAGTCACTCCGTCTCCCAGGGTCCATGTCACTCCGTCTCCCTGGGTCCAAGTCACTCCGTCTCCCAGGGTCCATGCCACTCCGTCTCCCAGGGTCCATGCCACTCCGTCTCCCTGGGTCCATGTCACTCCGTCTCCCAGGGTCCATGCCTCTCCGTCTCCCTGGGTCCATGTCACTCCGTCTCCCAGGGTCCATGCCACTCCGTCTCCCTGGGTCCATGTCACTCCGTCTCCCAGGGTCCATGCCTCTCCGTCTCCCTGGGTCCATGTCACTCCGTCTCCCAGGGTCCATGCCACTCCGTCTCCCTGGGTCCATGCCTCTCCGTCTCCCTGGGTCCATGCCACTCCGTCTCCCTGGGTCCATGTCACTCCGTCTCCCTGGGTCCATGTCACTCCGTCTCCCTGGGTCCATGTCACTTTGTCTCCCTGGGTCCAAGTCACTCCGTCTCCCTGGGTCCATGTCATTCTGTCTCCCTGGGTCCATGTCACTCCGTCTCCCTGGGTCCATGTCATTCCGTCTCCCTGGGTCCATGTCACTCCGTCTCCCTGGGTCCATGTCACTCCGTCTCCCAGGGTCCATGCCACTCCGTCTCCCAGGGTCCATGGTTAACTGGACCCCTGTCACTCTAAGTCCTTGTGACCCTCTTTTACTCGGTCTCGATGTCCCAGAATCCCCGTCGTCTGGGTCCCCGAATCCCCATCTCCCCGTGATCCTGGCTCCTCGTCATGTCTCCCTGGACCCCTATCGTTCTGATCCCTGTCTCCTGTATTTCTGGGTCTTCTCTGCCTCAGTCTGGCCTCCTCATCCCTGCTCTGCCCAAGTCCCCTGGTATCCCGTGCCACTGAGATCCCAGTCTGGTTTCGCAAAAATCCGGTGGAAACAGACAAAGATCCCCCGTGTATCATCGCTTCAACAGATTGTTGGAGAAGTGCTGTTCGTAAGCACCTCTGAAGGCCTCCACGGCACATGAAGGGGGTCGGTGGCCAGCACACATCCAGATGGAAAGACCTCATCAGTAACACACCTGAAGATACCGTTGTAGTATCTATAGCAGGTGTAAAGGTGTGTGGTAGCATATCAATAGATACCAAGTCTCATTAATCCTTTTCAGAAGGATCCTCTTACATTGCGATTTTTTGGCAATTCTATCAATGAGTGTTTGATTTCATGTGAAAGGAAACCAGAGAACCCAGAGAAAACCCACCCCTCATGCGAGGGGATGACACTCAACTCTCCTCTCAGATTCAGTCCGTTTCTCTACGGCCATCTCTCCTGCTAGTTTACAGCTCCAAGCCTCCCTACACATAACATCACCAGATAGTCTTCAAACTCTAAATGCTATAACCAGGCTCACCCTGCTCACCTGTTGACACCTGATGAGATCCGGCGCATTCAAGAAGATTTGTATAAGTTGAACTTTCACTGTCGTGTCCGCTTTGCAGGTGTGAAGAGGAGGAGGAGGAAGAGGAGGCGGTGACGGTGGCCACATCCCGGCGTGACCTATCCCCGCGACCCTGTGCCCAGCCCGTGACCCCGTACAGCGGTGCCGAATGGTGATCGGAGCGGCACCCCGGGGTCACCGCTGCCCTCCACTCGCGGAGGTCGCCCGCCCTCGCCGTGGTACGTGCCGCCACAGCCGCCGCAGCCGCCACCGCCAGCATGTCCGACGGTGGGAGGAAGTGGGGCTGCGATTACTGCACCTACGAGAACTGGCCCTCCGCCATCAAGTGCACCATGTGCCGCGCACCCAGACGCAGCCCCAGCATCATCTCTCCTCCCGAGGCCGGCACGCCGGGCTCGCCGGACGACGGGCGCTGGCGCCGCGTGCTCACCGACGTCTCCCCTAGCGGCAGAGGAGGTGGCCCAAGCGGAGGGACGCCCATCATTTGCCCGGACGCTGACGACGTGGTGGGCGGCGGCGGCGGCCTCGGTGGCCTCGGCGGCCTCGGCGGCGGTAACTTGACGGCGGACTCTGCCGGAAAGTGGAGCTGCGCCACGTGCACGTACATGAACTGGCAGCGCACCGCGCGATGCTCCCAGTGCCTGACCCAGCGCGGCGGCTGCCGCACCGTCACCGCCACCATCGCTGCGCAGCGGTCTCCCCGCGGCGGCAGCCCCGGCGATTCTCCCGGCGCGTCCACCACGTGCGTCGCCCGGCACCGTCGCGGCGGCGGGGCCTCGCCCGTGTCGCCCGAGCACGTGGAGGAGATCCTCAACAACGACCGCAACCGTGCCGCGGCGCCGCCGGCCCTGGCCCCGCCGCCATCGGCGCCGGCGCCCCCGCCAACGTCCCGCGCCCCCGTCTCCCCCAAGTGGATGTGCGCCACCTGCACCTACGAGAATTGGCCCAAGTCGCTCAAGTGCTCCGTGTGCGCGCACCCGCGGCCCAACAACTACGAGGCGGTCGAGCCGGAGCGAGTGGCCATCGACGCTAGGGACGCCGAGAGGGCCGCCGCGCTCATAGAGCAGGAGCGGGCGAGGAGGCACGCCGCCGGCGGCGGCACGGGCGGCGTGGTCGGTTTGGTGGGCGCGGGCGGCGGGGGAGGGGGCTGCGGTGCGGGCATGCGGCGGTCTCCGTCGTCGTCACGCCGTGATCCGGACTCTCCGCTACTGGATGTCCCGCGGATAGAGTTTGCTGGCGCCGTCGGAAATAACCGTAAGGAGGATCGCGAGGTGGACTTCAAGCGACTGAAGCAGATCAAGAACCGCATGCGCAAGACCGACTGGCTGTTCCTGAACGCGTGCCTGGGTAACGCAGCGCCCGCGTCTCCCACGTCTCCTCCCTCCCCAAAGCCCCCACCTCCCTCCCTCCCTCCCAACCTCGGCCTGTCCCAGTGGGGGGCACCATACTGCCTATTTACATTTTGCAGTCGAGTCTGGAGTCTGGGTTAGAGCCCAGTGTCCGGTTGCATGAAACAAGTGAATTGAAGGTCACTTAGCTTGCACTGGTTTAGATGGGAATCCCCATTAATCGCATGTCATCATCCTTTAACATCACTTCCCCATCACTCCCATTATCACCCCCGTCTTCTTACATTGTCTCCACCCCCATCATCCTCTTTGTCATCTGCCACCATCTCCCACGGTCTCAAACCAGATCCTCATCATCCATAATTATCTGAGACCACTGCCCCCTCCCATCATCTCTCCCCATTATGTCATATCACCACCCCCCCATCCTTACCCATCACCCTCCATCGTCTCACAATATCCTTCATCCCCCCATATCCCCCACCACCCATCACCCCAACCCATTGCTCGCCCTCCCATCACTGTAGCTGAGAGCGACGCTCAGCAGGGAAATTAATTCTCGGATGAGCCGCGCTGCTCAGGATTTTACCGGCCACCCCTGCACCCCTGCGTGGCTTCGGATTAGCGGTGACCTCTCAGCTCGCACTGAGAGTACACGGGGAGAGCAGAGAGTACACAATGCGTACAGAGTGTACACGACGAGTGCTGACAGTACCCACCTTTGTTGAGTGTACACAGGTGTATGCAGAGAGTGCGCGGAGTGTGTTGAGATTGTCCAGCTGTCGCGGAGTACATGGGGTTTAGACACCTGGGGTAGAGCAGCAAGTACACAAGTGTGTGCTGAGAGTACATGGAGTGTGCTGAGAGTACATGGAGTGTGTTGAGATTATTTGGAGTGTCTTGAGATTATTTGGAGTGTGCAGAGAGTACACATCTTTCACTGAAATACAGGATGTGCTGAGAGTACATCGTGTTTTGAGAGGACACAATGTTTCCAAGAGTACACAGCAAATGCTGAAAGTGCTTAGAGTGTTCAAGAAAGTGCTCAATGTATGCTGAGAGTATTCTGCTCTCACTTGGAACACACGAGGAGTGACAAGTACACACCTGTGCTGAGTGTCGACGGCAGTGTGCTGTGAGTATGCACCTGTGCAAAGCATACACACCTGTGCTGAGTTTCCATGGCAGTACGCAGTGAGTACACACCTGTGCAGAGCATACACACCCGTGCTGAGTTTCCATGGCAGTGTGCAGTGAGTACACACCTGTGCGGAGTTTCCATGGCAGTGAGTACACACCTGTGCTGAGTTTCCATGGCAGTGCACATCCATACTGATGGTACATGGCAGTGTGCTGTGAATACGCGGCTGGTGCCAAGCCTGCGTAAGAACTGCACATCGATGCACATTACGTGGCTGCGGGTGGGGGGGGGGGAGACAGGGGGGTGCCAATGGCAAGTCCGCACACGCCGCTGCCGCCGCGGGCGGGCGCTACGGCACATGGCACGATCTCGGCGCCGTGTTCCCACGACCGTTAACGAGCAGCTCGTTAGAGAGATGGACGCCAGCGCCGCCACCGCGAGAGCAGGCCGGTGCTGCGCCTCCCGGCGAGGCAGGGAGACGGTGGCGCAGCTATTGAGTAGTGCGCAGGTGGTACACCTGCACAAGGGCCCACAAGGCAGCAAGGGTACAGGCGCCGGACTATGGAGATTGGGGCAGTAGGGGGATGGAAATTGGATAGAGGCCCCCCATTTTATTCCTTGCACCAGGGCCAATGCCAACCACGCTACACCACTAAAACCCGTCGTCGGCTTACATAATGACCTATATATAGACTTGCGTAGAGACCCGTAGAGTCGTATAGAGACTTCGAGATTCACACAGAGTCCAGTCAACGTGATTTCCTGCTCTAATGAGCATTAAGGTGTGACTCCTCTTCCATTTACACCCTGAGCCAGTGGTGGAAGTTCCACATTCTTATGGCAGAGGGTGAGTCTATCCATCGGACAACCACTGTTGACTTGCCCACAGAGTGTACATCGCGTCGAGCCTCATAGACTAATAATGAACCCATAGGCTATCATAGCACCTCTAGACTAGCAAAGGACCCAGTGGTTTGGCTCGCGAGTGTGCAGTTCCTTCAACTGCACTCGGTCTCTCAGACTGGAGGGGCCTATGCGGTGGGGTCATTCGAAGAATTGGGGGGGGGGCCGGGGGGTCAAATTGGAATGGGGGAAGGTAGCCCCTCATTTCATTCCTTGCACCGGGACCCATGCCTACCATGCTGCGCCACTGCTGGGAATGGCACGGGTGCGGCGGGGGTGAAGGAGGATGGAGGACGTCGCCCTAGGACCCATCTGTGCGTGCCGTTTGCGCCCGCTGTTTAGCCAGCTGCGTGCTGTGGCGCATGTTGTTTCGCCGGCTGTGTGGAGTTGTTCTGCACCTGCCCCTTGCTCGGCGTTAGAGTTGGGTTGCCGTTTGTTTTTGGGGAGCTGGGCGGGTAAGACGATCTGTCCTGTGGTGGCGACAGCGGCAGCAGCAGATTCGTTCTCGGCCGGTCAATGCCTAAATAGTAGCTCCCGGGAGACAGGGGGAGACATAGATCTTCCCGTTCCTCCCTGCACCTCCCTGCATCTCCCCGTACCTCCATGCATCACCCCGCATCTCGCCGTGTCTCTACACCTGCCTGCTTCTCCCCCTGGCTCCCTGTGCCTCGCCCGCCTATCTGTGCTGCAAGCAGCAGAGCAGTGTGAGTGCCACTCTTCTTTTCCTGAGCCTGTGCCACCACTGTCCTTGAGGCTCCCTATTACTCAACAGTTTACGATAAGAGATGTAATCTATGTTCTCTGTTACTGGTGTGTCCGTGTGTGCCACCGCGTGTCCTTGGGAGCCCTTCTGTGTCTCCCGCTCGCCGCGTGTACCTGTGTGTACATCTCTTGTCCCTGCGTTTCCTCTTGTGGCCCTGTGTTTTGTATGGCTCCATGTATCTATGTGCCTCTGTGTGTGTCCCTGTCTCCACGTACCTGAGTGTAGCTTTGTGTCTGTGTGGCCATGCATCCCGTTACCCCTCCCCATGTCCCCGCTTACCTGGATCTATTTCCATCTCCCCGTGTCTCTAAATGGCTGAGTCGATCTCCGTCACCCCTCGTCTCCACGTACCGTTGTGTCTCCTTGACTCCACGTGCCCGTGTGTCTCTGTATCTATACGCACGTGTCTCCATGTCTCCACATGTATACATTTCCACACGTGTCCGCGTATCTCCACGTCCCCGTGTCCCGGTGCTTCCCGCCCGCGTCTCTCTATTGACGCTCCGCATTGCTCAACAGTTTGTCAACAGAGTTCAAGTTGTCTCTGGTCCCCGTGGGACCCCCCCGTGTGGTGTCCCCGTGACCCCCGTGCGGCCCCGCGTCCCCTCCCCTGCGTGCATCACCCAGGCGTGGTGGAGGGCGACTTTGCTGCTGTGGAGGCGTACAAGTCTTGCGGGAGCGACATCGCGCGCCAGCTCACGGGAGACGAGGTGCGGCTGCTCAACCGGCCCTCGGCCTTCGACACGGGACACACGCTCGTGCACCTGGCCATCCGCTTCCAGCAGCAGGACATCCTCGCCATGCTGCTCGCGGAGGTGCGCAGATCCCCTCTTGAGGGACGACCATTGCCAGCACCATCACCGGCGCCGAGCACATCCCTCACAATCATCACCGGCACGATCGCCAGCGCGGTCGCCAGTACCCTCCTTCCCAGAGACACCAAGGCATCAACGCCGCCGCTGCCACCATCACCGGCCCTCATGAACGCTGAGCCCATTGCTATAAATGCCACCGTGACTGCACCAAGCCTTTCACCATCACCCTCGCGGACATCATGTCGTCACCGTCACCAAATGTTACCTCCGCAGACACTGAGCCCTCAGTATCACATTCACCGTCACCGATACCATCGTCCGTACTGAAACGGTTACTATCACAGGTGTGCTGTGTGTACCTGGTGAGGGCTGGACAGGTGTGCTGTGTGTCCCTACAAGTGTGTTATGTGTCCCTACAGGTGTGCTGTGTTCCCATGTGCCCCCAGGTCTCCCAGCACGCGGCCAAACGCATCCCGGCGTTTGTGTGCCCGGAGCTGACGGAGCTGATCCGGCGGGAAGTTGCCACGTCGCTCCACCAGCGCAAGGGCGACTTCCCCTGCCACTTCCTGTCTGACCTCCTGACCTTCACGCTGCCAGCCGGTGAGCCACGGTGTGCGAGACGAGGTGCCACGTGTGTCGTGAGGAGTTTGATGTGCTGCCCTCTGTGGTGTGCGGCGTGATGCGGTGTATGGGGCGCGGTGAAATGCAGTATGTGGCGTGATGCGTTGTGTGGTGCGTGGCGTGATGCGGTGTGTGGTATGCGTGAAGCCGGAGTATGTTTTGTGGTGTGGGGTTTGCGCCATGTGGTGGGTAAGCTGGGTATGTCGTGGTGGTGGTTAGCTGGGTATGTGGTGGTAGTTAGCTGGGTAGATGTTTATGTGATGGTGGTAGGTGCTGGTGGTTGTGCTAAGCGGTTGTGTGGTTGTGGTTGCCGTGGCTGCAGAGATCGAGGAGCTGCCCGGACGCGTGCAGGAGAAGCTCTACGATGAGCTGCTGGACCGCGACGTGCAGAAAGGTGAGCTCTCACCACTCGCTCGCCACACGCTCACCACTCGCTCGCCACATCCTCACACCTTCATTTCTAAGTGTGTGTGTGTTTTTGGTGAGTGGTATATTCTCTGTGAGTGTACTGGGTGAATGTGTGTTGTGCCCTCGGTGGGTTAGTGAGCAGGTGAGTGAGTGGGTGAGCGAGGGGGCGGGCGGGCGTGCGAATGAGCCACTGGCTGCGTTATTTTAGGCCCCAGTGTCTGGACGCGACTGTGGCCGTGTTGGCGTACGCTGATGTGAGCCATTATTTCCACCGCCACTTCACCCCTCCTCCCCCACTGCGCTTTACCCCCCCCCTCCGTCACCCCCCCCCCCGCCCCCTTCCTCCCTCGCCCACTGGCCCACTGGAGGAGCTGTTTGTGTTGGCACAGACCGCAGCCCCCAGGCTTCCTGAGCTACATCACAGGGCCTGACAGAAACCCCCCCCCCCCCCCCGTGCCTGCAGCACACACGTGTATACAGACACTGTATACACACAAGGACAAAGATCCCCCACGTAGCCCCAACAGACCATTGGGGAAAGTGCTGCCAGTGAACGACCACCTATGATGGCCGGTACGGCGCACAGCCACACGTGGTGTTGCCGGAACCACGCCCGGCCGCCTTTGTCTCCCCAGTGCTGATGTTTACACGCCGCACCAGGTGCTTATTTAAGGCTGAGGCGACCTACTAGGCAATTCCCAGGACCAGTTAAAATATATTCGTCGCTGTTATTGGTCACGAGTGGGAATTGAACACGGATCACCGGGATCGTAGCGCATTGTGTTCACCCACTGTGCTACTGCTCACACACATTACACAACCAAAACAACAGCCACCATTGGCCACTAAGTTGCTGTTATGTCACCACAGCACTTGGGTGCAGTCTGAGGCCACGTGAAGTGTGGAAGGTTCACTGGCATGAGGTCATGGGACAGACGCAGGTGTTTTGTGTTGACTGACTGATATGACTGGTTTATGCATCATCTGCACTCCTCACTGCGCCAATTTGCTGCGTTTTAGCGGCCCGGCGCTTCGCTTGTTGTGGCATCATTCCTCTGCCCTCCGTTGTTGTTGAAGGGTGCCTCCAACTGCTAAGTAGCGTCCTTTACTAGCCACCTCCATAGACGCCGATCTTGACACCGCTTGTACCAGTGATCGGAAAGTCGACTCGGTTACAGATCCTCCTGTACCGGATCAGCCCATCTCTTCCCTTGCCCATGCCCTGCCAGTTAAGCACCCTCTATCCGGCCAAACAGAAGCTGCTTGAGCATGCATTGGATGGGCATGCGGGCTACATGTCCCATCCAACACAGCCTTGCCTGTCGGAGAAGCTCACCAACGGGACTTTGTCCAAATATTTCAAGGATCTGTGAGCTTCTCATACAATCCAACCTGGTTAAATCAAGGATGGATCGTAGGCAAGCCACCCTGAATGTTTCAAACCAGCGCAGATGCTCCTTCAGAGGGGTCCAGGCTTCGCAAACATAGGAGAGGGAGGGCATAACTGTCGCTGAGAAGACCTGGAGCTTAGTCTGGAGCAACAAGCCAGGTAGCTTCAACACAGTGTTATGACTGATTCAAGTGAAACATCTGCTGCTCGTCAGCACACAGCCGAGGTACGTAAACGTATCCACTCTCTCTATAACCACCCTGTCACTCATGGCGAGTGGCCGGAGGGGAGTATTTGATGACACAATACCCAGGAAGTTGCTTTGTTTTTGTGGGGCTGTTGGTAAGTCTCCACCTCTTTGCCACGGCACATTCCAGGTTCAGCAATAGATTCCCCAACTCAGAGTGTGCAGCAATTACAAGACCATCAGCATACATAACATGGTTGACCAAGAGGGAGACATGCCTTGACTGCACTCAGGCATCGATCAGCCTCCCATTGTATCTCTAGCAATTTTAAATTCCTTCTGTACAACCATGGAAAGCTTCTCAAACTACGTGGTGAAAAATATGTTACGTAATGCAGGGGCCAGAGGACATCCCTGTCGCACCCCAAGGTGAACAGGGAATGGCTCTGACTCCTGGCTACGCAGCTTTACCCGGGCCTGCCCACCATCATGAAAATCCTTAATGATTGAGGGTCAAGGACCCCCAACAGCACAAAAAATACTCAATTAATGTTAATAACTACATGAACACACTCGCATACACAAAAAAACAAAGACACTCACCCACCTGCTTCCACACAAAATGACACACTATTTTGCTTACAAAAACAACGATCGAGTATTTAATGTTGATTAAACTGTAGGGTAAGTGCTGTTAGTGGGCACCTATGAACGCCAGCACAGTACACGCAATGGCGGAGCCAGGATTTTCAGGTAGGGGGGGCAACCCTTCCAGCAATGAAAAATTATAGGAGTTGTTAGTAAGAAGGAGTCGTTAGTAAGTAAGGACTTGTCTCTTGCTTTTTTTTGGCGCGTGTGCGGCGATGGCGCAGCCATCGATCGAGGGTCGAATTCGAACCGCGTTGTGTGATCGGCATCGCGCTCGCTGAAGGTGAATGTCTTCAGGGAAGTCGTGTACTGTATACGCAGCTGCGCACAATTCTGAGTCACTTATAACCGCTTTGTCGTTACTTATTGCCAATTATGGACTCAGACTATTGTTCTATCATCTCATAGAGACCCAATGGCAGTGGGGGTCGCAAAATGCCGATTTATTACTAATAAACCCCAATGATCCGATCAAAATTAGGGATTTCGATCGGATCATTGGGGGGGCACATGCCACTCCACCCCCCTCCCCACTGGCTCCACCAGTGAGTACACGAGGGCACGAGTGGCCAGCATTTTGCCTGGCCACCATTGTCTCCCTGAGTGCTGATCTTCCCACTCCACACCAGGTACTCAAACTGCTTTTTGTGTTTAGTTTGTTGTCCTCCCCCCACAACTCCGATTAGCGTGGTTGGCTACGTACCATGCAAAAGAAGTTCAACCATACATTAAGGTTGAGTCGACCTACTAGGGGACGCTCGGGTCCAGTTCAAATAATCACCACTGTTATTGGTCGTGAGCAGGAATTGAACTCGGGTCGCCGGATTCACACGGCAGCGTGCTAACCACTGCACTACCGCTCACTCGCACGCACGCACGCACGCACGCACCCCCACGTGCTTGCACACGTAATTACACATGCACAAGTGCACGAGCGAGAGCGATGCCCAGGCACCCCACGCCGCTAACGAGCCTCGCGCACGCGGCGAACGTAAGGAAACATATGTGGCATAAACGTCTCTCTCAGGGTGGGGGGCAGCCTGCGGGCCCGGAGCCAGGGAGACGGGTGGGGGGCCTGGGGTGGGAGGGATGGTGGGGCGGGGGGGGCACCTCCAATAATGTTGCTCTTGTGGGGGTCAGATTGACAGATGCGTCAGCACGGTACAGCCGTGTGTACGCGTCTGTACGCGCGCGTATGTGTGCGTGTGCACGAATCGAAAGTCTTCAAAGTTCACCTCGCCTGGCACAAGTGCTGTGGAGATTTGACTGTCATTTCGTGGTGAGCGACAGCTGCTGTTGTTGTTGTGTGGTGCGTGAGTGTTCGTGAACCTGTGTTAGCGCTATGCTGTGCTACGAATCCGGAGACCCGAGTTCGGTTCCCGCTCATGGCCAACACCAGTGACGATTATCTGAACCGGTTCTAGGCCTCCCCTAGGTCGACTCAGCCTCAAATGAGTACCTGGTGTGGTGTGTAGTACATCTCCACTAGGGAGACAAAGGCAGCCGGGCGTGGTGTTGGCCACCCACCCCCTCATGTGTCGTACCGGCCTTCATAGGTGCTCACTAACAGCACTTGCCCCAACAATCTGTTCAGGCTATACGGGTGATTTTTGTCTTTGTATGAGTGTGTTCATGTGTACTATATTTGTAAGTGTGTGGATTAGTGTGTGTTTGTAAGAGTACGAGTATGTACGCATGAGTGTGAGTGTATTATGATCGTGTATGTGTGAATGTGAACGTACGTATGTGTCTGTGTATTAGTGCATATAAGAATGTGTGAGTGTGGAGATATGTGTGAATGTGTGTGTATGCGTTAGTGTGTGTGTGTGCGCGCGTGTTTAGATGTGTGAACACACGGACGGCTATGCCGCTGAACTGGCAGATGCCGCAGCCGGCACGGGAATCCCTGCCACGGCCGTTAGCTCAAGGTCACCTTCATTCGGCCCACCGCCTCCCGCAGCCTCGCACCATCAGCGAATCATCATCAGCAGCAGCCATGGTCAATCCACTGCTGGATGAAGGCCTCCCCAAGAAGCTGTTGCCATCTGTCACGATTTTGTGACACGACTTCACCTGGCACCCATGTGCCATGAGCTGATTTCATCGCTCCGTCTCTCTAGTCAGCGTCCTCTCTCGCGTGCTTTCCCTCCCTTGGTCGCTGCTCCGTCGTTCGTCGTTGACCGTCAGCCGTCATCCTTCTAGCCGTGACGTGTCCGGCCCCAGCCCACTCACTTTTCTTCCACAGAATGATGCCGTCTTTTCCCTGCGTGTGTTCTCTAGTCTACGTGGTCCCTCTTTCTGTCTCGGCATAAAATAACATCTTATGATCATTGTTATCAGAGATGATGATTTGCTCAACACCACAGTGATGGAAGACTTAATGAGTACTATTATACTAAATATGTACGGCCGTGAACAAAAACAAATAGCCCCCGCATCGCCTCTCGCAGACGGTTGGGGGAAGTGCAGTGAAAGAGCTCCGATGCACGGTGCAGGCCATAACAGGACTTGAGGCGATGGGTGGCGAACAACTCGGTGGACGTTCGGGATCCCGTGACGTCATTCGCAAGAGCAGTCCGTTGTGTGCCGGCGTCGCCATCCTCATTTTGCCAAATGAGAAAGATGGAACCGCAAATAACTCGCCAGGGATTGCGCATATCTCGACCAATCATCGCCCCCTAGTGGCAGCAGACCTATGGCCGCTGGCAGGCCACGTGCACCAGAGGTCGCAAACGGGTATCCGATACTCGTACCCTACCCAATACCCGGCTACCCGTACCCAGCCGGGTACGGGTACCCGTTTGCGAACCTGGTGCGGCCGGGTACGGGTAGGCCGTGAGTCACTGGTGAGTTACCGTTTGTCACTCACTTCTCAACGTCTTGTCTCTTCTCACAATTCAAGTTCCTAGAATCAACCCACCCACGCCTGCAACATGGCTTCATCCCAGAGGTCGTAATCGGGTACCCGATACCCATACCCTACCCGATACCCAGCCGGGTACGGGTATCGGGTAGGGTACGGGTACCCGTTTGCGACCCTGGTGCGGCCGGGTACGGGTAAGGAATCGAAACCCGTTTGCGACCAATGACGTGCACTGCATCACCTTGTGTCGCACAGCGACAGCTGCACTGGGGGGCCCTTCGAACGTTTGAGATGAGGTGTGACACATGAGGCGTTCTACTTTTCTGGGGCATTTCAGCGGCGCAATATAAATGCAACATTAATTTATTTAATGTTGATTTAGGTTTGTGCACTGTTTTATGCGTTTTTTTAATGCAGTTGTTTTGTGCTGATTTCTATTTGTTTAATCATTGTATGTCGTTTCCATGTACGTATGTTGAACTTCTTTCAACACCGTACGCAGCTAACCTTGCTATATGGAGGTGTTGGGGAAGAACAGCAAACTAAACACAAAAGGCAGTTTTTACGAAATTATACTCTTTGGTTCTTTCGGTGAAGTCACGTAGTTAGAAATAAAATAAACAAATCACGACGTTTCGATCGCTACACAAGCGGTCATCTTTTGCCTGATCACGACCGCTTGTGTTGCGATCGAAACGTCGTGATTTTTTAAAATTGATTTTCTAAGTACGTGACTTTACCGAAAGAACCAAAGAGTATGGATTCCTGCAGTCACGAAAGCTTCAAATCAAGATCTTACGATATTAGTTTTCAATCTATATTTAAAAGTGCATAGCTCCAGTCACTTCCTATTATCGGAAGGAAGTGTGTTCCAGACGGCCGCAGAAGTGTATCTGAAAGCTTGTAAAAGCAGTTTTTGTACGATGGCTAGCCAAAAGACGCTGTGAGGATGAGCGGAGCTCGCATGATGGTCTATACTCCTTATCTTATTGCTTTTGTCGTTTTGGTCACCCAGGTCACCACTCTCGAGTCCTAACCTGGTTAAACAAAATAAACGTGAAATGTTAAGAAAAGAAGAAGATCATGTTATTATCCATCCCCAAAGTGGAAGTGGAACTGCGTGTTGAGCTCCTGGAGATGCCCCGCAGCAGTGCGTGGTAAAAGCTCGGCACACGAACCGACCCGGGCAACCGTGCCCGCGAGTTCGCGGGTCAACGGCGGCCCTAACCCCGACCTCCCGACCTACCCCCCCCTGACCCCGCCGCCCGTCCCGACCCGTGGGCACGCAGAGCTGGAGGAGGAGTCTCCCATCATCAACTGGTCGCTGGAGCTGAGCGAGCGTCTCGAGTCGCGCCTGTACGCGCTGTGGAACCGCACGGCGGGGGACTGCCTCCTCGACTCGGTGCTGCAGGCGACGTGGGGCATCGACGACAAGGACTGCGTGCTTCGCAGCGCGCTGCGCGACAGCCTCCACGACTGCTCCCACTGGTGAGAGAGTGGCGTGTGCGCGCGCTGTGTGTGCGCGCTGTGTGTGCGCGCTGTGTGTGCGCGCTGTGTGTGCGCGCTGTGTGTGTGCGCTGTGTGTGCGCGCTGTGTGTGTGTAGTGTCGTGTTCATAATAAAGGTTATTTGGGTTAGATCGTGTAAGTATAATGTGTCGTAACCCTCCACCCCCCCCCCCCCCCCCCCGACACAGCCAATTAGTAAGGGATTTGTCACGTAAACAAAATGCCAATTAGTTCACTACTTCAGCCCACCGGTGTGTTGGAGAGTAAATCCACAACATTTACAATTTGAGTAGTTTGACGCTTCGCTGGTAATTACAACCAGCATCATCGGGCAATTTGCTAAAAATAGAGCAAGATGACATCATCACTGAACCCATCAGGTGCAGAAATCAGAGGAGGGGATGGTTATTGTAATTTATAATAGATTAGTAAACAGTTAATTAGTATGTGTTTCCTCTATAAGCAATTGTAGTTGTTAGATGTATTACTTAATAATACGCTTCCAGGCCGCACTAAGCCTGTAGCTGTCAGAGCCGTTAAATTTATTTGCATTTCTCTCAATTTCAATGGATTCTCGAATTAGTCATGGCCAGTAATAATTCGTTTTATATAACACTTCAACGTTATCAAGATCAATTGATTGTCCTTGTTGGTATGTTCTGCAACTGCCGACAATTGTGTTTGAGAGTATTTAATATTTCGTTGATGTTATTTTAGTCTTTCGCTAATGTTTTACGTCCCGTCTGTCCAATATAGCATCTGCCACGTAAGCAGTTAATCCGATGTTGATAACTTAGGCAATTAATCTTTAGTACAAGATACTCGGTTTTTTTATTTTGTGTACCGTGCCAAATCTTACATCGATTTTTTGCTTTTCCAAAACTCAAACTATTTTGTCAGTTACTCCCGCGATATATGGTATTTTAATAGTTTTAATAACTTGATCGCTTTCAGCAGTATTTGCTGTTCGATCTTGGTTTGGCATTCAATGCTCTGTTAATTTGAGCATTATAAGCCATTCAATCGTAAAGCTTCTTTCACATGTTTAATCTCTCTCCTCAGACTTTCACCATCTGACACTGTTTTAGCCCGATGTATGAGCATCTTGATGAGAGAGGATTTCTGTGCGGAGTGATGATGCAAATCTGCATTCAGATAGGCATCAGTGTGCATTCCTTTTATGTAAACGCTGTCCGAGCAAAATATCCAGGAAAAGGAGTGTTATTTACCTACATTTCCATGGTGAACTGGATGGCCGGGTTTTGTGAATCAGGATGATTGATAAAGTCATTAAGTGTATTTTTACCATGTGGCCAGACAACCAAAGTGTCATCTACATATTTAAACCAAACAGATGGTTTTAATATACTTGAAGGAAGTGCTCTTGCTTCAAAGTTTTCCATGTATAGATTCGCTATAGCAGGAGACAAAGGAGAGCCCATTACTGCTCCTTCCTTTTGTTTAAATAAATCACCTGACTGGGTTCAGAGATGATGTCGTCTTGCTCTATTTAAGACCGGAAGCAGGTGAATGGGTTCACTATTCTGGCAAACGCCAGAAGATGCTGGATGTAATTGCCAGCGAAACGTCGTACTACTCAGATTGTAAAAGTAATGGGTTTACTCTCCAATACACCGGTGGGCTGAAGTAGTAACTAGTTGGCGTTTTGTTTACGTGACAAATTTCTTACTAATTGTCTATGTCGGGTGGTGGAGGGTTACGACACATTTATATTTACGCGATCTAACCCAAAAACCTTTATTATGAATAACATTGGTCGCGAAAGCCTGCTACGTGTTAAACTGGAAGTGTAGCGGTTAGCACGCTGCGCTACGAACCCGGTGACCTGAGTTAGATTCCCGCTCGCAGCCAACACCAGTGACGATTATCTGACCCGGTCCTGGGCCTCCCCTAGGTCGACTCGGCCTTAAATGAGTACCTTGTGCAGTATGTAAACATCGCTGCTGGGGAGACAAAAGCGGCGAGAACCCATATAGGCCGTGCCGGCTTATGGGTTCTCGCAAACAGCACTTGCCCCAACAGTCTGCTAAGGCTATACGGGGGACCTTTTTGTGTGTGTGTGTGCGCTGTATGTGTGGTGTGGTTAATGTGTGGTATGTGTGTGGTGTGCTGCAGTATGGTATAAGATAGTGTGCGTTGGGTAATGCAGTGTATCCGTGATTACACCACGAAAACCAAATGCACATCGGTGACTTGGGCTACGGGGGACCATGTAATGATGACAGTGACGACGACGAGATTGCGCTGTTTGGAGGGTGTCGCGGGAAAGCAGCAGCATTCGCGTGGGTGTCACAATCAGGCGGTGTGTGCGGCGTGTGCGGTTTGAAGGTTCTACACCCGTTGGAAGGAGTGGGAGTCGTGGTCATCGCAGAGCTTCGGCCTCCACTTCTCCCTCCGGGAGGAGCAGTGGCAGGAGGACTGGGCCTTCATCCTCTCGCTCGCCAGCCAGGTCGGTCCCGGGGCGTGCCGGTCGTGCCCAACTCGGGTTGGCCCCAGGCTGGCCACACCGCCCTTGCCGCAGCTGAGATGGGTGCTTAACGCGGGCGCCGTGTTCTCCTGTGATCTGGAACGTAAAAACGAACCCTAAGTTCATCCTCAATTCCATCCCAATTACGTAATCGGCGCCAACGTCACTAGGCGAGAAGTCCACTCGGAGGAGAGCAGCGCCAACCCTATGTGTTGGAGAACGTCCCGCGGAAGTGGGCACCACAGATCCACTCCGATGTCCTTCCAGTGACCTCTGGTTCAGACCGTTAGGGGGGCAACACTTGGCCATCAGCGCCCTCCTGTGGTCTGAACCACGGCAGCCGAGCAAGGCCCGCACCCCTCGGCAGACCGCACACCGTGCCGGTCCGGCCTGTGTTCATGTGTGTTAATGTGCTTGCGTGCGTGTATGTCAATGTGTGTCTTTGTGCGGTCGGGCGTGGTGCTGGCCACCCACCACCTCGCCTGCAGTGCCGGCCTTCATAGATGCTCGCTAACAGCACTTGCCCCGACAGTCTGTTAAGGCTACACGGGGGATCTGTGTCTTTGTTTGTTAGAGTGTTGGCGTGCCGGTGTGTTTGCGGAAGCGCGTGTTGCTTTGTGCGCCGTCGACACTTCTCGGCATGGCTCGCCTAATTTTATCGCTCGCGAAAGGAGTGTTTATTCCCCTTCCGTTTTTATCGGAGACATTAACCGATTGCAATTACCGCTCAGCAGTGGAGGAGCGCGCCTGCTTAACGCAATAAATCCCGCTTTAACGAGGCGCTAATGAGGCCCCGGGCCTGCTCGTATTATGCTAATTTTAATGACGTGTCTGATTTACGCAAATTGGGGGAAATTGCCGGCGCGTGGTCCGTGCGCGTCTCGTTCACTTTCCCGCGGGTTCGGTTCACCGTCCGGTAGAGGGGCTGCCCGTCCCTCGAAGTGGCAAATTAAACTCGCAGCCCCTGGTTCATCCACGGCACGATGTTGACCATGGTGGGGGGGGGGGGGGGTTGTTTGACCGTACTTTGCCAGTGCGGGTTGGGGATGTGGCTCCTAGGATCGGTTCAGATGTCGCTCGTCACTGATGTTGGCCGTGGTTGGGAATCAAACTCGGGTCGCTACGTCGTTCATAGCAAAGCTATGTGTGTCGCCGTGTGCTACGGTTCACATGTGAGCTGCGCTTTGAATACGGTGACCCAAATTCGATTCCTGCTTATGGCCAACATCAGTGATGATTATCTGAACCAGTCTTGGGCCTCTCCTAAGTCGACTCAGCCTCAAATCAGGGGGACAAAGTCAGCCAGGTGTGGTGCTGACCACCCATTCCCTCGTGTGCCTTACCTGCCTTCACAGGTGCTCGCTCACAACACATGTCCCAACAGTCTGTTAAAAGCTACATGGTGGTTCTTTGTCTTTGTGTGGATACAGCCGGGCTCCAGCCTGGAGCACACGCACATTTTTGTGCTCGCCCACGTGCTGCGTCGTCCCATCATCGTCTACGGAGTCAAGTTTTACAAGAGCTTCCGCGGGGAGACGCTGGGATACGCTCGCTTCCAAGGTCCCACATTCACCGCCCGCACGTCCCGCACACACCATGCACACCCCGCACCCCATCAACACCCGTACACCCTGCACGTGTCTAAATCATCCACGTCACGTCACGTACACCCGACATCACTTCCACACCCAGCGCATGGTCCCTGCCCAACACGTGTACGCGTGCACGAGCGCGCCGAGTGAGCTTCCAGCGATGCACGCGGTACGAGGGAGCGCATGCGTGTGCCTGCGTGCGTGCGTGCGCAGGCGTGTACCTGCCCGTGCTGTGGGAGGCGAGCTTCTGCTGGAAGTCGCCCATCGCGCTGGGCTACACGCGCGGTCACTTCTCGGCGCTGGTACCCATGGAGAGCGAGGGCTACGTGAGCCCCGGCGCCGGCGCCAACATCGGCGGTGGCGGCGGCGGCGGCGGTGGCGGCGAGGATGAAGGCACCGTGACCTTCCTGCCGCTGGTGGACAGCGAGCGCAAGCTGCTCCCCGTGCACTTCCTGTCGGCCTGCGAGGTGAGAGACGTGGGACGCCGCGGGAGTCGCTGCGTACGTTTGCTGTTGGCGCAACCGTTCTCGGGCGATACAGTCGCCTGCTTAATGTCGACAGGAGTCGGTTTGAACAAGGCTGTAAGAAACCCTGGGTAGGCACCCGATCTCTTCACTGTTGCTCTGACCCTGTACAACATCTTGACCCAATGCGTTTTATACCCAGGGGTTCAAATAATATTTTGTATTTTCACCCCGGGGTGAAAATTCTACGAGGTAAAAATTGTCTCACATTTCAGTGGTCGCTCGCTGGTGCTGCAGACTGTTTGCACGCTCTCCCCGTGGTGGCATGGGTTTTTCTCCGGGTCCTCCGGTTAGTCCCTCCACATAGAGAATCAACGTCACTTGTTTAGAGTATTTGACTGCTATAAATTTCCACGTGATAAGCCACGTCGTTGAGCTGTCATTTGTGGCCAGGTCACTTCTTAATAAGAGCTATACAGCTCAGTGGGCCTTACATGGTAAAATAAAAAGTAGTTTAGTAGTTTAGACTGGCGCTAAACCCCTTTCCTTCTCCCCCTCCTTCCTCCCTCCTCTTCCTTCCTCTTTCTCCTCCGTTCCGCTCTTCCATCCCGCAGATCGGCAACGAGGAAAACCAGGAGCGGCTGCTGCGGCACTGGCTGGACTGCTGCGTGACGGAGGGCGGCATCCTGGTGGCACGGCAGCGCGTGTCGCGGCGCCGCCACCCGCTCGTCACGCAGATGCTGGACAAGTGGCTGGAGCGCTACAGGCACCTGCAGCCCCGCGGCCCGGGGAGGGCGCTGTCGGACGGGGAGGAGGAGGACGAAGAGGACGAGTGACGGCGACGGCGGCGGTGACGATGATGAGTGACGCCGGCGGCGGTGACGATGAGTGGCGAAGAAGTTGCTCGTCCATTGCCGGCGTATTTGGGGCGCTAAACCGCTCTCCACCTCGCTCCACCGTGCCCGCACCACGATGAACAGCACCCTCGGTGGAAACGAGCACGAGGGAGGGGCGGCGGTGCTTCATCCTCTCTTCGCGAACCGCCCCCCCCCCACCCAGCCCTCTTTTCTCCAGCACCACGAGCCAGCACTATAGCCCATTGCGAGGGAGGTCACAGGTCAAGAGTTATGAGTAGGTCATAGGTCAGGAATTGTGGCGTTGCCAGAAGTCGGCGGTGGGTGAAAATTATGAGGAGGGTCGGAGGTCGAGGCCGGTGGCCAGTCGAGTCGGGTTTCCGTTAACCCTGCAATTGCAATTGCGGTTGGAATGGAATGAGACGGAACGCGATGGAACACAAGCCGCTGTGGTGGAAGTGGCGGAGGTCACCATCGGGCTTCGGGTAGTTTGAGCCCAAGACACACCAGGACGGCACGGGAACGACGCGGCGAGGGACGAGTGGGGGGGGGGGGGTACTGAGTGAGCGAGTGAGTTCCTGCCGGTGAGTTGCTCATCACGTCGTCAGGGTGGACGTTTCACTGTACAAGGACGAGTTTGCAGGATGGGACACCCTGCCCTATGTGACCCCTCCTGGGTCAGGACCCTTGAGGCCACCTGCCCACGCTGAGGTTAATTACTACAAAGAGACACATGCACACGCACAGACACAGGCGAATACACAACACATAAACACGTACACACATGCACAAATTACACACCTCGGTGAGCACACAGAGATGGACACACAGACACACAGGCGAATACACGTAGACATACCCAGTACGCAGACACACACACACACAAACTCACGCATAAACATAAGCACAGATGTAACAAAGACATGTCTATGCAGACACGTAAACATACGGACAATCATAAATATATCGACACGTTTACAAAGACACTCAAGGGGTTGTTACGGTGAGACACAACAGGGCTGACACTACACACGATCGTCGGTACCACGTGATATCTGAACCTGTCCTGAGCTGCCGCCTCCTCTTGGTCGACTCAGTCTCAAAACGGAGTCCTTGGTGTGCCAGCGACTGGGGAGGTGGGGCCCGGCGAGGCGGTAACCACAACAACAACACCCTCCTCCTCGTGTGCCATGCTGGCCTCACGAGGTGCTCGCTGACACACGCAGCACTTGCCACCCCCCCCCCCCGCGTGGTCTGCAAGGCTTGGTGGGGGACGTTCTTGACACGCTGCGTACACGCTGTGTACACGCACGCATAGACGCCGTGTATGCTGTGTACACGTCGTGTATGCTGTGTACACGGCGCGTGCGCGCACGCCCCACGCACGCGCAGGGTCGATTCGGCAGTTAAATACACGTGGCTGAATTGGTATCGGTTCGGAAAATAATGTTAAGTTAAAAGAGAGTCTCCGCGCAGTGGTGACACGCCTCGCAGCAAGAATCGCCCGAGTTTGAGTCTCGACTCGGATGCCCCTTTCTGTGTGGACGTCGTTTGTCCTCCCCCTGCTTCTCCCCTTTCCTCTCCGTTCTTCAGTGTCCTCCCATTGCAAAAAGAAACCCCAACAACAGTGTAACTGGTATCACATGGGACCCTTCTTGCCAGTATCAAACTATAAGAATATGTTTTAACCTTTCTGGCAATAACCGGTATTGGTCAAAACATCCCAGTGCTGCAAACGCTCCCTGCAGAATTATTCAATTGAGATCACACGGCAGCAGCAGCAACATCGCCCCCTATCTGCTGTGAAAAAATTTGAATGGCAGGACCCTCTTTAAAAAAAAAAGAGTCTTGAGGGTCCGTGAGGCTGTCGTGGGTTAACAAGCGTCGTCGTCGTCATAACCGCGGCCGAGCATGGCAAGAGGAGGAGGAGGAAGAGGAGGAGGAGGCGGCTAACGTGTGTCAATGAGTGAGAATATATCAAGCTGCTTTAACAACACACACAGATGCCTGTGTGTGTGCGCGCGTGTGAGTAGAGTTTACATCCAGTGTGCGTGCGTGCTCGATGTTTACTATACTCACATGGGCGTATGTTTGGGTGTGTGTGTACGTGTCCCAAGAGTGTGTGTGTGTCTGTATACGCGTGCGTCTTTGTAGGTCTGTGCATGTTTGTATTTTTGTATGTGTGTGTCTCAATGTGTGTCTGCCGCTGTGTTTATACACACAGCCCAGCACACAGCACACACAATACACTGTGTACATAATATACATATAGAACACGCCAGTAGGTAGTAATTAAAAGGAACATGACCTTTGAGAATGAATTGCTCCCTCACCTTGTTCATTAATCATTGACTTTGCTGCCGAGTGCGATTTCATAGACTTGTTAAGAATGTGACGGATTCAAGCTTCTTTATATTTCACAGTTTAAGCACTCGCTCCTTGCCTGCCTCTACCCCCCCCCCCCCTCCTGAGTGCAGGTGCATGTACCCCCGTCCCTCCACCCCTTTCGGCCCAATACCTCCCCCTCCCTTCCCTCCCTCTCCCTCCCTTCCCTCTCCCTCTCCTCTCCCTCCCCCCTCTCTTCCTCCCTCTCCCTTCCTGCCATCCTCCCGTGATCCCCGCTCCCCCATCCCCATTATCCCCTTCATTCCCCAGCATTAGCGCTTGGTTCTGACTTATGTGTGTACGAAGGGCGGTGCTTTACGTTGCCTGTTCATAACTAGCGTGTTGCGATGAGTCTGTTTTTGATTATAGCCTCTTGTGAAATTATCCACCACTCCCCCATGTGGCCACACCGCCTCGCAACGATCAATGAATTATTCGAGCCCCATGGGGTCCTGCGTCATGGATTCTGAGTACAGGGTCCCAAGGTGTTCTAGATCATTGAATGTTCGCCCCCAAGTTCCTGGGTTCTAACCCCTAGGTCCTGAGTTTAGAGCCTTGAGTTCTGTGTCATGGATTTTGAGTCCATGGTCCCCTAGGTTCCTGGAGTCTGGATTCTAGGGTTTTGAGTCCTGTGGTTCTCAACCCCAGCGTCCTGAGCCATGGCTCGTGAGTTCAGGGCCCTGGGTAACACAGATACCTGGGTGCATAGGTCCTGGGTCCCTGTGTCTGTGCCACTAGACTTGGGCCGAGTGAGGCGGTGAGGCCTCTCCCCTATTATTTATTCTGTCGTTGCGGCTGCGTCAGTATTCGCCGCTGCCCGGGGAGGGTGGAGATCTGTGAGCAGAGCGCCCCGTTTCCGGAGGTCCCCACATCCCCTTCTGAGAGTTCAACTGTCCCCACAGGTCGCTATGTTCACAACCCCCCCCCCCCACCCGTATTACCAAGTCCCCAATTCCCCGCGTCCCCCCTGGGCGAGGGATACCGCGTGACATCGTCCCCACGCGCTTGGTCCAGACCCCTAAACCCTCGCCAAGGGGCTGGGGGTGAGGGTCGCAGTGCGATATGAACTTTAAAACTGATCACGAACACCAAGTTAAAGTGGGTGTCCTAGCAAAGCGCTGGAGGTGGCCGCAGAGAGGACTACAACTGCGGGGCTGTGAAACCTAAAGGATTGGGCTCGTGCTGGGGGCTTATTGCCCCCCCCACCCCAATGAAACGCGTTTGGCGGTTGTGTTGGGGTATTACCTGGTCATCGTGTGCAGGTGGCACGTGCTAGTGTAGCCCACTCGCACCTATGGGCTCTGAAACCTGGGCTGTGCTCACAGGAGGACGTCTCAAGGGGAGCGGCTCGACACGAGCTCCCTGCTGCTGCGAACCCCGAGTGGAGGTTTGCCTTCAGGGCCTCTTGCCTCCTGAGTGTTCCGCCGCGTCCACTTTTGTCGCATTTTTCAGTGTTTTTTTTCGTTTGCGGAGTTTTATTGAACCTTGAGCACAGACCGACACGGGGAGGGTGATGCCAACATCCGAGGCTTTAACATCGGGTGACATCCCTCCCCTCCTCCGGGGCCCGGGAGCTCGACGCGAGGAGTCCCGAGGCAGGGAAGGCGTAGTTTCAGCCGGGGTTTATCCGGAAATTAATTCTGTACCCGGCACACCACATCCAGTAAACCTATCGATGTGGCTGTGGTTGCTACCACACGCGCACCTTATTCCAGGAAAATGTTTGTGAGAAATTCAGCCCTGCAATTTGGGGATCCGGCCTGCGTTTGGGATTCGCTCTGGGAGTGAAGTTGGTGGGGTCTGGGAAGTGGTTAAACGTTCCCCCTGTCCCCTCTGAACCCGTGTCCTCCCCCCTCTCCCCCACCGCGTACTCCCTGGCCCCCCGTGCTGTTCCCATGTTCCGTGACCCCGGGCCGTGTACCTCCCAAATAAATTACCTGATTTGACTCCCCGTGACTCGAGCCCTTCTTTATGGGATGGACAGCTGATCGACCATCACTACCTACATCACATCACCCATCATTGTAATTTAATCATCGTTACAATCTCATCAAGCACCTTCATCTCATCATTACCCACACTCGCACAAACATCCACACCTCTTCCACTCCGTCGGGCGGCGGTGGCTCTGCCCGCCTGTGTTCCAGCACTGTGGAGAATCTCACCACGCCCATGATTGTCAACACTGGCATCACCATCCATGTCATGAACACCGCCTACACCACCATCCCCATCATCGGCACCACCTCCATCACTATTCTCGTCATGCCATGAAGCCACATTTTCTATCACCACATTCATTATCCCCATAATACTGGTAGGAACCTCCTGGTTACACCAGACCACAGGGGATTATTGTGTCCGTCCGTCGTGCATCCAAAAATAGGAGGGGTGGGGCTGGGTGGAGAGGGGAGGGTGGGGACGGGCTGGGTGGGGAGGGGAGGGCTGGGTGGGGTGGGGCTAGGTGGGGGGTGGGAGGGGCTGGTGGGGTGGGGCTGGATGGGGCTGGGTAGGAGGGGTGGGGCTGGGTGGGGAGGGGCTGGTCACCCCGTGGTGCCCTTATTAAACTCAATGTTTAACCTACTCACGCCGGCTTGTGCCCGCCCTCACAGTCGGCCATATTTGCGGAATACACCACGCCGCCGTTGACCCTGGCCATTGACCGAGCAACCCGACGTTCCTACCAGCTCCCTCCGCAGGAATGTGTTCACCTCTGACGCACCTTCGTTACCACCATCTTCACCAACACGAGTGCGCACATCTCGAGATGTTTCGTTTGAATCCCGCACCTCTTATAAGCATGGTTGGCTACGTACGGCGCGAAAGAAGTTCAACATACACACGTACGTAATCGTATTTTCTGAAGGTTCCCACATTTCTTTCCGAGGTTTTTAGTTTTTTTAGAATATTCGCAGCTGGCCAGCAGGTGGCAGTGTCTCTCCACTTCAAGCTCTCCGGTCCTCTTCCACAATCTGCCGAAGCCGCCTTACTATAAACAAGAAGAGAAAAACATGTCTCATTCATGGATCCGTCTCTCCGCGTAAAAATATAAAAGTATTTCTGACACAACCCACCCGCCTTCTGGGAGTGCACAATCCATCTCAGCAGCATCGACTCAGGACAAGAAAAATTGTTCTCAAAAGCTCGGCTCACTTCATTCAATGCTGGTGAACTGCCAGATGATTATATTCAAGGACGCTCCTCTCCTCAAAACATCGGGTCCTAGTTCGACATAAATTATACAATTCACAAAACGAATAAATCATTAGCGTCGTAAGAAAATATAACAAAATAAATAATCAGATAATTCACCTCTAACAAGAATTATTTTACACTTCGCATCGGTCACAGCCTTCTGGGGGAAAATATTTCCTGCCGCATTGGTCGAACATCAGCAAACTGTGGACTGGCTTGGACATTCAATCAGTGTCTCATGATGAAACTCTCATCATTAGTTCGGCTTGCGTGAACCGACGGTGGAGAACTGTCACATGTTTATAAGCAAGGACCCTCTCTGTTAGATCTGGGTCCTAATTCAATGAAAATCTCTATAATACACAACTCAAAATATAAATTCACAAAAAAACTCACATTTGTCAATAACACTGGCCTCAAAAGAAAATAAAATAATAAAATATCCGACGTTTCGGGCAATGGCCCTTCTTTATAGCACATACATGCTTTATATAAGGAATGGGAGAGACGGGAGAGAGCGCAACACGGCGGCAGGCGGCATCCCAGCACCAACAGGGGCAGTCGGGGCAAACGGGACAGCACCAACGAGCCCCAGGGAGGCATCCTTGGGGGATTTGCTTCAATCGGCAGGGGGACAACAGCACAGTCCAATGAAGTCCTAACAATACACAACGAGTCCAGCAGCATTCAGCACTGATCAACAACAAGGTCAAGGGAGTAATGTCCTGTGACAGTGTAATGCTGATGCCGCAAATTCAGCCACACGAGTAACACTGCTACAAAAAAGCGGTGCAAATTTTAATTTAGTCGCAGAAATGCGATTAGACACCATCTCAATAACGTCATTATTACCCCCAGAACGACATCGTCATCGTTCCCATCATCACCCCCAACATCACACGAATCATTCACTTCCGACATCGTCAATTATCATCTACATCGCAGTCATTACGGTTATCATCCTTACTCCCATCAGTCATCATCAATTGTAACCACCACCATCACCACCCCCTTCATCAGTAGTCCCATCATCATCATCATCAAGTGATCATCACCACCCCCATTGTCATCTCGGTCACTCCATCAGCTGGGGACCACGTGGAGTCGCCGCCTCGTCAGCTGATCGCCGGGGGCGTGTCATGACGTCACCAAACCGATGCTTCCCATTGGCGGAGCGCGGGAAACGTCCCCCAGTGCACGTGACGCGCTCGGCCAATTGGAGGACCAAGTGACGTCAACTGTCAAACCCTCTCCCACGTGTCCGGTCGAGCCCCCAAGACCCCTCCCCGTATCACGACGCCAGGTCCCCTTTAGCCCCCCTCGGCCAACGACCTCACCACACCCCGAGCTTCACTCCCCCGGAGACCGGGAATCCCGGACACTCCAGACTCGCTGCCCGAGACTCAACGACCCCGAGAGCAGAACGCCAGGACCAGGACCCCCTCGCCCACGTCCGCGTTGCCGGTGTCCAAAGCCAAGGTCCCCTGTCTCCTTGGGCCGCAGCCAAGAACCGGTCCCTGGAGCCTCGTTCAACGCGACTCTCCCCTTCGGTTGTCGTCGGCTCGTCCGCGTTACTGGTGAGAGACACGCGGGGTGAGACACGCGGGGTGAGATTAAAGGCGTTACACAGAGGTGAGTCACAGGGGAGCGGGATGGAGACTCAGGCGGCGGTGGCTCTATGCACTTGGCCTGGAATGCAGCCCTGTGGAGGCAGCAGCGAGGTTGGTGGATCGCACACGGATGTTCCCGCGGGGGTCGAGGAGGAGCCGTGCACCGTGCCTCGTTGGGAGAAGGCAGTGGGCAGTCGAAGTGCGCCCCAATGCAGAGGATATCGTCTGTTCCTTCTGTGTGGGATCGAGTGTTGCGTCCTCGCACGCGCGGGGTTCCGCCGGTTGCTTCGGTTTCCTCCCACGCGTGCGGAAAAACAGAACTCCTCAAAGCGGCTGGAGACATCTGAACTCGTCGAGAGCTTAGGCTGTGTCAGTGCTGCTACTGCTGCTGTTGCTATTGCTGCTGTTGCTGCTGCTGCTACTGCTGCTACTGCTGCTACTGCCTCCCAACGCGGTAACGCGGTGGGCTGTGGTTATTCGGCGATTGTTAGAAAATCAATGTCGCTGTCGATTTGTGTTAGGAAACCAACACACTACCGCACTGTACTATTACACAACAACGATGAGCGGGGTGTGGGGGGGTGACATTGGCTCCGAGTGAGACGGGTGACGCGGAGGCTTTCGCGACCGAATCTGCGCGTTCTGTTCACGTGGCGGACCGTGCTATTCGGCTGTGTCGGCTGTGTCGGGTTTAGCGCCGCGACTTTTACGCGATCTGAGCCGAGGAGGCTCCGGTTCAAAGCGGGACGCCGACTTCCCCGACCGGATAAGTTGCTCGCCCCCCCCCCCCCTGCACCCCTGGGGGGGCGGGGGCGGCGACTCCCCCTGACGGACCCCGGTGACCCGGCGGCGGTGACGGGGGACGACGCCCCTCGGCCGCTTGGCGACGTTGACGGTGACGGGGGGGGGGGGGGGTCAGGGCGGTCAGGGCCAGGTTCTCTGTCGCCCCGGACACAAATAGCGACCAATGGGGCCCAGGGGCAGAGGCACGGCCCCTGGGGGGGGGGGGGGCTGGTATCCTCCCCCCCCCCCCCCGGGACCAGGCTGCTGCTGCTGCCCACATCGAGGGCTGGCCGGGCGAGGGCTGTCGATATTGGGGGGCGGTGGTGCAGCGGTTAGCGCTACGCTGCGCCAAGAACCCGGCGTCCCGAGTTCGATTCCCGCTCACGGTCAACACCACCAGTGACGATTATCTGATCCGGTCCTGAGTCTCCCCTAGGTCGACTCGGCGTCAAATGAGTGCCTGGTGCGGTGTGTCGTAACACATCGTCAGTGGGAAGACAAAGACGGCCGGTCGTGGTGCTGGCTACCCAGCCCCTCGTGTGCCCCTCTGGCCTGCCTAGGTGGAGACTGCAGAGGGGATCATCCTCGTGTGTCGTGGTGGTGGTGGTGGAGTTCGGCAACCCACCGCCAACTTGTCAGGATCCGAGTCGAATCGAGTAACACCGAGGGGGGGTTTCATCATCTCGCCGCCGCCGCCACCCCCACGGTTAGAAGTTAATTTAATTAATTTAATTCACTTCTTAAGCACGCGACGGCAACCCGCGTCATTTCGTGCTTTATTTTGTTTTTTTTATTTTCGTGTTTTATCATTGTTTTCTATTTTCGTGTTTTATTTTGTGTTTTCTATTTTTGTGTTTTATTTTGTGTTTTCGTGTCGTACGATGTAGCGCGTAGTAGTAGCGCTGTGGAGTGAAATGGGGGGCCGCGTGTGCCCGCGGTGAGGGCTGCCGCCACCACGGCGGTGGCTTCCTCCTCGTGGTGGCGCCAGTTCGATTCCCGCTCGCGGAGAATGTGTGTAATAAACATCGCCACTGGGGAGACAAAGGCGGCCGGGCGTGGTGCAGCCACACCCCCCCCCCCCCGCTCGTGTGCCGTGCGGGGCCGCCTTAGGCGATCATTGACAGCGCCTGCCCCCAGCAGCGTGTGGAGACGACACGGGCAGGGGGGGGGGGGTCTTTGTGCCTCTCTGGGTGTCCGTCTGTCACGGTGGCTTTTCAGTACGGGGGAGAGCTTTGTCGGGGTGTGTTTGTGTGTCTCTGTGCATAACTGTGTCAGTGTGTTTGTGTACATGTCTGTGTCAGAGTGTTTGTGTGCGTGTCTCTGTATCTGTGTGTCGGGGTGTTTGTGTGCGTGAATCTGTGTGTGTTCTAGCGTTTTGCCCGTCCAAGAACGGGTGTATTCATCGCATCAATTCGTGTGCAATTTGTAAGGGCGCGGTGACACAGACATATTTCATTTAAAGGTTACAATCCTTTACTCTCTGGTTCTTTAGGTAAAGTCACGTAGAAATAAAATAAATAGAATGTTTCGATTGCAACACAAGCAACCGTCATCAGGTGTGAATGCAAGCTCGGAGAGAGACACGGAGACACATACACAGAGAGACACACATAGAGAGACAAACACAGACACGGAGAGAGACACACATACACAGAGAGACACACATACACAGAGAGACACACATACACAGAGACACACATACAGAGAGAGACACACATAGAGAGACACACGAGTCTCTCCTCTATGCATTCACACCCGATGACGGTTGCTTGTGTTTCAATCGAAACGTCGTATTCTTAATTATTTACTTTATTTTCTTTCTACGTGGCTTTACCGAACGAACCAAAGAGTAATCCCTGCAGTCACGAAAGCTTCAAATAAAGTTATAATCCCTTGTTCATAATGACGTCCTTTTTACTTCGATGTCTCAACAGCGTTACGGAGATCACGTGACGTGAGGGTTCTGCCTTTGTCGTGAGAGTTGAGTTGACGCCGAGGAGGAGGGAGGAGGCGCCTCGGCCCCCCATCCGGAGTGACGTCAGCCGCTAATTATTATTTATGGGGGGGTCCATTTGGAGAACGTCACCGGTTCATGATTATTAATGTGGGGGCTGTGTGCGTGTCTCTGCGTGTCTCTGTGCGTGTCTCTGTGCGTGTCAGGGTGTGCGCCAGTCATGATGCTGTCCACGCTGCGCCGTGCTGGCACTGTGGGGATTCGCTCCGTAAGCTCAACGGCGACCGTGGGGGGCTCGGCCCCCCGACAGCGAGCACGGGACGGGGCCCCCCACCACCTCTCCCCCACCCAGGTGATGTCCCGGGAGGAGCAGTACGGCGCCCACAACTACCACCCCCTCCCCGTGGCGCTCACCAAGGGAAAGGGTGAGTTGGGGCGGTGAGGCGTGTGGTACAGGACAGAGTGGTGTGGTGAGTGGAGTTGTGTTGTAGTATAGGGTAGGGCGATGTGGTGGTGTGGCATAGGGTAGTGCGGCCTACAGAAGGGGTGGTATGGTGAAAGGTGTCATGTGAACTGGTCTGGTCGGATGTGGAACGATGCTTCGTTTGTTAATTCTGGATCTGTCATGTCCATGATTCGGCTGGATGGGAACTCCTTCATTCCCAATGTATGCCCATGGCCTGATGTCTCCACATGATGCATGTGTTAAAGTGTTGCCCCCTCGTCTCCGTATCTCTACGTGTTCCCATGTTTCTGTCCCGTCTCTCCTTAACGTCTCCCTACGTGTCCCCGCCTCTCTTCCCCGCGTGTACCCCCCCCCTATCCCAGGCGTGTTTGTGTGGGACGTGGAGGGGAACCGCTACTTTGACTTCCTGAGCGCGTACAGCGCCGTCAACCAGGGCCACTGCCACCCGCGCATCGTGGCGGCGCTCACGGAGCAGGCCCAGCGCCTCACGCTCACCTCTCGTGCCTTCTACAACGACGTGCTCGGGGAGTACGCGCAGCTCATCACCTCGCTCTTCGGATACAACAAAGTGCTGCCCATGAACACTGGTCAGTGCTGCCCATGAACACTGGTCAGTGCTGCCTCGGTGCTGCCCATGAACACCGGGCAGTGCTGCATAAGTGCTGCCCTCGGCACCATTTCGCTGAAGTGGTTGGATGGTGCAGAGGTCAGCTGGCACCACTGGGATTGATTCCAGGTTTCAGCCGCCTGCAGTCAAACAGTTCTTAGGATTTCAAGTTTATTTTGTTTATCCAGGTGAGAACTTGAGTCCATGATAGTTTCATCTGCAATCGTGGCCTGTGGTATTAATGTGACAGTAGGGGGTGATTGCGATATATCCCAATTGAGCAATATGCGGTGTCATTTTTAAAAACAAATTTTGACCATGATGCCGGCATACAATGGCCGACTCTTTTAGGACTACATCAGGGATCTTTCATGTCCACTATGTTGCAGATGGCATAGCGCAGTATTAAACAGGGTGGTCGCTGGATTTGGTGTGTGTAGGCGGTAAGGTGACGACGGCGTGCTCTGTTCTCCCCTTGTGTGTAGGCGTGGAGGCCGGTGAGACCGCGTGTAAGCTCGCACGCAAGTGGGCATACACGGTGAAGGGCGTGCGTCAGTACGAGGCCAAGATTATCTTTGCCGGTGAGTGCCTGTGAGTGTGCCTGTGTGCGCATGCGTGTGGAGTGGTGGCACATTTGATCACACTGCACTATGAACTCTGTGACCCGAGTTAGATTCTTGCTCACGGCCAACAGATCCTGGGCCTCACCTAGGTCGACTCAGCCTCAAATGAGTACTTGGTGTAAAACGACAGCACTGGGGAGACAAAAGGCCATGGTTCTGGCCACCGAATCATTCGTGTGCCTTGCTGGGCTTCATAGGTATCATTAACAGCAATTCGTCCTCACAGTCTGTTTAAGCTATCTGAGGGATCTTGGTGCGCTACATTTGAAATCTGGTGACCCGAGTTCCCAGCCATGGCCAACATCGGTCTCCCCCCATGTTTCCCGGTGTCCTTGTGTCTCCCTGTGTTCAACCCCTTGTCCCAAATTCTATGACCTCATGTTCCCGTCTGTCATGTCGCAGAGGGCAACTTCTGGGGTCGCACCCTGGCGGCCATCTCAAGCTCCATGGACCCCTCGAGCTACGAAGGGTTCGGCCCCTTCATGCCGGGGTTCCAACTCGTCCCCTACAACGACATCGAAGCCCTCGAGGTCAGTAATCGGAGCGCTCCCTAATTAAGGACTTCCTGATTTTAAGGAGTCAATTGGCGACCGTATGTATTGTGTCTAATGTGTTACATTAGTAGTGGTGTCTTTTTATAAACAAGTGGCCAGTAACGGAGAGCACTGTAGACTATGTAATTGATGACATCTTTCACATTGGGCAAGGTTGGCAACGTTGAGAGTTTGGGAAAGGAGACGACGGGAGGGTGGTGGACATGCTGCATGTGTACACGTGTACCCGTGCGTGCATCACATAGTGTACCCTACAGTTTTATGCAAGAGGTGTACTACCCTGTGTGCTGTGCCCCCCACCAGGTTGCGCTCCAGGACCCCACGGTGGCAGCGTTCATGGTGGAGCCGATCCAGGGGGAGGCGGGAGTCATCGTCCCCCAGGAGGGATACCTGCAGCGTGTGCGGCAGCTCTGCACGCAGTACAACGTGAGCAGCACACCGAACGGTGGTCTGGTGGTTAGGTGTGATGGTGGTGTGGAAATGGTGTAGTCTGATGGTGGTGTGGTTGTGGTATGGTATGCTGGTAGTGTAGTGTGATGGTATGGTAGTGGTATGGGATAGCTACGAAACGTGCAGTAGCTTTGCAAGCATCACACTGCCCAGTGGTGTGATGTGTCAGAGTGGAGATATGTGCTGTGGTTGTGTTTGTAATGGTGTGATGTTGGTGGTTGCAGGTTCTGTTCATTGCGGACGAGGTGCAGACTGGGCTGGCGCGCACCGGTCACCGCTTGGCGTGTGACTACGAGGCAGTGCGGCCGGACCTGGTGTTGCTTGGCAAGGCCCTCTCCGGAGGCCTCTACCCGGTGAGTGCCGGCAACTGCAGTGCAGTAATGGTGGGGTTCGTGATGGTGTGAGAATGCGGTACGGCCTCACACTATGGTTATAGAATGGTGTGGTTCCCAGGCATTCACGGTGCAGTGGGACCTTGTATGATGGTGCGGTGTGACCTAGGTATCAGCCGTGCTGTGCGATGACGAGGTGATGCTCACGATCCGCCCCGGAGAGCACGGATCCACGTATGGGGGGAACCCCCTCGCGTGCCGCGTCGCCATGGCAGCACTTGAGGTACCTGCGGAGGAGGGGACACCTAACAACCGGGGTTGCTTAACAACCGGGGTTGCTTAGCAACCGGGGTTGCTTAGCAACCGGGGTTGCTTAGCAACTGGGGTCACTCACAATACCTGGCAACGCACTTTGCCTGTCATGCTGGCGACCATGAATGTGTTTGGGGAGCGGTAGGGTAGTGGTTAGCGCACTGCACTATAAACTTGCGTTCCATTTCTGCTCATGCTCGACAACAGTGACAATTATCAGAACTGGTCCTGGCCCTCCCCTAGGTCGACTCGGCCTCAATGAGTATCTGGTGTGATGTCTAAACACCGCCACTAGGGAGACAAAGGCGGTCAGGCGTGGTGCTGGCCAGCCACCCCCTCGTGCGCCATGTCTGCATTCAAAGGTGCTTGCTAACAGCACTTGCCCCAAAAGTTTGTTAATGTTATATGGGGGAAATGTCTTTGTAGGTACTGGAGGAGGAGGGCCTGGCAGAGAACGCCCGTATCATGGGCGAGCTACTCCGCTCAGAGCTGCGCAAGCTGCCAAGCTCGGTGGTGAGCGACGTGCGGGGGAAGGGCCTCCTCAACGCCATCGTCATCAACCCAACCGAAGGTAAGGCCCCACGCACCACGTGCACAACCACGCTAGGAGGGGGAGGGGGACACGCCTTGTCCCCCAAGTTCTCCATTTGCACCCCTAAGTCCCACATGGTCTCCAAGTTCTACTCCGGTCCCCACACATCTGCAGCCCATTTTGCGTGTCTCTATTTATATCCCCATGTATCTGACATCCTGAATGCGTTTTTCCTCGTCGACACTCATATCCCAGTCTCTACTTGCACCCTTGTGTATCACACCATGTGCTCTTCATGTGGACCTATAGTTGCCTCCATCATGTGGTCTCTTGGCTTTTTTAATATCCTGTTCTTTGCCCGTCCCTGTAACATTCCCAAAGATGTTTGCCTGTTCTCAAATTGACCTGTACCTGTACCCCCAACCCCTTCAAATAATACCTTCTGTTCCCCCCCCCCCCCCCCCCATGCAGATTACGACGCGTGGCAGCTGTGCCTGCGTATGCGCGACCGGGGCCTGCTGGCCAAGCCGACGCACGGAGACATCATCCGGTTTGCGCCACCGCTCATCATCACTCACGACCAGATGGAGGAGTGCATAGATATCATTCGCAGCACCGTGCTCTCGCTGTGAGCGTTGCTCGCTCGCAATCTCAACGCTCCCTCCCCCCCTCGTCGTGTAGTTTTGGTCGAAATGGCATAACGTAGTCGTCTTTACAAACTCGCGGTTTATTTTGTTCTCAAGCGCGGGCGCTGACGCGCGAGGGCATTCACTTGGCACTTTGCGGAGGGGGCAGCACTTACACCAAGCCCAAACACATGAGGCCCCCTCCAGCCTGAAGAATAAGGTGGGGGCAGGAGCTGCCCTATGAGGGGGGCCCGGTCCCCCTGGGTGGTGGGGACGAACCGGAGTATGGATGGCGTGTATGCGCCTGTGTATATGTGTGTAAGTGCGAGTCAATAAACACTCCTCTGCTTGCGCCCTCCTTGTCCGTGTCACCTTTCTCACTGTCAGCTGCACTGGAAATGCTCGGTGGTGATAGACAACACCCAGGTCCCACCACAGCAAGCACAAAGTCCAAATCTCCTTTGACCCCGTGAGGACGCTGGTAGAACCCCTGCCACTTGGAGTGGGTACCACCTGATTGGTGAAAGGGTCAGAGGTCCTGCTTGCATGAGTCTGTGGCTGCTGTTGAGGGATCTGTCCCAGTGGCTCCCGTTTTGGTGGTGGACACGGCCCCTCCCTCGCTCCCCGGTCTTTCCCAGTGCTTGGAGTTGAGTCCTTCGCGGTTGCGCGCAATCTCCACAGCCAGGAACTGGATCCTGGTGGCTGCAGGCACAGTAGGGTTGGGTTAGTACTTGTGTGTACTGCATTCTGAGTATGCAGTGTGAATGAACATATAGCTTGTGTATAGCATGTGTGTCGGTGTGAATGTCGTGTGTAGCACGTGCCTAAGTATATGGGTGAATGTGTAGGTGTGGCTAGGCGAGATTATCATTGGTAATGGATTGCGCGTGTGGGCAGTGGTTGGTGCACTGCACTATGAACGCAGCAAACCTGAATTCAATTCCCGCTAACAGCCAACATCGGTGACAAATATCTGATCAGATCCAGGGCCTCCCCTAGATCGACTAAACCAAACAGTGGAATCTGGTGCCGTGTAAACATCAGCCATGTTGGCCTTAACAGCTGCTAGCTAACAGCACTTCCACAAATCGTCTGTCAAGCAGCTACACAGTGGATCTTGTCTTGTTGTCTGCATGCAGCTGTGTTGTTACTGCTCGTGCTCGTCGGCAAGCCGCCCATACCTAGGATGGTGTTGCTTTCCGAGTACGGTTCGGCGCTCTCCAGTCTCAGCAGCGTCCCGAAGTTAAAGTCGTCGACTCTGCCCTCAAACTCTAGGCAGAAGGAGCGCCACTTCTGCAGGCGAAGGGGAGGGAGGGAGCACGGTTAAAGTACAATACACAACGCGCGTCAACAAGGCCACAATGCACGCGCATCTCACACCACACTGTGCAGAAGCAGTACGCACGTGTTCACTTTCTAGTGAGAGCAGGGTCAAAATAACTTTAGCCGTGACTTGAACAGGGGAAATGGACCAATGGGTCTGTGAGTCAATACAATAATAAACATTATTTACACCTTGTCATGCAACTGCATCAGCATAGGGCGCTGTATAGAATCAGTGGGCTTATTTGTTTTCGAGAGAGAAAAGGAGGCAGTCGGTCATTGGCAGAAGGAAAAAAGGTATGCTTTGAGTCTGGACTTGAACTGGGTCAGGGAGCAGACAGGACGGGCAGCTGCTGGAAGGGAGATCCATAAGTGGTTTGCAGACCAAATGAGAGCAGCATGAGAATGAGTGACCTCCACGTTAACATATGACTCCTCCCCCCCTCCCCCCCCCCGAACTTGATGCCCCCGTGACCCCAAAGTCCCCCACCTCCTTGGCTTCCGGAGACTTGAGATGCTCGTGGCTGAGAGATTTCAGCGGGAGCGCTGGGAATGCGGCGCGGAAAGCCGAGTAGATCTCATCGTCGTTTGGCGATAGATGCAAGAAGCGGGGATCGACGGAGCACAGCAGCTGTGGCGGGGGGCACAGTCACCAACAGCATCCACGTGAGACACCAACAGTGACCAATAGATCCTCACAGGATATCCAGAGACCCCAATAAGGTCTGCACGGATCCCCAGAATTTCTGCAGATAGCCAAAAGATCATCACAGATTCCCACTGGATCCCGAAAGGCACCCCCTAATAACTTAGAAATGGTCCCCCCACAGCCTCCAAGAGAAATCGCTGACATCCCATTGCCGAGTACATTATTCGGTAATGCTGCATTGGCAGTAGTGCACAAGCACACATAACACAAACTCAATACATTCATCAATACCTTTGACCTAAAAATAAATATATAGACCAAAATAATATGTAACGTGTCAGACAATAGCCCTCCTTCAGGTGTGTGATGTGAGAATGAGTGATGTATGTGTCTAGTGTGAGTGGGTTTATGTCTGAATGATGTGTAGCGTGAGTGTGGTGTTTGCAAGTGGTGTGCATGTGTAATGTCAGGTGAGTGGAGGGGTGTGAGGGTGGTGTGTGTTTGTGGGGGAGAGTGTGTGTATGCGAGTGATGGTCACCCACCCCCTCGTGTGTCGTGTCGGCCTTCATAGGTGCTCGCTAACAGCACTTGCCACAACAGTCTTCATGTGTGCACGTGTAAGTAGTGTCTGTGGGGGTGAGTGTTGTGCATGTGTGGTGTGAGTGATATGTGTGTGAGTGGGGGTGTGCATGCGTGTGTGTGAGTGGGGGTGAGTGATATGTGTGTGAGTGGGGGTGAGTGATATGTGTGTGAGTGGGGGTGTGCATGCGTGTGTGTGTGTGTAGCCTCACATTGTAATGCACCTCCGCGAACTCGTGCGCCTTCATGGCCCACAGCATCTCCACTTGCTCCTGCGGTCGGGGTCATCGAAATCAATTCCACGGCGACTCAATCATAGCGATGCCCAGGGAGTTTAGTGAATTGTGGTCCTCTTGCCTTGGGTCTCCATCAAACAAACATTTGAGCAATTGTGATGCAGAGAAGGTCAACTGTGGACCGGCTTCATCCCTACGAGGACTCCTCAAGTGCACTAGTCACCAATGCTGCAAAAGCAGCCTCTGGCGATCATATAGGGGGCGTTGCTTGGTACTGATGCAACCATCACAATAATACTAAATGTATGTGCAGTCCAATTTAGGCTCTGCGCCGAGGCGAGGCACATTGTACAAGCTCAGGCGCCCTTGCACACGATGCAGCGTCCACTCGCCCAATGCCTGGCGGCTAACCCGAGCCACAAATAGCACGCTCGTCAACAACACCGGCGTGGCCTTCAACGTGCGTGTGTGGGGAAAAAAACCCCAACAGGCAACGTGGATAAACTTGCTCTGTGTAGTACGGCACGCGCCTCCTGATACCGAGGTCACGCAATTAGCACGGCAACAAGGGCCTGTTCGTCCCCTTGTGTCGTGCTGTGCACGCAGTGCCCGCGGTGGCGGTGGTGGTGCTGGTGGTGGTGGTGCTGGTGGTGGTGGTGCTGGTGGTGGTGGTGGTGCTGGTGCTGGTGGTGGTGCTGGTGGTGGTGGTGCTGGTGGTGGTGGTGGTGCTGCTGCTGCTTGGGCAGAGGCGCACAACCAACAAGACGCGCGGCGCATTCGTCAATAGCACGGCGTGGCCTTAAACGGAATTATACAATAGTCGACGTTTCGGGTCACGGCCCTTCTTCACAGCACATGCGTGGATTTTACGCGGATGTACGTGCTGAGATTGTGTGCGATTTGAGATGTGCTGTGAATGGTCACTGCCCGAAACGTCGCCCGTGCACGAGGGTAACTCACGTGGTTGCCGTAGGCCTCGGCGGGCAGAGACAGCGCGTCCGCCGCGGACATGGCCATGCCGGGGCCCTGGAAGACACGCGGGGGGTGGTGGGACACGGGGACTCGGTTACGTCGTCATCCTCCTGGTCCCCTTCGCTCGGGGGTCTCGGGGGTCGTGGCGGGGGTCTCGGGGGCGAGAGAAGGGGGCGAGTTACCAGGGAGCCGAGCCCGAAGTCCATGTCCGCCATGCCGCCTCGTGACGTGTTCCGTGCGCGGCGTATGACGTCAGAGTGACGTGGGTAAAATTGACGCGGATGACGTCATCGCTCGTACAGTGGCGACCGCCGTTAAAAGTGACGCAATTGTCCGATGCCCCTTAAATAGGATAATAATACTTTTGATTAAAAGCTTTCGTGACTGCAGCGATTCATATTCTTGGTTCTTTTGGTAAAGTCACGTGGAAGGGAAATAATAAAATGATAAAAATATAAACAATAAAATTCTCACGTTTCAAATGTCCTTGCTGTGAATTTCACAGCTGACGATGATTGCTTGTGTTGCAGCCGAAACGTCGTGAGAATTTTATTGTTTTATATTTGTATTATTTTATTATTTCCCTTCTACGTGACTTTACCGAAAGAACCAAGAATAGGATAATATTGACTGACAACTTTTGTGACTGCAGGAATTAATATTCTTTGGTTATTTCGGTAAATAAAATAAAACTACGACGTTTCGATCGCAACACAAGCGACCGTCTTTAGGAGGGAACAAGTAAACCCGTAAAAACAAAGTTTTTCACTCTCAATCCTTTATATGCGTGGCGGCTAGAGTTCTCTCGTCCTCTGGCTTGAGATGGCTGCAATCTATGGGTCAGATGATTGTCTGCCAGTATTAAGCAATTGGTAATAAAATATTTAATTTGTTTTCCCTAAACAGTGTAAAATTTTGGAAAAATAATTTCACGAAAATTAATTGTCGCACACAACGAGTCTGTGTGGAAAATGTCAGCTCGATTTGATCACGGGAAGTGGGTTAAAAAACGAGCGAAAGATTTGCACGATCCTAAGCAAGCAAGCGAACTTAATATAAAGGATTTAAAAATATATTCGCCTGTGGAGGACGCGGGGATCGATCCCGCAACCTTTGGCATGGGAAGCGAGGGCGCTACCAACTGCGCTACTCCGCCACGGCCTGTGGAGGGGTTACGCTCTGGGCTCTTGCACTATGATGTTCAGCCAAAGCCATGAATGCGTTCTATTTGAATATATGTAAAATACATTTTTTTGCCTAAAAAGTGTACAATTTTGGGAATTTTTTTTCACGAACAATAATTGTCTGGCACAACGAGTCTGTGTGGAAAATGTCAGCTCGATTGGATCACGGGAAGTGGGTTAAAAAACGACCGAAAGATTTGCACGGTCCTAAGCAAGCAAGCAAGCACGCGAACTTAATATAAAAGATTTAAAAAGCGTCGTAGTTCTTATTTTATTTTTTTAAATTATTTTTTCTATCTACGTGAATTTACCGAAAGAACCAAAGAAGAGGATATTGAGGCGACGTTTCGGGAAATAGCCCTTCAGCTCAACCTTATGATGGGCCGTTTCTCGAAACGTCGTCTATATATTTTGTATAAGACCACACACAATGACATTATTGAGTTTGTTGTTCCTGTATTTGTTAATCACCGCCAATATTCATCGGTGACGTAATTCTATCTGAATCAGCGCCAAAGCAAGTTCGCTGTGACGTCATCGCCCATTTCATTCACGGCCCGTTACGGCTGACGTCATGCACCGGCAACATCGTATCAGTGACGTCACCTGATTCGTCGAACTGTTTACAGTGCCGGGGTGACGTCACGCGGGCCAGTGTCATCCGTCCTGACGGATCGCGCTCTCGCCTCCCGGGTACCCCCACGGCTACCGAGTACCCCACGGGTACCCCCCCCCTGGGTACCCCCCCCCCCCCCGGGTACCCCCACGGGTATCGTCATGGAGCCCCGCGGGGTCACCAAGGCCTTCGCCAAGGTGAAGCGACGCGCGGCCACAGCGGCCACGGCGGCGCCGCCGAGAGACGAGAAGAGAAACCGCGGAGAGGGGGAGGAGGGAGGTGGTGAGCATGCAGCGTGAACCACAGCACGCTCACCACACTACACTCACTACACTCACCACACTACACTCACTACACTCACCACACTCACCACACTACACATGCTGCACTCACCACACTACACTCACTACACTCACCACACTACACTCACCACACTACACTCACCACACTCACCAACTACACATGCTGCACTCACCACACTACACTCACTACACTCACCACGCTACACTCACCACACTCACCAACTACACATGCTGCACTCACCACACTACACATGCTGCACTACACTCACCACACTCACCACACTACACTCACTACACTCACCAACTACACATGCTGCACTCACCACACTACACATGCTGCACTACACTCACCACACTTACCACACTACACTCACCACACTACACTCACCACACTCACCAACTACACATGCTGCACTCACCACACTACACATGCTGCACTACACTCACCACTCACCACACTACACTCACCACACTCACCACACTACACATGCTGCACTACACTCACCACGCTCACCACACTACACTCAACACACTACACTCACCACGCTACACTCACCACACTCATCACACTACACTCACCACGCTACACTCACCACACTCACCACACTACACTCACCACACTACACTCACCACACTCACTACACTACACACGCCCCACTCACCACACACACACCACACACACACACACCACACACACACCACACACACACACACCACACACACACCACACACACACACCACACACACACACCACACACACACCGCACCGTACACACACCACACACACACACCACACACACACACACACCACACACACACCACACACACACACACCACACACACACCACACACACACACACCACACACACACACACCACCACACACACACACACACACACACACACACACACACACCACACACACACACACACACCACACCACACACACACCACACACACACCACACACACACACACCACACACACACACCACACACACACCACACACACACCACACACACACACCACACACACACACACCACACACACACACACACACCACACACACACACACCACACACACACACCACACACACACACCACACACACACACACCACACACACACCACACACACACCACACACACACACCACACACACACACCACACACACACCACACACACACACACACACACACACACACACCACACACACACACCACACACACACCACACACACACACCACACACACACACACACACACACCACACACACACCACACACACACACCACACACACACCACACACACACACCACACACACACCACACACACACACACCACACACACACACCACACACACACCACCACACACACACCACACACACACACCACACACACACCACACACACACACCACACACACACCACACACACACACACACACACACACACACCACACACACACACACACCACACACACACACACACCACACACACACACACCACACACACCACACACACACACACCACACACACACCACACACACCACACACACACACACCACACACACACACCACACACACACCACACACACACACACCACACACACACACACCACACACACACACACCACACACACACACACCACACACACACCGCACCGTACACACCGAACAGACGATCACGCGCCCTGTACCCACCACACGCGGACCGCTTCACAGCCGTTCCGTGGTAAACTCGCGACCCGCGGCCGTCAGGGCCCCCGCCAATTCACTGGACAAGTTCCCCTCCAAGGTGACACCGAAGATGTTCAGGTGCGTGTCGAATAGCTGTCAACCCCGTATCAGCGCCCTACCTGAGGACAGACCAATTGGGAACTCATTGGTCACCCCGTGCCCCTTATACATCTCATCGTTCATCCTGCAAAGTCCCATCGCAAGGGAAAGACACAAATAGACATTTTATTTTTTGCCCGTAGTGAAACGGCTGCACGCCGTATGGACCCCTAAACTCAATTTCCCTGCACGAGAACACGGGGTAAACCGCGATGGGCCGCTGCAGGTGTTCCTCAGGGATCCGTCCTGGGTCTCCCCTCTACTTTTCTCGGTCTGCATTCTCAGTCTACATCTCTCCGATGGGGCACGGCTGATGACACTCAATCACACGCCACTCTCAACCTCTGCTCAGGGCCCACTCAATCTTGACAATTGTACCTCAGCCTTACAGCACCGGTTTCGGTTAAATCATCGCTTATTAAACTCCAAAAATCCGTGGCTCCTTTCCTAGCCACCAGGCAGCGGATCACCACCGCATAGCCCCCTCAAAATCCTCTCATCTCTGGCCGTTAGTCTCTCAAATCACCTTGACGCAGGATTCCTCGGTGAGAGAGATCGATGCGAGCCCCTCTCCAGCTGTGCCGTCTATGGTGGAATCGTGCATTCTAGGCGTTCAAGCAAAATCAGCACGATCGGTACCACACTCCGCTCACTTGTGCTACATGCACTCCGCACTCATCCATCACACCCCACCGCTCCCCCCACTACTATCACCACGCACACCACACACCCCAACACTGACACCGCACTTAAACCAACCCCACACTCACCATTTCTTACACCGCACTCCACACACTTTCCCTACCCAACACTCACCCACCGAATGCACGATACACAAACCGCACCAACTCCCCCCACTAACCCTATTCCGCTACCCCCCCCCCGTCACAGCGCCCCCCTTTCTGCGGGCCGTGCGCGCATGCGTGCTCGCGGCCGGGCTGAGACGCGCTCGTGCCGAGCTGCTGGCGTCGCGGCTCCGCGCCCACGGAGGCCGCGTCTCCCCAGACCCCGCCGACCCGGCGCTCACCCACCTCCTCGTAGCCGAGGACGTCACCCCCCAGCGGCTGCTGCGTCTGCTGGAGGCCGCGGCGGCGGGGCCCGGCGGGGCTGGCGCGTGGCCGGCCGGGGGACCTCGGCCCGTTGTGGTGCGCGTCGCCTGGCTCAGCGATTGCGTCGCGGCCGGCGAGGCGCTTGACCCCGAGCCCTACCGGCTCGATCTCCCGGCGCGCGAGGAGGCGGCGGGCAGTGGGGCCCCGCTCGCCGGTAACGGCCGGGAGGTCCGAACCCCGCCGGGCGGGGGTCCCGTCGAGCGGGGGGCCGCCGCCGCCGTGGTTACGCCGCCAGGGCCGCCGCCACGCACCGCCGTGAGTCGCGGGGTGACCCCAATCACGCACGGAGGGGGCATCGGATCGGGAAGGTTCACGCCGACGCTGGCACCGTTGCCGTTGCTGGTCCCGAGATTTGGCTCGAGGCCGTGCCGACAGCGGCAGGCCAAACCCGACATGCAACGAGAGCAGAACGCGTAACTTGGGTGGGTTGAGTTAAGGTTTGGGTATGGACAATGGTCAGGGGTGATGAGGGTTAGCGGTAGAGGTAGCAACGGGTTGACTTTGGTTGGTGGTTAGTGCTAGCGGCATAGCTAGTATGCGGTTAAGCTGGTGTGGTTAACTTAGTGGTGTGGCCACCCCTGTGCACGAGTGTCTACAATCTGCGTCTGTCAATTACAATCAGAGTGCAACTGTAATTCAAAGTAACCACGCTAGTGTAAAAAAATACATGTTCAGCCACCACTGACACGTCCTTCCCAGCAGGAGGAGACAGGCGGTGGAGGTGCGAGCGACGATGATAATGAGGAGGAAGCCAGGCCCAGCGGCGCTGGTGCCGTCACCGCCACCGACATGGAGGCTCTGCTTACAGGCGCCAGTCGGAGCTCTCCACCAGAGGCGTCGGGTCACATGGACCTCTCCGATCAGGTACCCGGTCACCAACGAACAATGACCAGCGTGGGAACGGGTGGGTCACACAACCGTCGCGGATGACGCGGCGAGGCCTTCATCCAACAGTGGATCGGCAAAGAGCTGTACGTTACCGCCATGATTATCGATCCGGCGAGGGCTGCGAGCAAGCGAATCGGGTAGAACTCGCGCCTGTCGGTCGCAACACCCTGTCTGACCCCGCACTTGTCCCCGTTTCCCCGGTCGCAGGCAGCCGCTGCCGAGGTCCGCTCGGGTGCTGCGAGCGGGCAGGACCCCGGGGCGTCCGCAGCGCCGGCGCCCGCGTCGCTGGGCCGCTGGGTGTGCGCCGAGTCGTCGGAGCGCAAGCGCGTTAACCACAATGCGCACATCACAGACAAGCTGGATGTGCTGGCGCGTGCGTACCAGCAGACGGGCGACCGGTGGCGCGCCCTGGGCTACAGCAAGGCCATCAACGCCCTCAAGGCCCACCACAGGCCCGTCACCACGTACGAGGTGCCCGACTCGGCGCCCGTCGCCATGCTCGCGACCCGCGGGTATTTGTGCTGCGTCCCTGCGAGGGGGTGGGCGGATACGATACGGAAGGATGCGGAGCTGAGTGGACTTTGCCGATGGCTGGTACTAGAGGTGTCGAAGGTCGGCCTCGGTGGAGGAAGCTCGTGAAGGTCGCTACTAGGCAGTTGGAGGTAGTCGCCCTCCAGCAAGATCGGAGGGTAGGGGAGCGAAGTGATCGCAGTCGGTTGACACCTTTGCCTATCCCATAACCCTCCTGCCAGCAAGTCTTTAAGACTTCACATGGCCTCAAAGTACAAAGTGCACCTAGCCTGGCTCTAGCATCGTGGCAACATCGCCTCCACTTTAAGCGGTGAACAGTGCCCGCCGCTGTCATTGTTCACGTGTGCACAAGTGAACGCGTGCGAGCGTGTTGGTACGTGCATGTGAGTGCGCAGGAGGCGTGTGCGCTGCCGGGCGTGGGAGAGCGCCTCGCCAAGAAGGTGGCGGAGATCGCACAGAGCGGGGAGCTGCGCCAGCTGCAGCACCTGGACCCCAGCGTGGGCGTCATCGCCACCTTCACCGACATCTGGGGCGTCGGCAGCAAGACGGCGCAGGCCTGGTACCAGCAGGTGCGACGGGGGTGGTGGTGGGGGGGGGGGGTCTGGGTATTCGGTTGTGGGGGCTAACGCGCAAGGCCGGGTCAAGGTTGGGGTACGTATTTGCGCATGAGGGTTAGGTCACCATTGTGTGAGATGGGGGCGGTTAACGCAGGACGAGGCTTCGGGCATTGCTGAGTTTGGCAAGTTCAGCGCTAAAGGTTAGGGGCACAGTATCGGCATGTGAGGTGGGTGAGTGGGGGGGGTTAGTGCGTTTTGCAATGGGGTGTATGGTGGGGTGAGGGACTTGTGTGGTAGGGTGAGTGGTGGGGTGTGAAGGACGAATGTGGTTGGATGTTAAAGGTTTAAAGTCCTGTATAGCGATGGTTAGAGTTGCTGCATATTTGGCGGGGTCATTGTTCGTATCAGGGTTGGGGTGCTGGCATGTGAGGTGGGGTCAGTGCGAGGTTCCAGTGGGTTTGCGTGTGTACGCTTGTGCGCAGACACACGTGTGTACGCGCGTGTACACACGTGTGTACGCGCGTGTACACACGTGTGTACGCGTGTGTACACACGTGTGTACGCGCGTGTACACACGTGTATGCGCGTGTACACACGTGTGTGTGTGTTGAGCATGGGGAGCTCTAGTGTACTGGCTAGCGCTCTGTACTACGAACCCGGCGATCCGGCCAACATCGGTGACAATTATCTGAACCTTTCCTGGGCCTCCCTTAGGTTGGCTCAGTCTCAAATGAGTACATGGTGCAGTGTGTAACCATCGCTACTCGGTATACAAAGGTGGCCGGGTGTGGTGTTGGCCACCTACGCCCGAGTGTGCTGTGCCGGCCCTCATAGGCGCTCGGTAACAGCACTTGCCGCAACAGTCCGTTAAAGGCTATTAGGCGGGATCTTTGTCTTTGTCGAGCAGGGCCTGCGGACGCTGGACGACGTGCGGGCGCGAGCGACGCTGACGCGGCAGCAGCAGATCGGGCTCCGTCACTACGACGACCTCCTACTGCGCATGCCCCGTGCAGAGGCCCACGACATCGAACGCACGGTGAGGCCAGTTAAATAACAGTGTTGGAACGCGTTGTATAATTCATGCGTACAGTGTCATTTTTTCTTATTTAGTAGTGGTTTTAGTTTTCGTTGTTGTGGCTGTTACCGGTTGCCGCGGTTTGTGTATTGGAGGCTATCGTGGTTGATGGATTGGAAGTGCTTGTGGTCACCATGGTTTGTGTGTCAATGCAGGTGTCGCGTTGTTGCGTGGTTGGTGCGGTAAGGTGTGCGCGTTGGTACCGCTTGCCGTGGTAGAAGAGGCAGCGCTGCTCTGTAGGGATCGTGGTTGGTTGTGGCGGTCGTGGTTTGTGTATCGCCGTGATCGTGGCTGCCGTGTTTGTGTGCCGGTGCGGTTGTTGTTGTGGCGGCGGTGGGCGTGGTTAGGTGTGCGCGGCGGCACTCGCCGTGGACGCGGCGCTACTGTGCGTGGCGTGCGGCTCCTACCGCCGCGGGAAGAGCTCGTGCGGCGACGTGGACGTGTTGGTGACCCACCCCGACGGGCGCTCGCACGCCCTGGTGCTGCCCCGCATCCTCGCCAGCCTGCACGCCTCTGGTAGCGCCCGCCCCGCTCCACCGCCAACCCACAGCCGACACCGCTTGTACCACCACGCAAACCATGCACCCCCGGCACCACCAGCATTACCACACACACCACACGGAGAACTAGAACAATCGGTGGCACTAGGATCATCTGCACCACCGTTTGCAGCACAGCCACCTGCGAGTGCAGCTCGGATGGTGCGTGTACGTGTGGTCTGCGTGTACCTGATTTTACGTGCGGATGTACGTGTGTGTGTGTGTGTTTGCGCACATGTATGCTTGTGCGTTCAAATGGCGGCTGTTGTTGTTGGAGCAGTAGTGCAGCAGCGGTCAGCGCGCTACGCTACAAACCCAGCAACCCGAGTTCAATCCCCACTCACAGCCAACACCAGCGACGAATATCCAAACCAGTCTTGGTTTGGATATCAACTCATCCTCAAATGAGTGCCAGGTAAGATCTGTAGGGAGACAAAGGCGGCCAGGAATTATTCTGGCTAACAGCACTGTTGAGGCTATGTGACCTTTGTCGTTGTGCGAGCAGGCTTCCTCACGGATGACCTGGTGTCGCACGATGAGGGCGGCGCACAGCACAAGTACATGGGCGTGTGTCGTCTGCCGGGGCCCGCGTCCCGGCACCGCCGCCTCGACCTCATCGCGGTGCCGCACGCCGAGTTCGCGTGCGCCCTGCTATACTTCACCGGCTCGGCGCACTTCAATCGCTCCATGCGAGCGTTGGCTCGCACACGAGGTGCTCGCTCGTTCACTCGCCCGTTCACCCGCTCGCCCGCTCTTCCACTCATCCACAGGCTCGCTTGTCTACCGCCACCTCGTGTGATCTTACACACACTCATCCACTCAACCACACAGCCGCTCACACACCCAGCCACACACTCACCTGCTAACCCACTTATCCACTCGCACTCAGACTCGTGTCCCCCCGCATGTCCCTCCCTCTGCCACGCAGGCATGAGTCTATCGGAGCGCGCCCTGAGTTCGGGGGTGGCGAGGGGCGGGGGCGGGGGGAAGGTGGGGGCGGGGGTGGCGCTGGCGACGCCGACTGAACGCTCCGTCTTTGAGCTGCTGGAGCTCCCGTTTCGGGAGCCGCACGAGCGCGACTGGTGACACGGACACGCACGGGGGGGGGGGGGTGGGGGGGGGGATGGGGAGACGCGGGGGGACATGTGAGGATGTGCTGGGGATAGACGCCGTGACGCACGTGGGACACGTGGTGCTGTACCGCATGTATGTTGAACTTCTCTCCAACCGTACGTAGCCGACAGTGCTAATGGGAGGTGCAGTTAGCGGTGCATGTGTGGCGTTGCTACCGCACGGTGGTGCGGTCGTGGTCCTGGCGTCGTATGGTCGGTGTGGTTGCCGGCGTGTTGGGCGGAGTGATACGGCGTAGTGGTGTGGTGAGGTGGTTGTGTCCATGTGCCTGTGGTTCACTTTGCCCCGCGGGTTCTGTTGATGTCCACCTCTCATGCCCGGTCGGGTGCTCGCACGTCTCGTAACTGTATCCACACTTCACGTGAAACATCGTCGTTCTTATAATGATGATTGATGGGTGATATAACCCAACCATGGAGACTCCGTGCGTGCTAAAACTACAAAGCGCCGATGAAGCACACACATTCACCGGGCCTTGCTTACAGATATTACCCAAAGTACATTTTTAAAATCTAAAAATTGTAATCATGTTGAGTTTACTTAGGGACGGTAAAAAATACCAAGATTATCTTGCAAAAATAAAAACATGAGCCCCAAAAGCAGTTTTTTTCAAATTGAACAAATAAGTTTAAAAATTAAGCACCTATAACTCGCACTTGTGAGTACACAAGGCTGTGTCTGTTTCCACGTTCAGATGAACGTGTACGCACATTTGTGGACAGTGGGGGTCGGTGACGCAGTGGTTGTTGCACTCCACTGCAAACCCGCCGACCTCGAGTTCGATTCCCGCTCGTGACCAAAATTGGTGACGAATATCTTGAACCAGTGCTGGGCCTTACCCTAGGTCAGTTCAGCCTTAATACGAATATACTGGTGTTGTGTGTAACCATCATCCCTGGGGAGATAAAGGCGGCCGGGCATAGCGTAGGCCACCCACGTTCATAAGTGCTACTCGCGAAAAGCACTTACCCCAAAGGTTATACAGGAGGGGCGGAGGGGGGGGGGTCATTGTATGTCTGTGTACATGGCTAGGTACAGGTGTGTGTTTGTGTGCGTGCACACAGAGCCGCCTTCACCACCTGGGTCCGCGTCGGTCCCCTTTTATTCACGCTTCTGGTTTCGCCGCTGCCAAATTCATCGCAGCTCCGCATGACCCCACATGCCAGAGGTCCCGGTCAAAGGTCAGGTCAGAAGTCAGAAGTCAGGGTTGAGGGGGGCAGGATGTGGGGTTGTCGGGTTGGAGTCTGGGTGAAACCTAAAATCAGGGCCGAGCTGGGAGGGGGGGGGGTGGGGTTCTGGTCAGACTGTCACGGTCAGCGTCACCCCCAGCGGTGCAACCCAGCGGCAGAGGCAGCACCATCACGATGACGACGGCGACGACGGCGGCAACAACGACGACGGTGACAACGACGACGCGAGAACGCGGTACAGACACACGGCATCGCCAGGGTTACGGAGTTCGTCCCCCCACCCCCCATCCTCGCCATCCTCGGGGCGGTCCCCGTGGTGGAGCCGGGTTTTGCTCGAGTCGGTGCGGCTGTGGCGTGCTCTGCGGTTGTGGCGTGCTCTGCAATGGTTGTTGTTGGTGCTGTCGACTCCACGCAAGTTCCACGGGGGTTGACCCGGTGCGGGTTGTCACGATCCCGCGGTCGAGCCGCTGCGGTCGAGTTGCGTCGTGCCGTTGGTGGCGCAGGGCGGTACCCGGCACCCCGGGCCACCACCCTCCAGCACGTGGGGACCGGGTTGGCGGTCGCACCGCCGGCGCTCGGTGCGGTTGCCGTGGTTGTTGCGGCTCGTGTGGCTCCTCGTGTCTCCCCCCGTTCCTTCCACTTCTCCGATTCCCGTTTAAAGTTCGATTTCTTGTTCTCATAAAACGCCCCCCCCCCCCACCGTCCCCCCCACCGCCCCCCTAAAACAAATCTCACGATCACACATGTACAGTACATACACCACTATTTACAGCTCCCTCCGTCACCGCAGCTCGCTCGGGGTGCGGGGGCCGTCCTGGAGGTGGGAGGGTCACAGGGGCCTTGGGGGTGGGGGTTGGCGGGAGGGTGATGGGGCCCCCCAGGGAGTGAGAGGCAGGGTCAGTGGGAGGGTCTGGGGCCCCCAGGGAAGGGAGGCTTGAGATGGTCAGGGAGGGGGGGCAATAAGGGAGAGACAGGGTCGGGGCCTTCACGAGAGGGAGAGGCAGGGTCAGTCGGAGGGACAGGGCCCCCATGAGAATATGGGGGGGGGAAGGGGGGGCGGGGACCCCCCTCCAGGGCCCCGCGGGGGTCCCGCTAGAGAGCGGAGGCGAGGGAGGCGACGGGCGCGATCTCCCCCTGCTCCTCGGCCCAGGGCTGGAGGTTCTGCAGCGCGAAGAGCGACGCGTTGTGAAGGCAGACGCGGTCGGCGGGGCCCCCCTCGCGGGCCCCCTGCGGCCCCCCTCCCCCCCCGTGCAGCGCCTTGGGGAACTGCACCTCCGCCTGCAGCTGCAGCAGCAGCCGATTGGCCTGCTGCCTCTCGGCCTCGCGCTCCTCCGCCGTCTGACGTCTGGGCCGCCGCGTGCGCACGGAGGAGATGGGGGGCGCGGGTGAAAGGGTGACATGGGGCGGCATAGGAATTGGGGGGGGCGGATCGAGGAGAGAGAATCAGTGGGAGTAGAGTTGGGGTGCACACGCAAGACGGACATTGGACGAGAACGATGAAGGAATTAGTGAGCCCCCTACTTTCCCCCTCCCCACGCCCCGCACTCCTCGCATCAAAATCTTTATTCATCAGATTCTTCTCGTCATCCACGCACCCCCCCCCCCACACGCACCTCCATTTGGTGCGCCGATTCTGGAACCACGTTTTGACCTGCGCGTCGGTCATCTTGAGGCCCTTGGCGAGGGCGGCGCGCTCGGCGGAGGCGAGGTACTTCTGCCGATGGAAGCGCTTCTCCAGCTCGCACACCTGCAGGCGCGAGAAGGAGGTGCGCGGCTTCTTGCGCTTGGGCGGCGTGCGGTTCTGGTACGGGTGGCCCACGCGGCGGGGCACCGACAGCGGGGCCAGGGCGGCTGATGGGGGGGGGGGGGGGGAATTCAGAATCGGAATATTTATCCTGGAGGAATCCGATGAGCCATGAAGCTCTTTTTGACATGTCCAGAAGGGGGGCGGGTAAGAAGGTTTACAACAACAAACACGATTCGTGGTGCAAAGTACAATGTAAACAAATCGCCCAGACACATACAACTAAACCATCCCCATCCTAGCAGGCAAAGCCCACTCTGGTATTATTTTCCAGAAGCCACTTGGCCACAAATGATATCTCAACAAAGTGGCCCATCATTTGGACATTTCTGACACCAAAATCACTTTAAATTATCTCAATGTTTCTAAATGTGGAAGGAAAGAGCGGAGGACCCAGGGAAATAATGCACGCGACCACGGGGTTAAAGGGGAGGGGGTAATGATTTGTTTTGAAATCGAGGAGAGCCACCGTGAGTCGTGGACACGGGTGTCTCGAGTATTCTTCGGCTGCTGCTGCTGCTGTAAATTGCCACGTGACAATCCTCGTCGCCGAGCTGTCACTTGTGGCCAGCTCGCTTCTGGCAAAGAACTTTGCAGCTTAGCGGAGCTTGCCTGGTAAAATACAATTATTTTTTATTTAGTTAACTCGTTTTTGAGGAGGGTCCTGCCTGCATTGGGTTTTATCTTAAGAAGTTTGCAGCCCGTCAACGACGACGAGGCGTCGTGTTTATTGTCCACGTGGGAGGAGGGAAGCGGAGCGCCCGGAGACGACCCACGCCGTGCGCGAGGTCGCAACAACGCTGCACCCGCCACCCGCGTACAGATGGAAACAGATGGCGATGAGTCCACACTCTGCTGTACCGCCCTCTCCTGGCGAGCCAGGGTCACGGCTCTTGCCCGACGCCCACCCATGGCGAGGAGGGAGCTTCACAACATCATCTGTCGAGGTGATCCACCAATCCCTCGCTGCTGCCTCCACAGGCAGCTGCCACGTGAGTAGCGACGATGATGATGATTTGTTTCTTGATATGGAAATGAAACTCGACGTGTTCATCAATAGCAGCACCGCGCGGGCGTATGCGTGCGTGGCCTTGAAAGGAAAATAGGCGACGTTTCGGGCAATGACCCTTCTTCAGAGCACATAAGCCGTGTTTTCTGTATTGCGCGATCTCAAAGCGATGTTCATGGGGGGGGTGCAGGAGGCGAAGGGCGGCAGAGAGGGAGGGGGGCGGGGGAGTGGGGGGGGTATGAGGCGTTCATATTTAGGGAGGGTCAAGCGGTCACGTGTGTCCTGCACTGACAGTACACTACAGTACTCTATACAGTACACTACAGTCTACTACAGTACTCTATACAGTACACCACAGTCCACTACAGTACACTATACAGTACATTACAGTTCACTACAGTACTCTATACAGTACACTACAGTACACTATACAGTACACTACAGTCTACTACAGTACTCTATACAGTACACCACAGTCCACTACAGTACACTATACAGTACATTACAGTTCACTACAGTACTCTATACAGTACACTACAGTACTCTATGCAGTACAGTACCCTATACAGTACATTGCAGGCCACTACAGTACTCTATACAGTACTCTATACAGTACACTACAGTACTCTGTACAGTACACTACAGTCTACTACAGTACTCTATACAGTACACTACAGTACACTATGCACTACAGTACACTACAGTACTCTATGCAGTCCACGAGGCCCGGCACCCTGTTTACGTCACAGTTCCCTACTCCCTGCAATGTCACCACCACCACAACAACAACACAACAACAACACAATGACGCGTCATGCACACTGCACCATACAATGTAACCGCAATGTTGTGCTAGACACTACAGTAAACAGCAACAACATCGCCAGATGGATACAATTCAACCCATCACACGAAACACAACGCAGCCGTTAGACGCGACATGCAAACACAAGACACACACAGACGTGGTACTAGTTTTATCGACCCTGTAATGATGATGACTGTGCAACGCAACGGTACACCACACACACAGTGCCGTATACACAACAAAGTAAACACAACAACGCAGTTTAAACACCATGAGGTAACAGCAGGACTGTAAACACAACACAGTGTACACAACGCGACACAGTGTACACAACACGACACACAACGTGCCCATCGCTATGCACTCTACTTGTGGTGGTTTAACGCGCGCCAAGGGGGGCAATTGTACACACGTGCGGGTTGGGGACAGTGGGTCGAATGGGGACATGCTACTGCTGTTGCTGGGGCCCGTTGGGCAATTATGGGGCAGGGCAGTGATTGGCCGGGAGTTGTTGTTGAGTACAAGGTGGCGCCTCCAAGTCTGGTAATAGAGACAGGTGGCAGCGGGGGCCGGGGGCGCGGGGCGTTAGGGGGGACACCAACTAATGAATTGGGAATTAATGAGGAGGGGGATAAATAAGGGAGCTTCAGAGAAAGATGAGGAGTTATGCTGGGAGCTGGACGGAGTCGGTTGGGGCAGAAGAGAAGAATCATAGAGTAGCAGTGGAGTGGAAGAAGAAGTATAGAGTAGCAGTGGAGTAAAAGAAGAAGTATAGAGTAGCAGTGGAGTGGAAGAAGAAGTATAGAGTAGCAGTGGAGTGGAAGAAGACGTATCGGGTAGCAGTAGAGACGGAGAAGCTGAACGAGAGCAACAGTCGGAGTGAGACGTAGAAGCCGAGAGAGAGCGACAGTCGGAGTGAGACGGAGAAGCCGAGAAAGAGCGACAGTCGGAGTGAGACGGAGAAGCCGAGAGAGAGCGACAGTCGGAGTGAGACGGAGAAGCCGGGAAAGAGCGACAGTCGGAGTGAGACGGAGAAGCCGAGAGAGAGCGACAGTCGGAGTGAGACAGAGAAGCCGAGAGAGAGTGACGGCTGGAGTGAGACGTAGAAGCCGAGAGAGAGCGACAGTCGGAGTGAGACGTAGAAGCCGAGAGAGAGCGACAGTCGGAGTGAGACGGAGAAGCCGAGAGAGAGCGACAGTCGGAGTGAGACGGAGAAGCCGAGAGAGAGCGACAGTCGGAGTGAGACGGAGAAGCCGAGAGAGAGCGACAGTCGGAGTGAGACGGAGAAGCCGAGAGAGAGCGACAGTCGGAGTGAGACGGAGAAGCCGAGAGAGAGCGACAGTCGGAGTGAGACGGAGAAGCCGAGAGAGAGCGACAGTCGGAGTGAGACGTAGAAGCCGAGAGAGAGCGACAGTCGGAGTGAGACGGAGAAGCCGAGAGAGAGCGACAGTCGGAGTGAGACGGAGAAGCCGAGAGAGAGCGACAGTCGGAGTGAGACGGAGAAGCCGAGAGAGAGCGACAGTCGGAGTGAGACGGAGAAGCCGAGAGAGAGCGACAGTCGGAGTGAGACAGAGAAGCCGAGAGAGAGCGACAGTCGGAGTGAGACGGAGAAGCCGAGAGAGAGCGACAGTCGGAGTGAGACAGAGAAGCCGAGAGAGAGCGACAGTCGGAGTGAGACGGAGAAGCCGAGAGAGAGCGACAGTCGGAGTGAGACGGAGAAGCCGAGAGAGAGCGACAGTCGGAGTGAGACGGAGAAGCCGAGAGAGAGCGACAGTCGGAGTGAGACGGAGAAGCCGAGAGAGAGCGACAGTCGGAGTGAGACGGAGAAGCCGAGAGAGAGCGACAGTCGGAGTGAGACGGAGAAGCCGAGAGAGAGCGACAGTCGGAGTGAGACGGAGAAGCCGAGAGAGAGCGACAGTCGGAGTGAGACGGAGAAGCCGAGAGAGAGCGACAGTCGGAGTGAGACGGAGAAGCCGAGAGAGAGCGACAGTCGGAGTGAGACGGAGAAGCCGAGAGAGAGTGACGGCTGGAGTGGGACGGGGAAGCAGAGAGGGGAGTCGGGAGAGACGGAGAGAGAGAGGGAGGAACGGAGCAAGCGGAGAACGCGTTAAAGGGTGGCGGCGAAATGTGCTGTGTTGGACAAATAAAGTGACGACAGAAAAGTAAAAAGTTGTCCGCGTAAAGTTCAGCACTACATACGTAACAGAGCACTGCACTGTTACACACAACACGCTGCACATAACAACATACAAAGATCCCCCGTGTAGCCTAAACAGACTATAGGGGCAAGTGTAGCTGCACCTATGAAGGCCGGCACGGCACGCGAGGGGGTGGGTGGCCAGCACCACGCCTGGCCGCCTTTGTCTCCCCAGTGGCGATGTTTAAAGTTGAGTCGACCTAGGGGAGACCCAGGGCCGGTTCAGATAATCGCGCCACCGCTCTTCCTGACAGAGCGGTGCCGTACACAATGAGAGTGCGTGTCTGTGTACTAGTTAGACACCATGTACATCTAGTTAGACACAACAACAACACCATGCACAGACACAACAACACCACGCATAGACACAACAACACCACGCATAGACACAACAACACCACGCATAGACACAACAACACCACGCATAGACACAACAACAACAACACGCATAGACACAACAACAACAACACCACGCATAGACACAACACCACGCATAGACACAACAACAACAACACCACGCATAGACACAACAACAACAACACCACGCATAGACACAACAACAACACCACGCATAGACACAACACCACGCATAGACACAACAACAACACGCATAGACACACCACGCAGAGCTGCGGGCCACTTGGAATGTAGCCGCAATTTTTTACATCGATTTATGTGAAATGTTTGAGATTTTCGCATGACGCAGCGGTGTTTGCTCCCATTATTCCTATTTGCGTTATTTGCTGTTCCAGTACTTTGTTGTTGTTTTCGTGCCCCAGGCCGCCACTCGTAAATAAAAAGTCTCCTACTCTGGCCTCGTGAGTTCTCCACCTGGTTACACAAAGTCAACTTGAACTCAACATCCCACTCACCCACCCACTCACCCATCGGATCACTCACCCACCCACTCACCCATCGCATCACTCACCCACTCACTCACCCACCGACCCACTCACTCACACACTCACCCACCCACTCACTCACCCACCCACCCATTTGCAAGTGCGACTCACTCTATCCTGGTATTCCGAGT